TCAGAAGTTACATGAAGGGAGATTTATCGGATCTCCTGACCCTCTTGGATAACAGTTCTGTAATACTACGACGAGTATATGAAAAATTCTTCTAATTAAAAAAGGTGTGGAATATAGGGATGACCATACAACGCAAGGAGACCAGACAGGGATGTCCTAGTGATTAGTACAGTGGATATGGTTATATCTTCAAACCGACATGCTTGCTCGAGTAATTTTCCTCGACACAAGCCCTTAATGTCGCAAGCATGACTGTGCTACCTCATAGAATGACGCATTTCCTAATCACTTAATGTACAGGTTGTGCCCTCTCCTCAGTCTTTACACAAGCGAGCAATGTCAGTTTGAAGATGTAACCATCATCCCATTGTACTAATCAATCATATGCACTAGGTCATGCCTGTCTTGTTTCCATGGTTTTTTAATTCGAAGAATTTTTTTATTTACTTGTCTCTTTTCCTTTTTTACAAGCTTGTAATATCTGTTTGGATGAACTCTCGTCATGTTAAATCAGTGTACCAAGTTTCATTGTTAGAGGGCACACAAAAAGTTATAGGCAATAACATGGTTTACAAGTTTTTATTGTGGCTGTTTTTTGTTGTTTACAAACGTGTAGTTTATGTTTTGATGAACTCTTATCATGGTTATAATCAGTGTACCAAATATCATTGTTAGAGGATCCACCATAAGCAAGTTATTGACACAAACATCACTTACATAGTTTTTATTGCTTTAGGCTGTTTGTTGTTGTTTACAAACTTGTAATGTTTACATTTTGATACTAATGATTGGTTGCATATGTGTACAAAGAGTTATCATTCTGGGTGTTGGCATTAACTCTACATCATAATGTATGGTCTGGGGCTATTTTGTTTGTTGTTTTGTGCTGTTTACATGAACAAAATTTTTTACAAATGCTCTTGCACAACCTGTCATGGATTCCAATAATTGTGTAAATTTTCATCTCTATTATCTTACCTGGTTTTTGAGATATGCTTGTCTAAACTGAACAACAAGAAGAATTTTACTTTCTTGAAAAATTCAATTACTGATTATGTGGTTTAAGCCACTTCTTGGATGCATGTTTTTTTGAGACTGATATGTCAGAAGTTGGATCTGAGACGTACAAATCTCAAATGTTGTGGGGAAACCTGTCATCCCTATATACTACATAAGTACTACCGTAGTTAGTGATAACAACCGTTGCTTTACATACACTGCAGTAACAATTATTTATGCAATACAATAATATATGCAACTACTGCATGTTTGTAAGTGTCACACTATGAAATATTATGAGGGAATAATTTTTGCACCACTGGCTTGCAATCACTGCTGCATGGGCCATTTTAAATAGCGCATTATTGCAGCAACAGCCTCTAAAGCTTCTTGAAGCACCAAGCATAAAAATGCTAAATCCAATCTTTTATGCACAAATAAATAGAAGGTCATCTTTCTTTTTCAAGGTTTGACACCTATGACCTCCATTCTTAACATCAGATATCACCAAAAGAAAGAACTTCAGTCCACACTGCTCTTGTTTGCTAATAAATCTGAAGAGGATATTTTGTGGAGGGATAAGCTAGAACAAGTCTGTCGTTTATCACCCCAGTAAGTATCATTTGTAGCTTGTAATGTAATGAGTGACCCTCTATACTATAATGCTTTACATAATTCTTATTCGCATAAAACTGCTCCTGGTACATGCCTGCTAGTAACAAAGTTAAGTAAGTTTGCAATTCAGTTTATTGTTTTTAAATGCAGATTATAATCAATATGAGGATAAATAGAGAGTTTGTAGAGCTCAAGTGCATTCGTGCTGAGAATGAACCCTGATAATACCATCCAGTGCTATAGATCGTTGTAACACTTTACGTTCTAGTTACTCTGGTGCTTACCTGGTTCGTATCTGTTGTGTAGTTTTTGTACTAGACCACATAATCTCATAAATGACGGCATGCGTACTTCTAACCCCATGGAATTTTATACTGCACTGCAGGTCAGTGTGTAAGACTCTGTCCACACACTCATAACTCATAGATTTCTCGCCCAACCAAGTCCAACTTACTAATACAAACTTGAAGAAGGCAGCACTTCACTAGTAAGCAACGTCCTGTGGTGCCACTCACAGTAACCACATGCACATATATTCCATAGGTAAGTAGTTCCGCCTTTTCATTATCTACTTGCTCCGTGTGAATGTACTTTAGTAATGCTTAATTCTTTTTCGATAAGAACCTGAAATCACTTGGTTACTTCGTAGCACAAATGCACTGCACTGCCGGTCAGGGAGGCGCCATCTACAAGCAGGAAAATCGATCATCTTGCAGTTAATGTTGGAGATGTGTGCATATTCCTCGTTTATCACATCGCTATAAAACTTAGAGGTGACCATAATTCATGTATATATTATTACACAAAAAAGCAGATATTTGTGAATGTAACTTTTTGGTATGTGTTTAGTTATTGGTGGGATTGTACGTAATGATATTGGTGTTCTTTTATTTTTTTATGCTTATAACCTATGAATATGACGTCCCTGTGTCTGCCCATAGTTGTGATTTGCTGCCTGTTTACATAATTCTCTTTTATTGTTGAAGATTTGGAGTTGTACACATTTTATCATCACCATCTTCAAGCTGGAAAGGTGTAACTGGAAAAATATCCCTCTCACTACTTGCTACGCATCTACCCCAGCCATCTGATGACACAAGAATCTGTGTCAGTGGACCACTACTCTTTTCTAGAACTATGTGGGAGTAAGTGCAATAATCACTAAGTATAGGATGGACATGGATAATTATCATAGTGTAACATTGGAGGAGTCTGACAGTACACTAGCTTTGATGCCCATTACAGGGTGATCAATTTACTTAAATTGTTGCATGGTGTCATACACATCTAACTGCGGAAGGCCTTGGTGAGGCTAACTCTGCCTCACATGCAATGACTGTGTTGTATTTGACTGGGTAAAATGACCCTTGAGAAAAGAAAGGCTTAGGCTGTGAGGATAATATGGAGCTGCACATGAGACATGTGTAATGCACACACTTTATAAGGGCTCCTCTGTTAAGACTTCGTTGTTTCTCCATTTATACAATGCTGCCTTCTTGGCTCTCTACAGAATCCCTCGTTAATGGTCCACACAATTCCTAATGGTCATTGGTGACAATATATGGCGCTTGTGTGGAGGTTTACATGTGCAAGCATTGACAATATTGTTGATATTTTTGTGCTACATATGTGGTTTTGAGAAAGGAAAAGGTTTTGGCCACGCCCAACCCAAATGCACCACATTTTATTGTTAAGTAAGCACGTCACAAATACCATTTACTACCTGAGGCTCTTTGTTATTGTAAGTTTATTGTTCCAAGAATAAGCAAGTTTATGGGCACAAACACCATATGCAAGATTGTATTACCTGAGGCTCTTTGTTTCTGCTTACACACATTTAATTTTAGAATACTAAGCCCGAGGCTGTTTGTTGTTGTTTACAAACTTTGTTGTAGCTAATAACGTTATCGCCGTTTCTTGGTCATCTGCATGGCCTGGGGCTATTTATTCTTGTTGCTTACATGTAAAGAACATCGTTTCATTCACACTGCACACCAGGTCATGGATTATAGCAATTTTTCATACCTGTACATCATCAGGTTTTGAGACATGTGTATTATAACTTAACAAGGGCACACTTTGAATAGCATGGTAGTAAAATCTATGGAGACAACTTAGGATGACCATGGCTCTCTCCCAACTGAAAATAAGAAATGCCCCATATACTACAAGCCCCCATCGGAGTCCAAAAGTCACAATAACTGATCTTTTTGAAATGGATTGTGTGCCAGTATTATATTAGGTATAGTGCATGCTTATTGACTATACAGATCAGAGTTACGTCAGAAGTTAGGCCTGTGTTGACATCATACTATGAGCTTGTGTCATCCCTAAATTTAGTGATAAACAGAAATCCCACACTCAGATGACTAGGTAGGCTAGGTTCACTGCAAATTATACTGGTCATGTATCTATAGGCTACTTGACCCTACACTTGCAAATTATACTGGTCATGCTGCTTGACCCACAAGATTTACATAGTGACTATGCCTGAGGTTTAAAACTAGATGGAGCTTCATTCTCTCTTCTAAAATGAGTTTGCAAAACAGCTACAACTGCTGCTCGAGTCCATGTGCCTCTTTCCTCTATACTCCTAAAGACAGCTAGGTTAGATGAGGAGCCGAGGTAACTACGCGCGGTAGAGTGCCTCGGGCTCCCGATGGTAAGAGCTATGTGATTGAAACTTTGTAGACATAATGTATTCAATCACCAACATCACAAAAACAACAATACAACAAATAGCCTCAGGCACTTTTCTTTAAATCTTCTTCACATCTAAACCTTTCTAAGGTAGCACATAGAAATGAAATTTGGTACGCATGCATATTACATCATTACCATGACAACTACATGTTCCATGACAACCACATATAACAACAAATAACCTCTCCTCAACTTGCTAACAGTAGCATGCATGAAGATGAAGCTTGGTATGCATTCATCATTTCCATGACAACTACATGTTTCCATTAGAACCACATATTGTTTGAACAACTTTCTTATTTCTAATTATTTCTTCACTCCTCAAACTTGGTAATGGGAGATTAAACTTGGTATGCAAGCGTATTAAATCGTTTCCATGACAACAAAATATTGTTTCATCAACAAAAATACCTTCAGGCCTTTACTTTTTCACTTTTGCTAACAGCAGCACATAAACTTGGTACGCATGCATATTACCATGAAAACAACAGGCATTTTTTGTATTGGGGATATATGTTACGTACGTAGTAGTATATAAAAAGAGTGCAGACAAGTTAATTAAAAATCCTGTGATTTTATAACCTTTGTGTGAGGGGTCAGGGGTGTCAGCATGCTCAAATCTGTTCATTAACCATGCTTCATGTATCCCACTCCTATCTTGTCTCCCTTTCTTTTTACCATCCCTATATGCCTCTTCTTAAAATTTGCAGGATTTTAAATTTACTTGTGTTATTTACACATTATAACAGGGATTTGGTCCATTACTATACACGAGATATCTTGATGGTCAGTTGGTCTAACTGAACTAATCGATGATGACCACCAAATGAAAGACCTTCTCAAAAATCACTCCAGGCTTGCTTTACAGCCATGTTAGCTTAATGAGAACTCTCCCATGCATTGGAGGTAGGAGCACCATGAGTTAACAATACCTCAGAATTATGTGCAGTGACATCCTGCAAACTCTACCCACGCTTGTGCAGAGCAAGAGTGAAGATGGATATGGACCTTTAGATGTTAGATGTTTGGTCATAAGTCATAGTTGTTGCCTGGGCGAGTGCCACCTGGCAGCAGACATTGGGCATTAATCACAACTGTTGCAACATGTAAGCCCAGGCAACAACTAATTAAAATTAATGGTGCCATTATCCTATCCTGCAGTGTTGCACATAGTTTTGATTACGACATACCACACAGGTGGTAATGGGCATGCATACTCCCATACAAAATTGTGTGCAGAGTCAGGTATTTTTAACCCAACCGTCATATATTATATATTTTGGTATACGTTACCCCAGCAACGGCACATTATAGGATTGGGCAGTAGTATATAGCAGCCACTTAGCTGTACTAACACCAACAGGGGATGGCTGAGTCACTCCCTAATCAACACCCACTTTGCTTTCCTTATAGGGAATTCAGGCATTGTGCTGGAGAAACGTATACCAAGTAGGTTTTCTATTCGCGCTGTGCGCTCATAGAGCACACTTGCCATCATCAAACCTATCAAACCTATACATATAAATGCCCAGAGCCTCAATAAGTCCATAAGAATTTATATTATTATTATATGGCTATATACTAGGCGTTAATATGTTATACATCTATCTCTGCTTATTTAAGTAGATACCCATGGCACCCAAAGGGTGTTACCAAATCTTATTAATCTGACTTTAGCTGTTGTCAAGAGGGAAGCCCAGGCAGTGGTATAATACTACTCTCTGGACTACCTGATAATGATGTGTACCATAAATGTGGCATACTTCTATTGTTGTTTTTGAACTGCCATATAATATTACTAAGCTGTATGAATGTATAATTTTATCCTGCACAGGTATTTGATGCAGCTGAAATTCCCCAGTGAAGCTGTTTACTGTTTTGATTAGCATTTTAATTATACTTCGTGTTTTTACATGATGGTTTTCAATTCCGGTCCAGTCAATAAGCATATACATGACCCTTGGCCCCCCCACGTTCCACCCTAATAAGTCACAGTAGTGGATGGGCATCATAGCTTACGCAAACAGACCATTGGAGAGAATTATAAATTCATAGTACAAAAAGTTGCAGTAAGAAGAATGGTTAATAGACTATACAATTATCACAGAATATGAAGGGGTCTCATATCTCCACATCTTCATTTCTGGAAAAGGAAATACAAACAATTATGGATAAGCTGTTTGTAATGATGTTCTGATGGATATGAGATAACAGAGGTTATGCCCATGGCTAGTATGATTAATGTGTGCCTTGTAACCATAAAGTACTTGAGTAGATTCTCAGAAATTTGGTCATATGACCTTTAACCTCCCTTTCCCTTTTTTAGTTTTAAATCACACTCCTCACCGTCATGTGCTTAACTTTATAGTAAGCTAGACTCATCCTGTAGTCGGATCAAAATTAGAATTGCTAGTTGATCGCAAAAACACATGTATAGTGAGGCTGTAAAATCTATGCTATACTTTCAATAGGAGTCTGTTAAAACTGGACCAGATACTATAGTATGTTGAAATAGAGAATGCACTTTGCCATTCTATTAACCCTCGGTGAGCATGCGCAGCGAGGGTTATGGTAGTTGGTTTGTCTGTCTGTCTGTGTGTGTGTCGATGCTTATTCCGGCACTACAGGCTACGAGGCGGCCTATAAGCGATACCAGCGGCTTCAGAGCTACGCTAGCCTGAAAAATAAAAGGGTGATTTTCCTGTAATGATTGCATTCGAGAGATATGCCATGAAAACAAGCAAAAAAGCCAATATGTATAATCGCACTGGGCTTACCGAGATCTGATCCGCTCGCTCTGTGTACCTTGGGGGCTCAGGAAGTCACAACGAATGGCACGTATCGACTCCCTCATGCTATCTACTAGCCCGTGTCATACTCTCTGCGAGCTATTAGCAGGAGACCACGAGTAAACCCATACAAATAGCCCAGCCCATCAATTAGCAGTATGTCGCATGTGCAGTTCGCCGAGAGTTTGCACTTTAGTGCTTTTCATTGAAAAGGAGTGGTTTCTAATGCCACTTAGCACCTATCATGAATAATTCCCTTTGATGTTGAGTGTAGTAATCAAGTGTCTAAAACCCTTAGTACCGGGTCTGCCAGGTATCTAAGTACTAAGTCTCCGAGGCTAAGTTGCAAGTTAGATCACTGTGAAGAGTTTGTTTCACAAAGGTCAAATTCATAATAATCGAGGAGTGGGAAGGCCCATTTGCTCCTAGCTTCGGGACTGCCGCCGAGCTCATCATACAAGCATCGCAGCGCTCAGCCCGCGTCGCTTGGACGATTTGTTGTTGGTCGCTAGTCAGGCGTTTCCCGGTAGTGATTTCAACGCGACACACAACAAATCGTCCAGATCAAGCGACGCGGGCTGAGCGCTCCAGTGGCAGTGTCTTGCTCCGGCGGGGCTTGCAGGATATATCCGTCCAGTTGCTGCGATGCTTGTATGATGAACTCGTCCCGCTTGGCGCCAGTCTCGAAGCTATGAGCAAATGGGCCTTCACCGTTTCCCAGCCTAAATTCTGGCGGGCAGAGCCAACTGGGTAACGAGTCTTGCACACTATCGAAAAGACTAAGCGAAACTGCGCTCTCCGTGCCGCGATTCTAAGCCGGTTAGACCACTGAACTCGTCTCCTCGGTTTGAAAACCCTTGTGGGTCGGGATATGAGAATGACGCAATAGTGACCGAGGCGGCTTCGCTTAGTCTTTTCGATAGCGTGCGTTACCCAGTTGGCTCTGCCCGCCAGAATTTAGGCTGGGAAACGGCGAAGGCCCATTCGCGCATAGCTTCGAGACTGCCGCCGAGCGGGACGAGTTCATCTCGCAGCAACTGGACGGATATATCCTGCAAGCCCCACCGGAGCAAGACACTGTCACTGGAGCGCTCAGCCCGCGTCGCTTGATCTGGACGATTTGTTGTGTGTCGCTAGTCAGGCGTTGAAATCAGCTACATGGTCTACCGGGAAACGCCTGAACTAGCGACCAACAACAAATCGTCCAAGCGACGCGGGCTGAGCGCTGCGATGGTTGTACGATGAGCTCGGCGGTAGTCTCGAAGCTAGGAGCAAATGGGCCTTCCCACTCCTCGATTATTGACCTTTGTGAAACCTCAGTGATCTATTGTTCACAGTGATCTAACTTGCAACTTAGAGACTTAGTACTTAGATACCTGGCAGACCGGTACTACGGGTTTTAGACACTTGATTACTACATTCAACATCAAACGGAATTATTCATGAGAGGTCTAATGCGTCATTCTCACCCCTCCCCCTCGGGTTATTCAAACCTCGTAGTGACTCGTTCCAGTGATCTAACCTATACATCCAAACCAAGATCAAAGGAACGGGACCTTTAAGGGCTACAAAATGACACCAAGCACAGTGTAATAGAGTAAATGGTAATGAAGTTATTCGAAAATCAACATGCATTCTCAATGTGAATGGACTATAGAAAGACCTTTAACCTCTATAACTATATGTGGGATCAAAACAGGCCAAGTATGCAAAGTTGATATGCAACGGCTAGAAATGTGGATAATTTACATTAACTGTAGTTTCCAGACCACCCCCACAAAAAACAAGACTGAGACAGTGTATGACAGGCATGCAGACATTACATGTAAAAATAAATAACACAACCAAAAAATACCCCCAGGCCATATATCCATTATGATAGGGACCAATAAAGTGTGCTAACACATTCCGTTTCCAAGCAAGAAAAGAGAGTGCACGAGCAAAGCCCTGCCTCAGTCCGTCTTTCACCTGCGTATGAGTACTCTAAAGCACTAGCCAGCTTTCCCCTAGTGTAGTCTCAGAGCACAGGTCTGCAGTACGGGCTAAACCAGGCCCACTGTAGTTAACCCTCGGCACGCATGCGCGGCGAGGGTTATGGTACTTGGTTCGTTAGTGTGTCTGTCTGTCACCACGTTATCCGCAACGAGACAACAAAATGGCGACACCAAAAGGTTCAGCGCTACACTGGCTTGATTTTTTTATTTTGCGAATTTCGATACAAATTAGCACAGACCAGATCCGCTTGGTCTGCGTACCTTTGAGGCACCAGAAGTTGCAGCGCGGGGCATGTATCGACCCTAGTAGTGTAACTAGCCTGTGAAAGACTCCATGAGCCAATTACAAAACACCCCAGCCCATCAATTAGCTGTACTGTACATGCGTAAACTTTCGCACGTGCAGTGCGCCGAGGGTTTGCACTTCAGTGCTTTTTATTTTATATGAAAAGCATATTTATAGCATACTAGCCACAGAGAATAGAAAAGAAAGAAAGAAAACCAGAAGTCACCCTCCACCCCCCATCCTCCACCCATACACATATATGTTACTGTTATAAATATTCCTTTACAGACTCCCAACTGGCTTAAGGATTAATACTCGTGGATTGGAAAAACAGCCTAACCCATGTACTGATGTGCACTTTTTAAATGTTTGTACCAGTTAGAATATCCAATCACACATAACAAGTCTTTTGCATACCTTTTTCTGGGAGTCCTCAAGTTGCTTCTTCTCATAATGCTCAAAGTCATCAAAAATGGAGGTTGTGTGACTATATGAATGAATAATTTTCACAACCTGTTTCCCTTTTTCACTTGGAATTTCTTGGGTGTCCCTTGAATTCGTAACGGGCTTATTCTCATTGTTTTCAAGCCTAATATGACGAAGTTGGCTGTTAGGAACATCTTTCACATAGAACCACTTCACATCAAAACGTCCCTTCCATTTGTCCTGTGCCCAAACTCCAGTAGCATTGTGAAAGTCTACTTCGGATTTCATTTGGGCCATACCACAAAAGTGTCCACTTCCGTTTACACTATAAAATAAATACACAGGTTTTCCTTTCTGCTCCTTGAATGCTTGGTCAAGACGCCGGTTTCCATGTTCTGTGCTAGTCCACATACTGTATTTTATTGAACGATGGATATCATCCTCTGCGTAACTCTTTATGACAAAATACCGAGCGTTTGTCAAATTAAGTGTCAATTCAGAGGGATTGTACTTATTCTGAGAGTGAAGCTTGCTAACAATGCCGGATTGGTGAGCTTTTCCTTTGGACGCTGGTTGTGACCCTCCTTGCAGTCCTCCTGTGCTTGTTTTCTTAGTAGAGCTTTGCTTTTCATCAGCCAAGTTGCTGTTACTGGCAGGTGCATTTGCCGACCCTTTATGCGACTGCGAAATAACCTGACGAGATGGAGGATTCGAGGACCTTTTTGCCACATCGGAAACTTCTTGCTGAGGTTGAACCTTGACAGGTGGAGGTGGGCGTGGTTTTGCTGGTTGACTTGCAACTGCAGCCCAGCTCTTGGGCTTTTCTGGCTGAGGAGCACTATTTTGAGCTTGCGAAGCAGATCCTGCTGGTGCTGAGGCAGACGCTGTACTTTCCACACTTTTAGTTGTATCAAGAGTGTTCGCACTAATAGTCACTGGTACAGGTTCACTAACTCCTTGCATAGACCCATTAATCGATATAGCACCAAATGCAGGAGTAATCTGGCCTATAGAATCCACACTATTTGAGGTCGTTGGATCCAACTGCACATTGGCAGTTTGCTCTAATGGTATAGCATTGAGGAACTGGTAACCCATCAAAAGAGGATCTTGGTTCCAAATCATTTCGGAGCCTACAATGTACTGTCCAGGAATCATACTTGATCCAGGGAAACCAAAACCAGCTGCTGCCATCATAGTAGGATCCATCACAGCAGTCCATGAACTACCATCTCCAGATGCAAAAGCAGAATAAGGCATGTGAAGCCCACTTGCATGATGTCCACCAGGCATAAATTGAAGACTGTCCTGGATCACATCATTTGGATCAGCCATAGGAACCTAAAATATTATAATATTCGGTTACTGGTGTTTATGGTAGTAGTAGGTACAGGGATAGGAATTGCATTAGGCTATAATAGGGAAGGTTTTCCACTCCTTGAGATAGACTAAAAGCTAATACAAAACTCCTTGCGTAACGTCCGCAAGTCAGTATTAAATTAAAGTACTAAAGTGCAAACCCTCAGTGACATGCACAGCGAGGGTCACAGTACTTGGTCTGTGAGTCAGGATGTCTGTCTGTCTTGTATCACATTTTCTGCCACAACACACAACAAGTAGCAATACCAACGGATTGAGGGCTTATTTGCTTGAAGCAAATTGAATACTGTGGGCATTTGCTGCAAGCATGCAGTTCGGAATTTTTGCACCTTTCACTCGTATTTACACTCACATATATATAACAATACGGTAACGGTATGCATGTGGCAGTGCCTATACTAAGTTAAAGCACCATGTGAGCGTACTACGGAACGTGGTTTGCGGTCGAGAGACAGACGATAACGCAAACCGAGTTCAATAATAGCCGTAGTATACGAGCATAAACAGTACTTAACTAGTTTGTAGCAAGATTTCAACAGGTAAAACCGGTTTTTCCAGGTAAAATTTGAAAACACGAGCAGACCAGCCATTTTGTGCAATGGACTCAACAGAGGGGGTACTCTAGCTGAGTCACGCTGTGGTGGCACCGGGGCTGTTAGCCCTACCAGACCTTGAAAAAGTAGCTGCTGATGTAGCAACAAGGTCAAGTGGTTTGCTTCTCCGGTGAAGCAAACGGAGACAATAAATCCTACGCAGTACAATAATTTCCAAAGGTTCCTAGTATGGAATTTATTGTACTCCCCATCTCTTTTCACCCAAAAACTGAGCGGCCATTCCATTTTTCAAGGGCCCGAGGTTTCTTTAGTGAAGAACGTTGGGCATGGTCGATGGTCTAGTCGAGCGTGGGAGCTAGCCAGAAGAATCACAGAGGTGCAAAAAGACTACAAGCACTGCTCTTCACTTTATTTACCGCTAAAACCACACCCTAATTTTAGCATGACAATAGTGAAGCGGTTTTTCAATTTCAGAACAACGCTTCAATTGAAACAGAAACTCTTTGGTCACACACTGTACATACATACCTGCACATTACTACTGGCAGCCATTAAATCCTCAGTGGCAGCTGTAGAAACATGACCACCCAATGTAGCTGTAAAAGTATGGTATCAAGGAAAATGAAACCAAAATGTTTTTACCAAATATAATATTGCTAGTAAGTCAAGGAAAGCATTTAATATTTAAATAGGCAAGTTCTGGATTAGGCCATGTTTGTCATGGTCCTGAAAAAAAACCTGCTACATGTACTGTGGTTTTTGTACAAAAACCAGGAAAACCCACACTCACCTACTTTTCCCTCTGGTAGTGCATTTGAGTCACGAGTCTGTCAAAATCCAAATTATAAAGCAATTAGCAAACTCTATAGTATAATATTATAGTGCAATCACTTAAAATTATTATGGGGTGGTTTCCCTTGCTCATTGGGAATGAAACGCTGTTACCAGATATCAATCACTGTACCAATGTCATTTCCCAGGGGCTGTAAAATACATAAGGAAAACAAAGGCATGGAGGATAATATGCAAAAATATCTCCCACACATTAGTGGGATTGACTAGGGTACATGTTAATTGTTTGTTAATGTTGACCTTATATTAAATACATATCCCAACCTGCGGCTAACCAACAATGCTCATTAAGGATACTCTAGAGAATATGTAATGTATCTAGAACTAACCTGACTGACACTTGAGTCAGACATAACACACCCTGTGAGGATCAACAATCAGTTAATGTACAATAATGAAAGTACCTCGTGCAAACCCTTGGTTTTGAATATACGCACAGGTCGACATTGCAAACCCCTACATACACACAGGTCTACTGCTCATTGATGGGGTGGGCTATGCTGTAGATACCCCGCTGAGAGTCTGCCACTGGTTAGCTACAAATGTTATAGTCATTACAGGAATTCTTTCAGATGCCTCAAAATCTACAAGAAGCTGGTTCAGGTCGTATTTGGATAACCCATGTAAACAAGGCGAACAAACTCTGGGACCAGCACATGATTACACGGTAGTTTAGTACAGGTTGTTACGCACTATGAATTGCGAGCATACGGAACATGCTGGCGATCATGGGTGGAGCAGGCCGTCACGCGTTACTATGTGCAGACTCTCCAGTCTGCGTAAATTGGCATGGAGGGATTCCCCGAAGGGTCCACAAAGGCGCGTTTGTTTGCGGCCATCACTGTCTGTGCGTGCTTCTAGTCACGTCATTTTACAAGGGAATAGGTTGTTTACTTGGTTTTCGTGCCATAACGTTTAAACTACTACTTTTACAAAAAATCACCAGTTCTTAAATCACGTCAGTTTAGCTCTTTTCCACTTTGTTGCGCACAAAACAGACAGACAGACAGACAGACAGACAGACAGACTGACCGACAGACCAACAGACACACACCAAAACCAAGTACTGTAACCCTATAGGTGCTATGCAGCACTTGGTTTGTGTCTATTACCATGCCTTTTGCCACCATGCACAAAAAGACGATTTTGAAGGTTGTTGCCATAAGATGGCTCGCGCACAAGCAGTGGATGTTGTTTGAGAGTGCGAGTGTAGAGCTAGTCTCGTACCCAAACCCCGCTCTCTAACGAGGAAAAGGATCTGGTAACATTCGAGTGTTTAGTTTTCAGAAAGCCAAATCGTTTTGGTTGTCACATTCACTTTCATTTAAACATTGCCTGTTCCTCATCCGATCTTTGAAGTGCCAAGCGGTGCAGAGCCTGACGTGCGCACCCTGTATTCTTGAGTGTTCTACAAAATGCATATACCCTCTTGAATTTCACAGAGATAAATGCCAGGGTTCGCCAATATAAGTCAAAAAAGCATCCTAACAACGACAACAGACCACGTCATCTATGGCGCAGTCTAACATCACCCGTACGCTGAAACAAATCGACATACCACCTGATTGTGCGCTCACACACATTGAAGGAGGTAGTAATATCAGAAAAGGACTGCCTGTGGCAGATGACAACCGAGATCTAGTGAGTAGGGGATGGCATTCTTGCTCGGTCTCGGTGTTTAGTGAATGATGTAGTGTGAAGACGGGATACTGTATAGAAAGCAGCATTGTAAACCTGGTTAGGTGAGCGAACATTGAAGCCATAGGCTACAAAATACAGTCACGATTCAAAATTGAGGACCTGTCAGAGGGCATTAGCTACCAGTCTTACGTGCATAAGAAACGAGTCATAGCTGCACATCATTATGATAGAGATCACTTGTGCTTTGCGACAATATAGGGCTTGTGTGGAGTAAAATTTACACGAGTAAGAAATGTTAGTTTGAAGATGTAACCATCGTCCACTGTACTACTGCACCAGGCCATCCTTGCCTTGTCTCCTTGCTTTTTATGGCATCCCTATTCTCCACTTTTTAAATTTACTTTTAGATCTTAGTGTCAATGATTGTTGCTGGGCTCGAAGAATAAACAGTAGTCTGAAGTGCTTGTAGGAGTGGCTGATAACATTTGTGGGGTGAACTGTTATGGTTTGAGACACGATGTCCACAGTACTTCTTCTCTTTGTTGTACGCTTTGAATTTATTGGTGCTTCATCTAGACTAGGACCAGCATGCACTTCAGCCCAAAACCTATACTGGCATGATTTGCCTGCAAGATTTCTTCCACTTTTTCGTCGGACATATCATCATTTTTCTTCCTTTCCTTTCCTTACTATCCTCAGCTTCATCATCACGCCCAACAGCAGAAACTGGCCTGTTACGACTTGAAGTTTGCTCCAGTGGCAACCCACAGAGTAATGTTTAGTCCTTCTGTTAGGCCCTCCCAAATAGATCGGCTTTGCTTCTCATAGTACTTACTTACATTGCACATATCCGAGGTCGAAGTCGTCCTCTGTAATGTCATCCAGTAGCTGCACTTTTACTAGATATTGCAGCAGGCAACAATGTTCCTGAGTGTAAACATCTTTGCACTTTCCCTTTGCTATGCCTACATACTTACAGCTTTCAGGAGAACTTACTTGATTGCTGGCCGCATCGTTTGCTCCTCCGTTAGCTGTGGAGGGCTTGGTGGCAAGCGAGTCACAACTACTTACCTTAGAAGACTGCGGTTATGGAGAAATGGTAAAATTCGTAGCCTTGGACCCGATGACGATGTACCTTGAGCCTAACTTGTTTGCTATAGTCGTTTCTGTTAGTGGAAGTCAGAAATACAGCTGCAGACGGCTCTACACACGCACATGCAAGCAATATTCACAATGCAGGAACGAGCCATCTTATGAAATCGAATTTCAAAATCCCTTTATATAGCAACTGAACACTTTCTTGGTTGTGCTGACTCATCCTTAAAGTGCATGTGAAGAAAGACCCGTTTTTAAGTGTTACAAACAACTGCAAAATTTCATACTGCTGGCAAACACTCCAGTCTGTTTTGGCATGAGCGAGACTGTTGAGTCAGCACAACCAAAAAATGCATGATCTAAGCATAAATACCCAACGCAGTTTAGCTGTAACGTTCATCTGGCCACCGATTATATAGCGCTGTTTTTAGTCATTAACCCTCGACGCGCATGTGCAGCGAGGGTTACAGTAGTTGGGTCTGTCTGTGTGTGTGTGTCTGTTACTCTCAATCACACTTCTCGGGTGTTTGTTTGTCTCACAAAGGATACGACCTACTTAACGGGCAATGAAGGTCAGAAAGTTCGAACGGTTTTTCTCTGAAAATGCTCTGTTGCAGAGCTACAGCGCTTCCACCATTGTACGGCTAATGCGTAGTCGGCCATTTTTATCGCTGCGGAAAATGTGCATGCGCTTATATTTAGCACAGGCTTACCTCGACCGGATTCGCTTGCTCTGTGTATCTTGAAGGCACAATAAGTCACAACGAAGGGCGTGTATCGACTCTCGCATACTATCTACTACTGTAGCTAGCCCGTGTCAGACTCTCTGCGAGGTACTAGCAGGAGACCACGAGTAAACGCATACTAATAGGCAATATCCCAGCCCATCAATTAGCAGTATCGCGCACGCACAGTTCGCCGAGGGTTTGCACTTTAGTGCTTTTCATTAATGTTTGTAATGAAAAGCACTAAAGTGCAAACCCTCGGCGAACTGCGCATACGTGATACTGCTAATTGATGGGCTGGGCTATTTGTACTCGTGGTCTCCCACTAGTACCTCGCGGAGAGTCTGACACGGGCTAGCTACAGTAGTACATAGCATACGGGAGTCGATACATGCCATTCATTGTGACTTTCTGAGGTACCAAGGTACACAGAGCGAGCAGATCAGGTCGCGGTAAGCCAAGTGCGATTACGTATGCATATTGCGTTTTTCGCTTGTTTTCACGGCATATCTCTCGAACGCAGTTGTTTTTCATGCACTTGTAGCACTGAAGCGTTTGGTATCGCTCTTAGGCCGCCTCGTAGCCTGTAGTGCAAGAATAGTCGGCGAGGCACACACAAACAGACTGACCTACTGTAACCCTCGCTGCGCATGCGCGCCGAGGGTTAATAATGAGCAAGCAATGGTAGTCATTACCTAACAGAGCCACATGTCTAGCCATCCCTCCCGAGGTACAGGGTGATAGAATATACACCCCGTGCAGGCTTCACACACAAGAGCCTGAAAACTAAACTATCCTAGTCGCATTAATTTGCGTCCCTGTCCAACCAGCAGGCTCTACTGTGGGATTTAAGTATCATTACCATGCCCATGTCAAAGAAAAAAGACATTGGTACAGTGTTTGGTCTAGAGGTTTCAGTGGAATTTCGGCTGAATCAGCAGGTCTTCCGTAACAAATGTACAGCAAAAATAATGCCTGTGCTTTAAGAAAGGCTAAATGAGTATTGGGAAAGGTCTGCATGTGGGTAGATCTGACTTAAGAACACTGATGAGCCCGGCGTACCCTGGTGTACACGTGCAACACCAGACGATCTGTGCCATTTGGTAAACAATAAAAGATACAGCATATACTCGTCTCTACAATTTTCTTGAAGGTTTCAAGTGCATCCTCCGAATTGTGAGCTACCAAACTTCACGATAAAATTAAGGGGTCAGTACCCCGGCGCACTCACCCTACATCCCCTAATTGGAATAGCTGCACAATTCAATCTATTGGTTCCAATCTCCTCTGGTTTAAGTGGGGCTTTCGAAAAACCCTTAACTTCGCAAAAGGTAGTGTTGCATTGCCATCTCTTCTGGGCCTTTGACTGAAAACAGCATGTGTACATACACACCCGATGTAACCACGCCCACTTGAACATCAGAAGAGGATAACCAACCACAGAGATGGCAACAACCACAGAGATGGCAACGAACACAGACCAACTTATAGATATCTCAGCTTCTCACACATAAAGCACGCTTTCTTGACCCACGGCTTACTAACGGCGTGCTATGTAACACCACGATGTTGTGGATCATTACATGGTTTTGAAAAGAACCAACTCACACAAATATGGTACGAAGGCGCCTCGCCAACCGGTAGGAGTGGAGAAAAGACTATCCCTCCGCGGTCGGTCACACACACGTACACATGTGTTAACGGCAGAACGGAAATGAACCAACCTGCTCCACGCGCATGCGTGTAACTCAGCTGAGCTAGCTAGCTCTCTGGGAGGTAGTAGATGGATGAGGCCACTGCAATTCGATTGGTAAGCCAGTTTCTCTCAGAACGTGGCTTTACGTCTACTTTAAAGGCCCTTGAAATCGAAAGGTACAGCTAGTAAGTATCGACACCATATTTTGGACTTATCCTTCAAAAATATTCGTAGTGGCAGAAAATATATTCCCCTGGAAGATCATGAAGCTAAGAAAACTGGACAACTCCAAGCCATATTAGGTGCATAATTCTTGTTTCACCCAGCACTCTATGATGGAACAGGTTTATAAGTACTTATTCAAATGTTACTTACTTTTTGTTTCCTACTGAGCAATGTTCTCTATGAGGTGTCTATTTTCCAGATGACTATACTTCGCGAATGAAACAAAAACTGGCTCTGGAAGTGTCACCAACTCATTTGGTGAGGAATCTTACTTACCTAGTGTTAGAATTCTGACCTCTCTCCACATAATATTTACCATAAACCCATCTTGACTACAGGATATAATATACAAGTAAATAAAAAATCCTGCGAATTTAAAAAATGAGGCATATAGGGATGGTATAAAAAGAAAGGGAGACAAGATAGGGATGGGATACCTGAAGCATGGTTAATGAACAGATTTGAGCATGCTGACCAATCACACAATCCTTATATTGTTGCCTAGTGTGCTACTCTTAAAAGCAAGCATTCTTTCACTGTGTCCCTGCTGTTTTTAGTAACATTTATACTGCCACATTCCTTTTAATTAAACTCCACTTGGACTCTATGAGGGTGTTGGTTACTCAGTAGTGTATTGCAAGTTCTGAGTATCGTAATGGTGAATGTTTAATACTTCACCTAGGCAACAATATAGGGATTGTGTGGGTGTATGCATGCTCAAATCTGTTCATTAACCATGCTTCATGTATCCCATCCCTATCTTGTCTCCCTTTCTTTTTATACCATCCCTGTATGCCTCTTTTTCTCTTTGGGCGCCATAGGTGTCTCCTTAAATAAGCAGAAATTGAAACATATTAGCGCCTAGTATTATAGCCATATTTAATTCTTATGCACTTATGGTGCATATATATTATATGTAAAATGGCGCCCAAAGGGATTCGCAGGATTTTTAATTTACTTGTCTCCACTCATTTTTATATACTACTACGTATTATCTCTGTGGAAGGGGGCAAGCCCCTATAAAAATTAATAATAAAGAAAAAATGCCTGTTTTCATCATGGAAATGATGTGCATACCATGTTTCAATTCCATGTGTGCTGCCATTAGCAAGTTTGAGGAGTGAAGAAGTAATTTTAAAGAAAAGTCCCTATGGCTATTTGTTGTTGTGGTCGTCATGGAAACGATGTATACATGCGCACCAAGTTTCACCTCCATGCGTCTGCAGTTAGCAAGCTTGAGGAGTGAAGAAGTAATTTGAAAGAAAAGTGCCTGAGGCTATTTGTTGTTGTGGTCGTCATGGAAACGATGTAATACACATGCGCACCAAGTTTCACCTCCATGCGTCTACAGTTAGCGAGTTTGAGGAGTGAAGAAGTAATTTTAAAGAAAAATGCCTGAGGCTATTTGTTGTTGTGGTCGTCATGGACACATGCGCACCAAGTTTCACCTCCGTGCGTGCTACAGTTAGCAAGTTTGAGGAGTGAAGAAGTAATTTTAAAGAAAAGTGCCTGAGGCTATTTGTTGTTGTGGTCGTCATGGAAATGATGTAATACACATGCGCACCAAGTTTCACCTCCGTGCGTGCTACAGATAGCAAGTTTGAGGAGTGAAGAAGTAATTTTTAAGAAAAGTGCCTGAGGCTATTTGTTGTTGTGGTCGTCATGGAAACAATGTTAAACACATGCGTACCAAGTTCCAACTCCATGCGTGGTACCGTTAGTGAGTTTGAGGAGTGAATAAGTAATTTTAAAGAAAAGTGCCTGGAGCTATTTGTTATTGTTTACAAACATGTATTGTTGTGGTTTTAATGTTGGTGATTGAGCACATTATGTCTAGAAAGTTTCGTTCACATAGCTCTTACCATTTGTGAGTTATACTGACACATGTTATCCCATTATAATCTATTGCCCGAGGCTATTTGTTGTTGTTTGCAGTAAACAATGTTGTTTACAAACAAATGAGTATGACCTGTCTCTTTGGGTGACGGATATCTACATTGTTACAAAATTTCGCTTAGACGCTGATTCGAGGTAACTACGCGCAGTAGAAAGCCGAGAGCCCCGGCATTGTGGCGCCCCGAGCGCAGCTAGGGCGCTACCCCCGGGGCACGAGGCTTTCTACCGACGCGTGGTTACCGAGGAATTAGCGTCTAACTATTTTAGACTGGGCGCTTCACGTTGAGCGCTCTGGCTTTCCTGTTCGTTCGTATGGCAGAGCGCTTCTAACGATGACTCGATGGAGACAGGCTCAGAGCGCCAGAAATGCAGTCCAAGAAGAGCGAAGCGGCAGAGACACGCGGTAGCGACTCCGCCTTCTTTTTCTGCGCGTGGCGGTGCGCGCAGGGGAGTCTGCGCGTCGCGTGGACGACGTGTCAATGTAGATTCAATTGTTGATCTTGTTGTTTACATGTAACAACAGACCATGTGATGCCAAGAGAAAAAAGCCAACATGTACATTGTGTTATGTTTTCTTGTCTTATATGTAGGTTTTGTAGTTTCTGTAGGTTTACTACATGTAGTAAACCCCGTCGAGGTTTACTATGGGATTTAGTAAACCTCGCCTTTGCAATCTGATTGGTCAATTCGAACCTAGCTCACTCATGTTATTTCGTTTTTGAGTTACGCGAGTTCAATCTGAAGAAGGAGAAGGAGAAGAAGAAGATGAACAAAACTCCCTATCATAGCCCCCATACATCTATGATGCTAGGTACCATGTCAATCCCTATATACCGTACTTAGTGATAAGCATGGAAGAGTGATGGCTCAGAGTGCATTGTGCATTAAGCTACCTGTTCTCTTTTTAGTTCCAACGGGGACAGGGCGAACATGCAAACATGGTGAGTTATTTCTTATCACTGTTAATTAGTAGACCTCTAGATCTATACAGTGTCTCAATAGGTATGTATGCATGTTCTCTTCACACAGTTATTGAAGTCCTTTGAAGATGTAGGTGGTGGTGTCAACATATTGGTGGTTAGACTAATAGAGAATGGTGGTATGCAGAAAAATGATGTATGTGTGTATGAAAATGAGCTACTGCATGCCTGTGCCTGTAATATATCGCAAGATCAAGGACTTGATATATGTAACTAGCTAAGTGCAGGAGACGGGAGGGCAAGGGCAGACTACCTAATGTACAGTGTACTATGCATGGGGGACATAGTTTAGAACAGCTTAGCTGCTCAGTATACAGGGTGTGAGCCCTGAGTGGGCTCAGTAGCCCTTTCAAACAGAACCGTGGCTTGTCAATAGCAAGAGTGCACACTTGTTCAATTATAAGGAGATAGAGCTGTACATTTGCACTGAGGATTGTTAAGTCTTCAAGTTAAAAAGTGTGAATATAGGGATGCATAAAAAGAATGGAGACAAGACAGGGATGACTAGTGCATGTGATGCAGTAGTACAATGGATGATGGTTATATTATCTTCAATGGCACCAGTCTCTATGCTGTTTGTGTGTAAAAATTCTCGTGTTGTGTTGGTTATAGCCACTAACACCATTTAAAAGTGTTGTTTGCCTGAGGCTGTTTGTTGCTGTTTACAAACTTGTAACTTCTGCTTTGATAAAATTCTTATCGTAGTAATTAGTGTATCAGGTTTCAATGTTAAAGACCCACCATAAGCAAGTTTTATAATAGGCGCAAACACATAAGTTTTTTTTGCCTGAGCCTGTTTTGTTGTTTACAACCTTGTAATATCTGCTTCTAAGAACTCTTATCATGGTACATTTGTGTACCAAGTTCTATTGTTAAAGGACCCACCGTAAGCAAGTTATAGGACAAACACAGTTTACAAGTTGTTTTTTTCCCTGAGCCTGTTGTTCTTTACTTGTACTTTTCGTTTGGGTGAAGTTTGATCATGGTACATCAGTATACCAAGTGTCATCGTTAGAAAGCAAGTTATAGTTACATTTAAAAACTTAGTATTTTCTGTATTGAGCAACTCTTATCATGGTACATCAGTGTACCAACATTTTCACCAGGACCCAAAGCAAGTTATAGACTTTTTAGAAGCCTTAAAATACCGATTATGCCATTTCTGAGGTACAGACTCTTTTTGACCATACGAATCAGACTGATGTGTCAGAGGTGGGATCTCATTGAAACTGAAAGCGAAACGAACAAATATCAAATGTATGGGCATAATGCAGGACATGGCGTGTCATCCCTATTTACTAAGTACTATTGTACTTAGTGATACACACAACTCATGGATATAGAATTTAAGTGGTGGTTGTAATACTTCATTAGTTCTGATATATGGAGCTGCGAAGTCATTGATTGGTGTAGCAGAGTTGTCACTTCCTCTTACCTTCGAAAGACCTCCAGTTACCCCAATTTTTACTGTGAGCACTTTCTGCAAAGGAGCTGTTTTGAGCCTTGATGTACATCCCAAAAATCGGTAATGTTAGCCAGATTGATTTGGCAAGGAAAGAGATATATACTATTCTTGTTTTCACAGTTAGTCATTCCGTACGGACTTATATAGCTTTGATCCTTGCATACATGACATGCAAGCAATGAGTAGCAAGAACTAATGAAAGGATTTGCATGGACAACCTTCTTCATTTTATTGCAGGAATTTAATTGTTTGTGGAAGTATGGACCGTCTAGCTTTCATTCTCGACCTTTCAAAGGCAGATGAAGATATGGTTATTCAGAAATTCGAAAGTCATACCAAGTATGGTTTCCACGGACATAACATTTAGTACATAACCCTTGTTTCTTGAAGGTATGTTGTGCGAGTGTTATGGTCGAGCTCAGGAAATTTTTTTATCACAGCTTCGTATGATAAAACGATATGTGTGTATAAGTAAGTTACTGAACTTAACTCTAGCTAGCTACATACATCTTTTGTAATCCATACAGACTAAGAAATGATGAAGTTGAACTCTATGACATTATTCAGAAACTTCATTTCAAAGGAGTAATTGAGAGTTTAGCATTTTGTAAGGTATGCCTGTATTAAAAATCAATACATAATCCGAGTGAAGTGGCCTTTAAGGGTGTAATTTTAAGATCACAGGATCCCATGTATACTTGTAGTTGAAGTATGTATTACCTGTCTGTGTGTCTGTTTGTGTATATAAAATGATTGTGTTCAAGAGAAGTATGGTGTAAAAACTAACCCAATATGCATAAAAGGCACTTGCTTACTTACCTCTGCCAGTTTTAGCCTGTTCCGATCATTCTGTAACCAGGATAGTGACACATTTGTGGTCGGAGTACGTGATGACTGTATTCTTCACTGCTATAATCTCTCATCTGGAATTGCTCAGCTTGTATGTTATTCACCTCTTTTAATGTCATTCTGATTGTTTGCTTTATTACAGTGCCGTCAGATGAACATGAATTCAATTGGTGATGACTACGTTAGCTTTGTTCCTATGCACATATCTTTTGGTCCCAATGGGCATTTCATGCTTATATCAACTGGTAAGAATTAAGATACACATCATAGAATTAAATCTTATTGCTGGGTTTGTGGGTGAATTATAGGTGGGGAACAAGTACAAATTACAGTTAGAGTTTAGTTCATGACATTAGCTATCGCCGAGGGGGCATAATGCAGTTGGTGGTTGTAATGACCTGATGCCTAGGTGACTAGAATTTTTGAGAGTGATTCTGAGGCATACTTTGGAGCAGTTTCAGTCAGAAATCTGTAACAAGTTTAGTGCTTGCAGGCCTAGCTACACAGAATAATGTTTATGGCAAGGGGGAGGGGAACAAGGGGAATCCTAGGGGGTGAGCGAAATCATTACCAGTCTTGTCACCTGTATCCTTACATTTGACAGACCAAGACAGGCTCTTACTGTATTCATGGACCAATGGAAAGCAGGTACATACCTTTTTTGATGATTTTGCAAAAACCTAGCATACATATTCATTGGCATTATATTTTTGATTGTAGGACACACAGTAGTTTCATCTTACAATTGTCAGTACCATCAATTTCGTGTCTTGGGTAGCTAGTGCAGAATAACTAGTACATATTTCAGATTGAACTCGCATTACTGAGAGAACGAAATATCCATAACCCAAAGGGACTCTTTTTAACATTTGTTTGCTATAAACAAACAAAAAATAGCCCAGGTAAACTCAGTTGGTAATGGCTAAACATAAATCAACCAGATCAAACAGCATCAGTCAGTACATTTGATGAGATTGTGTATCATTAACTGGCTAATGGTAATTCAGTAAAGGAAACTTAAAATAATTAAAACCGACGTTTCGGAGCCCTCACTAGCTCAATCCTCAGGGTGCAAAAACTGAACTAAGCAACGAGAAACATACACAATAAAGGGGAATACAGGACCAGAGTGACTAAGGAATGCAGAGGACAATGACAATAGAAATTAATAAGTGAGCAATGGTGGAAGGTGTCTAAGGGCAAAAAGGATCCCAAATATAGGAAACCAACACACTCCGACCAGCTTTTGAATTTTAACAGCTATCATCCAGCCGCTGATCTGTTGACGAAGAAATCATCTCATCCTTCAACGTCATCCGGTATTGATCAGGAAAACCAACGTCTTAAAAAGGTGTTCAAATCGGACAATTACCCCCGACAATTGAATAATACGTCGATAACATTTATTTCCATTCCCTACATAAAAGTAACTTCTGAACACATCAAACGAATCCTCGAGAAAGTCGACATTCATACGTGCTTCAAAAATACTATCAGACAACACCTTTGTCATCCGGAAGATGCTGTGCCTATGAATGGAAGATCAGGTGTGGTCTACTGCATTCCATGCAGAGACTGCAATTTCTCGTACATTCGTGAGTAGGGTCTCCACCTACCTACCCGAGTAAAACAACACCGTAAAGCCACCCGTAAATGTTAGACCGAGAAGTCTACCATAACTGAGCATGCTTGGGGTAACACCATCAAATAAATTGGGATGGTGTCTCTTTCTTGGACTGTGAGACATACACCAGGTCGAGGAAAGTTTGAGAAGCCATACACATCAGGAAAAAAATCCCCATTAATGAACAGAGACCAAGGCCTCGACATTTCCCATTATTTGGGATCCCTTCTTCGCCCTAGACTCCTTCTACCATTGCTCACTTATTAATTTCTATTGTCTGATCCTGCATTCCACTTTATTAACCCTCAGCACGCATGCGCAGCGTGGATTCGGTAGGTGTGGGTGTGTCCTACTCCCTCACGCGAGCCACGAATCCCTCCTCAAACAATATCACGTATTCAGCATCGGATGAAGGTTGAAAATTATGTGGGGTTTTCTCTGTAACTGCTGCGTTCGAGAAATACGGCGTAAAAACCAAGTGAATGAGCCAATATGGAAATTAATACGGGCTACCTCGACCAGAACGCTTGGCTGCTCTTCATACCTTGGAGACACCAGAAGTTGCAAATGCGGGGCGTGTATCGACTCTCGCATGTTATCTAGTAGTGTAGCTAGCGACTCTTTGCGACCTGGTAGGAGCTCGAAGACCACGGAGTCAGTATAGGCTAGGCCCAGCCCATCAATTAGGAGTACCATCCGTGCGTGTATCACTATAGGTATGACACAGGTTGTCCTGCACTATGCCCATACGTACATTTGAGATTTCATGTTTCACTTTCTATTTCAATCAGATCCAACTTTTGACACATCAGACTAATTTGTATCGTCACAAAGAGCATGTATCCAATAAATAGATCGCATAATCGGTACATGATTTATTCAAAAAGGTCACTTTTCAATTTTCTTGTTGTTGTTGTTGTCGTTCAGTTTCAACAAGCGTATCTCAAAATCCAGGTAAGATATGGAAATCAACTTTGTATTGCCTGGGGCTATTTGTTGTTGTTTACATGTAAACAATATAGTTTAAGAAATAAAAATGCTCTTGCACGACCTGTCATGGATTCCAATCTTTGTGCATACATTATTATAGAGACAAATAAAGTGTCCTAACTGGGTAAAGCTCATACCCAGAGTGATAAAACTTTGTACACACATGAAACCCATCATTAGTATCAAAATATTAACATTACAAGTTTGTAAACAACAACAAACAGCGCCAGGCAATAAAAACTTGTAAAATGCGTTTGTGCGTACAACTTGCTTATGGTGGATCCTCTAACAATGAAACTTAGTACACTGATGTACCACGATGAGAGTTGATTGAAACACAAATATACAAGTTTGTAAACAACAACAAACAGCCTCAGGCAATAAAAACTTGTAAACTATATTTTTGCCCTTATGGTGGGACCTCTAACAATGACACTGCACGTTCCATGATAAGAGTTCATTGAAACAGGAATTACAAGTTAGTAAACAACAACAAACAGCCTCAGGCAATGAATACTTGTAAATGATGTTTGTGTGCCTGTAACTTGCTTATTGTGGGTCCTCTAACAATGAAACTTGGTACACTGATTTACTATGATAAGAGTTCATTGAAACATGAATTACAAGTTTGTAAACAACAACAAACAGTCTCAGGCAATTAAGTGCTGTTTTTCCTATAACTTTGTACACTTATCTACTTTTGTAGTGAAATAAAAATGGAGATGACGACTAAGCAATAAATACATGTTACTTTTTATGTGGACATTATGCCCCAATGCATGTGCATGCAGTAAAAAAAGGAAAGGGGACAAGTAAATAAAAATTCTTCGAATTAAAAAGTGTGGAATATAGGGATGCCATATAATGGAAGGAGGCAAGACAGGGATGACCTAGTGTATGTGATGCATTAGTAGAATGGGATGATGGTTACATCTTCAAACTGACATTGCTTGCTCGTGTAAATTGTCCTCCACACAAGCCCTATATTGTCGCCACTTTTACTCACAACATGAATTTGTTTAGTGTGAGGACAATGGTAAACGGATTCTCTGGAGGGCAGCATTGTGTAAAACCCATCGTTAGTTGAGTGAACATGGAGGTCTTAGACTGCACACAATGCAGTCACAACCAAAACTGTCAGAGAGGGCAACACCTGTGCATTACGTGCTTAGGAAATGAGTCATTCTATGAGGGAGCACAGTCATGCTTCGCGACAATATAGTGCTTGTGTGGAGGAAAATTTACACGAGCAAGTAATGTCAGTTTGAATAAACCATCATCCCATTGTACTAATGCACTAGGTCATCCCTGTCTTGTCTCCTTCCTTTTTATGGCATCCCTATATTCCACACTTTTATAATTCGAAAATATTTTTATTTACTTGTAATACTTCCGCGCGCGCGTTTCCAATCTGAGGCAGGCAGTGCTCAATTTTTTTATGGGCGGAAAATTTGTGTAACAGCCTACCGTTTACCCAGTATATGAACTATGGTACACATGAACTGTTAGGTTTTGTTTAGGAGCCTACATAGTGGCATCTTCTGTAACAACCGTATACCACCCTGTTCTGCTCCTACATACTGAGTAACAGTATACTGTGCCCTTACACGGTGGTTTCAGGTTTGCCCTTATGTTGTGAATATTTGAACCCTACCAGCTCAGTTGCCCTAGCTCTGCCTAGACTGCAGAGTTCGAATCCCACCTAGGGCAGCTCTTCCGTTTTCCTTGGAAGAAAAGGGCTGTCCTGGGTGTGGTTGACTTGTTTGTTGTGCCTTATGTGCTACTTTTAGTATACTTTCTTCGTTCAGGTTCTTATGTTGCTCTTTGTCCTATGTACGTACGTTGCTCCAGTTTTCCGTCTATATTCATGGGTAGACAAGCTAACTCTAGTGCTTTTAAGAGCAAGATGACTGCCCCAATGACACAGCTGTGCATGTTGGTTTGTGATGATTGCCTTCTTACAGAAAACAGTTGACACTCCTCCACTTACCCAAGAAAATGATAAGCAATTTCACCAGTATAATAATATACTTTTAACACTTTCAGATAGCTTGTTTTTATGGTGCTACGAACGATGAATTAAGTCAACCAAGAAATTGCTGGGATCATAGTGGAAAGTATGTTTATGGCGTAAGTATACAATTTCAGCACTTGCTTCTCTCAGCAATGTAATTATTACCTTTACAGACATCCCAGGATGGATCTATAGTTGTGTGGGAAATCAGGTCACAGAGAATTGTCTGTAAACTTGAAGGTCACAATGCAACAGTGGTAAGTATTCTTGCCTTGTTTAATTGTTTGATGAATAATGTTTACAACGAAATTACACATTGTGTATATAACATACATAATGAGAGTGATGGGCACATTACATGAGCTATCACATCCTATTGTACTGAAACAGGGAAGAACCACAGTGGCAACATATGTTCCCTAGTTTTTCATCTTTGCGTGGAATGTATGAACATATTGGGCAGCATATACGATATTTCTTGAAACGAATTCCACAAGCATTGCAATAGGGTGTTCCATCTTCCGAATCTCTCCACAAAGGAGTCTTTCTTGTTTTGCATGATGCACACACTTTTCCTTTGTACACTGAATTCTGCTTTTTCTCGGACAGACTACTCTCATGCATCTCTACCTCTTCATGGTTCTGCGGTGCACAGACACGTGTTGTACTGACTGTAGATAGAGTACATTCTGCATGACATTCAAGAACCTTTTCTTTAGCACCACTGCATTTGGCATCACTTTGACTGAAGAGTCTCCTGCGTGCTTTTAGATACCAATGACTACCTGTAGTTCTTATATCGAGAGAAGGAACCGGAGTACCATCTATTAGTTGAAACTTTACAACAGCACAATTGCTACACCGCACAGGAGTCTTCTGAGGCTGCTTCAATTTCCGTGAAATTTGCTTGCTGTCGTCAAGCGGAGTGCAAATTCCGATCGATTGAGGTGAAATCTGCAGAATTTCTGTCCCTTTTCCCTCCATTCTCCACAGCTTAGTAATGCAGGCTAAGTTCTGAACTTGAGAAAGACTGTATTTCTCAGCTGCGCTTGCAAGTTTACTTCTTCGTATTTCCCGCGCTATCGGCGCGCGCGTGCGCACGTACGGCCGGCCGGGCGCGATTGGCGAATTTTTCCGAGGGGCGGGCCTTGGTTCCACAAGATGCTGCGTTGCAACTCGATCTCCCAGTGTATGCATCCCAGGTTCTCGGTTTTCTGGTGGGATATGGGCAGGATAGGCGGCAGTTATCGTGCTTATGAACACGCCCGAAGAGAATGCCTACGCAGGCAGATCCCAAGGCAAGAAAGTTTCACGCAAACCAGAGGCTCGAAGGTGGCCGTGTTTAGGCATCGTAGAATACTTCCTTCACAAAATGCTCTATAGCCTATGTGTTTAGTCTGGTAGGCTAGCGAGTGTTATGCCCGCCTCATCCCTTTGAGCTGTTTAGTGAAGGAAGAAAATGGTCGTGTTAGGCTTATTCTCTCCATGGTACATTCATAATTTCAGGGTAAAACACTGATGTGGCTGTACAACATTACCGTGTTTCGGCTACAGTGGAGGTTCATTAATTGGTGTTCTGTCTAGGAAGTTACTTTTATGGAATATTATTATCTCGTGTATGTTCTTTTTTCCTCCCCCCACAAAAAACGACTAGGCTTTCAAGTAAATTAAAAATCCTGCGAATTTTAAAAAAGAGGCATATTATAGGGATGGTATAAAAAGAAAGGGAGACAAGATTGGGATGGGATACATGAAGCATGGTTAATGAACAGATTTGAGTACGCTGACACCCCCAACCCCATCACACAATCCCTATAATTATTGTTGCCTGGTGTGCTACTCTTATAGGGGCTAAAGGTTACTAAAAGCAAGCATTCTTTCACCATGTCCCTGTTGTTTTTAGTAACATTTATACTGCCACATTCCCTTTTAAACTCCATTTGGACTCTATAAGGGTGTTGATTAGCTACTCAGTAGTGTATTGTAAGTTCTGAGTATTGTAAAGGTGAATGTTTAATTCTTCACCTAGGCAACAATATAGGGATTGTGTGATGGGGTTGGGGGTGTCAGCGTACTCAAATCTGTTCATTAACCATGCTTCATGTATCCCATCCCAATCTTGTCTCCCTTTCTTTTTATACCATCCCTATATGCCTCTTTTTTAATTTACTTGTCTCCACTCATTTTTATATACTACTACGTATTACCTCTGTGGAAGGGGGCAAGCCCCTATAAAAACTTAATAGAGAAAAATGCCTGTTGTCGTCACCGAAATGATATGCATACAATGTTTCATCTCCATGTGTGCTGCCGTTAGCAAGTTAGAGGAGTGAAGAAGTAATTTTAAAGAAAAGGGCCTGAGGCTATTTGTTGTTGTGGGCGTTATGGAAACGATGTAATACACATGCGCACCAAGTTTCACCTCAATGCGTGCTTTAGTTAGCAAGTTTGAGGAGTGAAGAAGTAATTTTAAAGCAAAGTACCTGAGGCTATTTGTTGTTGTAGTTGTCATGGAGACGATGTAATACACATGCGCACCAAGTTTCACCTCAATGCGTGCTATAGTTAGCAAGTTTGAGGAGTGAAGAAGTAATTTTAAAGAAAAGTGCCTGAGGCTATTTATTGTTGTGGTCATCATGGAAACAATGTAATACATGCGCACCAAGTTTCACCTCCATGCGTGCTACAGTTAGCAAGTTTGAGGAGTGAAGAACTAATATTAAAAATATTGCCTGAGGCTTTTTCACCCAATATGCGGTCGTCATGGAAACATGTAATCGTCACGGAAATGATATATAAGGCATACATACCAAGTTTCATCTCTATGTGTGCTACCATTGGAAAGTTTGAGAAGTGAAGAAGTAAATTTAAAGAAAAGTGCCTGAGGCTATTTGTTGTTGTTTGCAACATGTGTTGTTGTGGTTTAAATGTTGGTGATTGAATAGATTATGTCTACAAAGTTTCGTTCACATAGCTCCTACCATTTGTGAGTTATACTGACACATGTGATCCCATTATAATGTATTGCCTGGGGCTATTTGTTGTTTGCAGTAAACAATGTTGTTTACAAACAAATAATATGAGCAGTCTCTTCGGGTGATGGATATCTACATTCTTACAAATTTTCATTACTATACGTTGTTTCGTTTTTGAGTATCTGAAGAAGAAGAAGGAGAAGAAGATGAACAAAACTCCCTCTATCATAGCCCCATACATCTATGATGCTAGGTACCATGCCAATCCCTATATACTAAGTACTACCGTACTTAGTGATGGGTAATTCAGCGGCCTACAATCTTTTGCATGATATTAGTGTAAACCCCTCTATATTATACAGAGGGACCTTTTCTTCTGCAATGAGCTAAAGTTGTTGGTTTCATGTGGCTTTGATGGATCAATTAAATTGTGGCAATCACATTCACCGACAAGAGAAATATTGTAGAGTCATAAACCATAATGTGTGACCACACTCACATCACTTTTTATCTGCTCAAATAAATGTTTATACACTGTGTGTACATGGTCAAAAATGTATCTGTTTGATATAGGACATAATTTTTTCATGTAATGACAAAATTACAGTTGTTAAAAAACAGATGGCTGTCCAGGCAAACTTTACCATACTTCTTCCTCAGTTCGACCAAATTTGAAAATCAGTGTGCTGGAGAAAAGAGATACCAGGTGCATACATCTGTAATCCCCTCCTCCCTACTCAATATTTTGCCAAGCAACTGAAAACTTTATTTCAGGCCACAGAAAGGGTGTGGCTTACTGGGAAGTATGCCAATAAGTGGATCAACGGCTAGCAAAGTTGCTACATTTCCTTAATTAGGGGTTAATTCGCTCATGCATCTCATGCCCCAAACTACAGGATCAGCACGACAGACAACTGCACACAGAAATAATACCGACAACCTGTAACATGAGAGCGGACACCAGATATCCAGCCTTGAGAACTGAGACAGTGCGTGTAATTCTTTGGCCTTCTTTAGCTAGATTATAAGAGCACAAGTGCCACACTTCTTATTATGCACTGTTTTGCGGTCTTCCCTAATTAACCCTCGGCGCGCATGCGCAGCGAGGGTTACTGTACTTGGTCCGTAAGCTTGTCTGTCTGTCTGTCTGTCACCACGTTTTTTGTAACCACGTGCAGCGAGACAACGAAAGAGCGATACCAAAAGGTTCAGCGCTATACCGGCTTGATTTTAAATGTGGCGATTTTCGTAAAAGCAGTGCGTTCGACAGTTATGGCGTGAAAACCAAGTTAACAAGCCAATATGCTAATTATTATTCGCTTACCTCTAGGAAACGAGAAATAAACGCATGCGTGTGTTACACTGGCGGGTTGCGCACAATGATCACGTGTTTCTCGCCGTAAATAGCACTGTTGAGCAGCCAGGGTTTCATTTTTCTTGTGAGGGCAGCGCTTCTGGTCGTTTCTGGTGAAAATACTTTTTTGAGCTGGCAATCAGCACTCGTACATTCCGCGCGTTGTATGCAGAGGGGGCTGACCGATGGAGAGCGATAGACGCCCGAATAAGGTATGTCTGTAGTGTGACACAACAGTACTCGGCGGCGTGGAACCACGCAGCCCAAACCACATACGTGGTTCCACGCCGCCGAGGTTTTGCACTTTAGCGCTTTTCATTACATCAGCTTTGTGCCTGAGACCTGATAGTACAGCAATAAATTACTGTGTAAGTAAAAGCTTTTGCAAATTGTGTTATTTTCTACCACGCTGTCAGCAGACTGTATTTGTGAAGTTTTTAGAGATTTGCAAAAGTAGTACAGTTGCGTGGAATTATCTCATGATATATTTTGTAACATAAACCATCAGGCCTGCAGCCCTTAGACATTGTTAAGGTGGTACATATCTATCTGGGTCGCTATATAGGAAGGTGACCTGACAGTAGTACAACTGTGCAGCCCGAGTACTGTGCCAACAAATCTCATGTGGTGCAAAACATACAAGTGGACAGTTGCACTTCACTCACTAGATCATACTACAAAACGTACTTGCAGTGAAAGGTTCACGAGGCATCACAGGATCCTGCGTCGCGACAAGATGGAAATGCACAGGATAATTGGGAACATACAACGCAAGGTTGCATTGCGTTTGGCCCTCTGTGACGTGTTGTGCGACATCGCAGGGAATCTCCGACATCGCAAAAATATTGCGTTGTGTCGGAGGGACCCACACCTCCTTTTTACAAGGACATGTTTATCTCGTTTGCACTATGGCTCTGCCACTTAGTACCCACTTAGTTGAACAGTTGAAGAATGCGGCCCTCGATATGTTTAGGGGACCAGCTATAGGAGAGAAAATTTTGACATGCTGTTAAAAAATCAGGCCCAAATTTTACTGCTGTAAAATAACAATGTAAAAAGGAGGCGTGGCTGACATCTTCCAAATGATCAATGACCACACCCCCTTGTAAGTCCAAAGTCCATCATGACGACCCCATGCTCAATATAATTTAACTTAAAGGTAGTATGACAAGATATGATTAACAACCAGTTTTGACAGGGAAGTCCCCACAATCACATGTAGTATGCACAAACCTGAGGAAAATGAAGAGGTTCTGGAGAAAGAAAGCGATCCCTTGCCACCAGTGAGGAAAGCCAGGTGGACATGAGTTACCAGAGGACTGACTAAGTGAAGGAGAAGTAGTCACTGTCACTGTGCTGTTGCCTTCATTTGTCGAGTGGCAGTCATCAGTCACAGCTGGTGACAAAAGTACATAATTATGTATCTAGTTGGACTATATAAAACCATGTATGTACATAATGAAAAGTGTGAGGTAAGCTGTAGGTCCAGCTAGCATTTAAAGGGATCCCTAAGTACCATTGATAACTTGGGGACTCTTTATCAGCTGATGACATCTGGCAAAGTCCAGAAAGCAAAGGTCTGAAGTTTTGACACAAGCAAACCTGGTAGTATGATTTGTCTGGTATATAGCCACACTCAATTAAAGCATGCCTACATTTTGTGAATTTAACTTTATCCGCAAGGCAAAAAATCACGGTACATAGCGAGACAGTGAGTGCTATCCAGATTGAAGAAATAGAACAAACCTACATTGATGAAATTATAGTATCTTCTTATCACCACCGATGCCAATGACGTAATTGTGGCATACAAATGCTATGTATATATAATATATATATATATATACGTATTATACGAACAAGAGGATCGAGTGGTGTATGCTGATGCAAGTTCATTTATACTTACCAGGAACAAGAAACTCCTGCACCAGTATCCACAGAGATCCAATCAATCCTCCAAATGCAAGAACAAACCCCACAAATAGCCAGGCCCGGGCACCTATATAGTACAAAAGGCAATCTTAATGATTAGTTTTGGATGAAGTGGTGGTATACAGCTTTCCGACAGGCTCAGGCAAACACATTGTTTGCCTGGACATAGATATCTTTTAGGATGTTCGGCTACACAGGCATAATAGAGAGGAACAGCCAAGCTCAGCGCAGTGCACTCAGAAATCAGCACACAAGCACTCAGCCACAACCCCCCAGATGAAAATGGTCTTCCTCTTTCCCTAGTGGACATTGCCGCTGGGGAAAGGAGAGTGAATCCGTGTTCAGTGTACTATACTTTTCCCAGTACACAGCGCCCGACTTCAACTCCTGACTTTTTCTCTCTCACACCTGAATATTCCTGGCATCTTTCCCTATAATGGGATCTCCTTGTTGGTTCTCGGATTAATGTTTATCACGTCCCTTTTTAAGTTAAATGCCATTCATACCGTGTGTAGAAATTTACAAATTTGGTTGCATGCTTGCAAAAATGTGTTGCCTTGTGCAGGAAATGTATATAGGAGTTGAGCAGTGTTTGAAGAGGCATGGTACTCGGTTGGTTCTCGGATTAATGTTTATCACGTTTGCTGTCCCTTTGTACGATCAATGCCAATCATAATGTACAGTACCTTTTCTCCCAAGGCATCCTTCTGTGTATAAGTCTCCAGTAACCTGTCCGGTAGAAACAGCATTGATCCTGCAAAAATCCAAAACCTAATTCATAGCAATAAAACTGTGCACCTTACAGCAGAACAAAGTACATGTACATCTACCGTCATAACCCAGCAATACTCTGCAGCTCCTCAGACACAGTCTGAGAATAGGATTGCCATTTCTGAATTATAAATTTCCAGCAAACTCCCAGACATCAGTAGCTAACACAAAAGATATACAAAACAAACATTGTGGAACTGATTGGCATAATGTTCTTGCTTTGCACATATTGTTTCTTGATCTGACTGGCTAGTTGGACACCATGCCTAGAACGAATTCAACACAATTGCAAGCAAGCGGGGGGAGTCACATTCACACTGCATACACAATCGCGAAATTTCAACTCTGTTATGACTATTACAACGTATTACAACTGTATGTGTGACAGTGCCTGCTGGTGGACGTAGGCTCGCTTTGCTCTCCAATTACGTAGTCATTGCCCCAAAACCATGTCACATGCACCTGTGGTCTTTTTATGTCGGGCGCCTGGGGTCTTGTTATGCCGGGCACCAGGATTAACCCTCGGCGTGCATGTGCAGCGAGAGTTACTGTACTTGGTCCATTAGTGTGTCTGTCTGTCTGTCTGTTACCATGTTTTCTGCCACCACACGCAACTAGACAACAAAAGATCAATATGAAAAGGTTCAGTGCTATACTGGCTTGATTTTAAATTTGGCGATTTTCGTAAAAGTACTGCGTTCGAGATTTATGGCATGTGCAAATTAGCACAGGCTTACCTTGACCGGCTCTGCTTGCTCTGTGTATCTTGAAGGAACAAGAAGACTCCCTCATGCTATCTACTACTTTCGCTAGCCCGTGCCAGACTCTCCTCGAGCTACTAGCAGGACACCACGAGTAAATGCACGGCTAATAGCCCAGTCCGTTAATTAGCGGTACCAGTTCGCCGAGGGTTTGCTTAGTCCTTTTCATTGACATTCAGTGGTGAGTTGTAGTGAGGCCAACAGATTATTCTTTATGGCCACTGAGGCTGACACAATGTTACTGTTTGCTTTTTTTCATTCTGATCTTCTTTTCTGCTTTTATTCTTGAGAAGTTTGATTATTGTACATACCACTGGATAGCTAGACACTTACATCAAAAGTGCTATAGTAGAAAATATTCCACAGATGTGAAACGCTGCATACACCGGCTCTGCCCTTTCAGCACAAGCATCAATTGCAAACCACCATCCAACAGCAAACTGAAAGTTGAACAATTGAGCACAACACTGACTGATGTTAGACACAGCACACACACAAACCCAAGCACATAGTGAGTAGGCCGACCGACCGGAAGGGAAGGCTAAACAGGCGTATATACCAGTGTTCCAGCGACTACCGAAGCGATCATGTTTCTCTTCGGCTTTAGCCATTCCAGAGCCGGATCTAGACAGCCACATCTGCAATTAAGTTTGTCTAAACAGCCACTCATCTTCCCCCTGGTCAGATCAAGCACAAAAGCTGGTCACCTAGGATCGATTACCACACAAGTTGTTTTACGTGCTGAGTCAGCATTCACGCGCATGCGCACCCTCTCTCCCCGGCCTTGTAGTACGTGCGAGCGTGAAGACTGCGGCAGGTCACTGGTCGGCGGATTATGGCGGAGAGTGACGAAGAACACGAACGAAGTAGAAACAGAGATAAGTTTAGAAGAGAGAGAAATGATTATGGTGAAAAGCCTCGTAGTCGCACTGACTTCCGGGATAGGAGGACATGGAGGGATGACCACGAGGTTGTAAGTGCTGGGATTTGGTGTTAAACTATTGTGAATCTTTACATACAGTGCCAAACGCTAAGAGGGTTCCGGTAGAACATTCACTCTGCCAGGACTGCAAACCCTCGGCGAACTGCGCCTGCGCGATACTGCTAATTGATGGACTGAGCTCGCTTACACGGGCTAGCTACAGTAGTAGTAGATAGCATTCGGGAGTCGATACACGCCCTTCGTTGTGACTTCCTGTGCCTTCAAGATGCACAGAGCAAGCGGATCAGGTCGCAGTAAGCCCAGTGCGATTATGCATATTGGCTTTTTCGCTTGTTTTCACGGCATATCTCTCGAACGCGGTAGTTTCAGGAAAATCCCCCTTTTTTTTCAGGCTCGCGTAGTTCTGAAGCCGCTAATAGGCCGCCTCGTAGCCTGTAGAGACAGACAGACAAACAACTACGTATACTGTAACCCTCGCTGCGCATGCGCGCCGAGGGTTAATTATAGGGTCCCATCATGTGCATGTGAGGCATGTCATTGTCATGTGATCAAAACACCAAATCAACCTCTAACTATATAGACACCAGAAAATTTTCACTGCTCAACTCTACGAACCTCATACGCAGGCCATTTCCAGGGGAGGAGAAACGGCCTGGGAACCACTGTTCATGCATGTGCAGAGATTTCCGTAAAATCTTCGGAAAATAGTTCGAAGCACGTTGTGCTGAGAATGCAGTGTCAGAGTAGTATACGGTATCCGTCACTTACTCCTTTGCCCACTTTCTCGTATCCCTAGCATAGTCCATGATAAGTACCAAATCCCAGTTGTGTAAAGGACAAACATCTCCACTGTCATACATGTGCCGAAGATTGATTTGAAGAGGTCTTTTAAAGCACAGAAGACCATAATCTAAAACCTTGGCATGTCTCTGCTTGCTGTCTGAGCGCCAGTTTTCTTCCTGCAACGATCGATGATCCCCACTATCTCTAGCTCTACTTGTCCCGTATTGGTACGAGGCTAGTGCTCGCACTACTCTAGGTTGCGAGAGATATACTGATGTTCAACTGAGGGTTACAGTGGCACGACACAGAAAGTGTACAAGGATATACATGCGTACTAATTCCCCGCATGGGTCAACAATGGTTTCCAGGCCGTTTCTCCTCCCCTGGAAACGGTCTGGGACAGTACAGTGTACCAATAATATTGTTAATTGGAAATCAGGAAAGCTAGAACTCCGCACACACTCAATCAAATAACAGGAGAGAGCGATGGTAATTTTTAGGGTAAAGTTAAAATAGTTTTTGCTCACAACCTTGAGTAAGTGTCAAATAACAGTTCTAGGATGTGGGGAAAGCTAAGACAATACATGCAAACCGTGGTTTTGGGGGTCGGCTAATGGTTGCAGGCATTTTTACTAGTTAATCTGTACCATGTTATAGGGTGGTAGAAGGCGTAATAGGGAGGAATTTGATGATGAAAGAGAGCGCCGTAGACATTCTTCCCCTGGCCGTGGCCGAGACTGGAGCCCTCCACCACATAAGAGACTAAGAAGAGAGCCATGGTAAATTTTAGGGTAAAGTTGGAATGGACAAAATATATAAGTATTGCTCACAAACATGTTTTGCAGAAGTATTGTGTGTGCAAAAATATGCACTGTCCAAAACTTGTTCTGTGTGGAGAGAAAGTTTCTTATCACTAATTTGAGATAGTAGCTGTGACATCTGAATGATATACGTAAAACAGGACCCACCAGTAATGTGTGTGTAAGAAAATGTTACTCTGGTTAATAACCTTGTGTAGGGAAGGATTTCGTGGTTTCCCACCTGACATGATGTCTCCGTTTGCAATGAGAGGTCCATGGATGGGCCCTGATATGCCCGGAGCAATGCATCATATGCCACCTAGACCTGTGTAAGTTGGATTACAACATGTAAACCTGCTTGCATGTTGCCCTACATTGTTGCTAGTTTCTGCTCCAGGGTGGTAGAGTGGTACACGTCACATTAACAAAATTTTATTTCTTAGAATTAGCTCTGGAGGGGAGGATCCTGGGAAGTACGTAAATACCGACAGGATGGAAGAGGCTCCTGGGATAGATTAGGATACTAGTCATTTCTGGAGAAGCATATTATTATGAATAAAACCTACAGGAAAATTTTGTGGTGTGGTGGACTCAGAGGCTCGTAGCATTATTCAGACAATACAAAATTGTTTCAGCCTTTAGGCCCGCGAGTACAACATGCTAACTCCGTTCTGGGAGGTTGAGAACATGCAGTGATGATTTTGTAACTCCACCTTTTGAGTGGTGTGTTTTGCTACTTATACAGGTTTCCATAGGGCTGGAAAGCTATATATGCATGAAGGTTTTACTATCATTACCAGATGGCAGTGGTACGGGATTTGTTACACGAGGAAGCAATGTCGTGTTTACTATAATGTGTAGCCCTCATCTAATGTGTTACTCCATGAGCAACAAGAATTTGTTTTTAAAAAACCTATGTGTTGGGACTGAACAAAACGACAACAACAGCAGCAAGAACAACTTTCTTTAATACTGATTATGTGTATGTGATTTAAGCCATTTCTGCACATTTTGACAATACGGATTAGATTGATTTGTCAAAACTCAAAACTTATTATGCATAACACTGGATAACCTGCCATCTTTATATAGCAATAAGCGTATTATGAACAAGCACTAAAGTGCAAACCTTCGGCGAACTGTGCTAATTGATGGGCGCCGGGGCTATCAGTATGCGTTTACTCTTGGTCTCCCGCTAGTAACTCGCGGAAGGTCTGACAGGGGCTAGCTACAGTAGTAGATAGCATGCGGGAGTCGATACACGCCATTCGTTGTGAATTCTTGTGCCTTGAAGATACAAAGAGCAAGCGGACCCATTCGAGGTAAGCCTGTTATAATTAGCATATTGGCTTTTTCGCTCGTGTTTTACGCCATAACTCTCGAATGCAGCAGTTTCAGAGAAAACCCCACATATATTTCGACCTATAACCGACGCTGAATACGTGGTATTGTTTGTGGAGCGATTGATGGCTCGTGAAGTGAGATATCAAGTAACAGATAGGCAGACCGACTCACATGATCGACAACTACCATAACCCTTGCTGCACATGCACGCCGAGGGTTAGTAACCAACTTCTGCTGGAGCATTATAACAAGTAATTACTGTGTTTTGCTACATAATGTCACGTACATGTACGTGTCTTACTGGTATAGGTTACACTAAGCCCACGAGACGGTTTAGCAGATATACACTAAACTGTCGAGTGGGCATAGTGTAACCACAGAATGCATGCGGGTTATAAGCCAGTTTTGTGCGCACTTGCTGTTTAGTGCGCATGAAAGAGACAGAGGGAAGAATAGCTGGAGCTGCCTTTATTCCTGAGTAGCAGACAGCAGTGATTTTTATGTATTTTGTAGTCTATGACTTCAATGTTTGCTCAACTAACCAGTTTCACAATGCTGCTTTCTATACAGAATCCCTTTGCAGTCTTCACACTACATCATTCACTAAACAAACTCACGTCATGAGTAGCAGTGGCGACCATATAGGCCTGCCTTGTCTCCTTGTTTAATTTTTGATGGCTGTACATTCCACCTTTTTTAATTCGAAGATTAATTCGCTGGGCCACCCCCCCCCTTTAGCCTGCAAAATAAAATGTCATACGGCCAATAGTGGCGTGAGCGGATCGAAAGTACGTTTGAGCAGTCATGACGCCTCAGGCACGTCCCGTATAAGTAGTCGATATGACACTCCTGGGCTATGCTGTTAGCCGACCGGCGGCATACTACGCGATTACTCTTAGCAATGATAGCAGTCAAAGTAAACAGAGAGACTCTTCTCTGTTGTCTGATTATTGTCCAATATTATTGTGCTGGTTTAGCACATTCAAGATTACATCCATTGGCATATTCAACACCATAGGAAGAGGTATGTATTCAGGCGCGTAGCTAGGATTTTGAGGGGGAGGTTTCCACAGGCGCGCAGTACGTTTGTGCGCATGCGCATTGTCTTACTCAATGACGTGACCCCTATATGAAAAGTCTATGATGTATATGCAAAATAAACGAGTTTAGTTTGTAGCGTCGCTAAGGATGTCTGCCAGCATCATTCTATGAGGGTGCTTACGACTGAATATATCTCACGAGGCTGAAAGCCAAAATCTGACAGATCCATCCGCTTCATACTACTACACGTTCACAATGACATGCATGCTACGCATGCACATTTTAGATTAACTCCGCCCCCTTCAGCGACAAGGGGGTTTCCAGGCAACGCTGAAACAGCCTGGCTACGCTATTGCAAGATCATTAGCTACACATTCAACAGAAAAAATGTATAGCCATCAAGGATGTTCTAGTCAAGCTACATACATAGGTGAATGATCACAGTTGTGGTGCTGCAGAGTGACTGGTGTTAGACCCATGAACAATAAAGAGAATTCTACTGTCACCAGGTAGTAGGTTACTAGCTAGCGGCAAGAGGAATACAACAAATTGCTGGTGAGCATATGGCACGCCGATTGTAACATAATCCTGCGAGCTCATATGTTGACAAGTAAATACTTACTCGCTGATTGACTACGGTGGTCGCGAACTGCGCTAACTGTAACTGTTAATTGCCGAGCAAGCTGAAGGTGAGCCTTCCTGAGCCATCAATGTGTCTGCTGGCTGGTGATACAGAGTAGAACTCGATGAGCAGGTCTGGTAATAGGCCAGCGTGCGCTACCGTCTCCCCATTGCAAGCCCGTCTTCCCTGTGGCAAGGTGTGTTTACGTAGCTATGTGTGCGTTCTGAGTGGGCCAGGTCTAGATCGGAGCTTCGTCCACGATCTAGTGGCGAGGCGAGCACATTATGGAAAATGGGCAACAAGAACTGCATTCTTGAACAGGCATAACCAGTTTCACACACCATACACCATGGCATGCAACTAATGTACACCATACACTATGGCCTGCATAATAATGAGCTGTCTTGTGTGCTCACAGAACCTTTGATCTCTGTGGCTTCTAATACCAAGTACTCCATGGTGTATTTGGATTATAAAATAAATTTTTAGCAAGAAACTGGAACTCATCTCTGATAACAGGCAGCTGTTTCTCAGATATTTTGTAAACACATTAAACACTGCACATCCGCAGGCAAATATCATGCAACAAATTACTGAGAAAAACACCAATTCCTTCACATTTTCCTCCTTTTGGCTGCCTCTTCCTCTAGTTCCCTCACCCTGGCCTCTAGCTCATCTGTCAACTTCTCTGTGTACAATTGGATGTGCGCCTTTAACAAAGCTTTCTTTGTGGCATCTCTTAGCAGGATCACACCCACATTTGTGGTTGTGTTCATGCCCAGCATGTCCAGTAAGAAATTTGAAATGTATTAAAGTGTTTTTGTGTCTAAATTTCCCTCCAAACTGCATTCACAGAATTGATGTATTAATGCCTTCTTCTTCAGAGGTCAATCAAGTGAGGCTATGGGTGGTCAGTCTAAGAAAGCCATGCTGTCATTCAAGCAGTTTCTTACCCAGCAAGATGATAGTATTGACGAGGGAGAGGCTATACAGCTGTACCAGGAATACAAGAGTGATTTTAAAAGAAAGCAGATAACTGACTTTTTTGATGAGCATAAAGAAGAAGATTGGTAAGGATCATGTTGTTAACCCTGGTTACAGTAGTTGGTTTGTCTGTCTGTGTGTATGGTCGATGCTTATTCTGGCACTACAGGCTACGAGGCGACCTATTAGCGATACCAGCGGCTTTAGAACTACGTGAGCCCGAAAAAAAAGAGCGATTTTCCTGCGTTCGAGAGTTAAGCCGTGAAAACACGCGAGTACCAGGTTCTTTCTCCTCCACTAATAATTTGCGAAGAGGCTCAGTATGAGGCTATATGCAGGTGCAGCTAGAGCGAAAAAAACTGGCTCCTTTGACAGTTAGAGTGCTTGCCGTGGTCCAGCGCATCAATTTTCTGCATATTAGCACTAATAACACACACATGTTCCTTTGTGAAGTGGGTTTGCACTTATTGCTTTTTAATTGCCGAGCGCGTTAGCGTGAGGAAACTACTCCGGGTTGTATTCTCGCGATGTGCGTACGTACGTGTCCGTCACGCTTAAGAATGTCAATTAGTCACACTTAGGGAATGTCAATTAGTCACGCTTAGGAATGTCAACTTCCGTCATTCGTAGAATGTCTAGCTTCGCGCACGCAGTCAGTAGAGCGCGCGCATGAGCGGCCTCAGTCGGACTGTTTACGCATTGGTTGGCAGGCGCGAGACAAAATATGCGCATGCGCATTCCTAGTATGTTTATACTTGCCCTGCAGGGGAAGCTTGGGGATGATGGGTTTGAGCATTTCCAGTCGCTTAATAGTTTCAGGAAAGCATCCTTTATATTGGGTAGTGAGCTGTGGGAGGATAAATTTGGTTCTTTGCTTGGCCTTGTTAAAGCTTTTATTTCAAATGTTTGGGAGCTGAGAAAGGTTAGGTTATACAGCGATAATCCCAGCGTACAACAGACCCAGTCTCAGATTGCGTCTGGGGAGCTGCAGGGTGTCGCTGGTGGAAGGGGTGAGTTGGGGTGTCTGGGAGGTGAGACAGACACCTCATGTTCATATGGTGTATGTTCGTTTGTTAACGGTTCTGCCCATTGCTGTGGGTGTGTGGTCTATGGCCCTAGTGCTATGGCGGCCACCTGAGTATTATTATTATTATACTTTAGCTCTGTGTGTTTTAGCATTTTAGCTAACTGCCTATTACTGAACACTATATATACATTATGTTTATTTTACTTTGCATGGGCGGATCAAAGGCACCGCCAGTGATTTATTCGTCATAAAGTACACACACGCGAAGGGTACCAGAAGCGTATCTAAGGGCTAGGGGGTAAGCTAGCACGGCTCTGCGAGGCTACTGGTGGCCCACGTTTGTGTGTAGCCGCTCGATAGCTTTCCCGCCTAGGGCGTTGCGTTCTCGTTGAGTCACAGAGAGAGACGACCCGCTCCACCTCAAACAGGCTTCGTTCCTGGTCATTCCCTTTGAATCGCCCATGGTACAATAAATCAATTAAAGCATGAAAGGGGCGTACTGTACGCTCATAAAGGTACTCCAGGCTGGTCTCGATAGGCCATAAAACACTCGGCTTCACCTCGTGCTTTATGACTATCTTGACCACGCCCTCTCGTACTTTTATTTCGCATACAGCACTACCTTCCGTGCTTTAACTATTACTTTTTTGCAGCTCTACATCCTGAATTAAGGACTAATGTGTCCCAAATTATCATGTTGTTGAATTTGTGCACTTCCCATTTTTCTTGCAGCTTGATAACTGTTTTATCTCACCAGCCTCACCCAACTTGTGTGTAGCTCTATTATAGCATGTGGCCAAGACTGTGCCATAGTTTAGTTTTTGGCCTTACTCTGGCCAAATGAATGTGGACAATTAGGTGCATTATGTTCCACAATAATAGAACACAACAAACATCTAATATTTGTAATTCAATCTTCGAACCAGTAAGTGTGTTAACATTATAGTATCTGTGTGTAAATGAATAATGTAAACGCTGGCACGGACAGTATTTTGAGTGTTATGTTACCCGAATTTGGCATTGCTGTGACAAAAGTATTACAGTTTAAATTGGCAAATACACCAAAAGGGTTATTATGTACTAAAGTTGTGCAAGTTTATGTGTCACTTTCGCAACTATCATTTCAATGTAGGAGTTGCCCATGTTTTTCGACCGACGTGCATGAGTTCACCTCTACGCGTAAGCCAGCGGTGGCACAACTGTTCATAATCTTTTCATAAATAAGATCTGCCTGGTGTTGCAAGCAGAAGTTCTTTACTCAAAGCTGCTTCAGTAATATAGCTGCACGATTGTGCTTTGAGCAAGCGCTGCAGGAACATGGTTCAGGGTTTGTACTTTGGTGCTTTTCATTACCTCGGAAGTTGTGTTACGTGTGTTTGTTAACATTAGGTTAGTTGGCAAGTATCATCCAGAGCACATTTCATCTCGAGAGGAAGCTCACAAAGCCAGCCTGCAGAGTCGATTGCAGTCATTTTTCTTTCTTTTGGAATCTGATCGATTAGATAATGTTTCACTCTGGTCTGAGTGTGCTGATGAAATAGTTAGCACAATGGATGCTGGTGAGTTTCAGACTTCTATAAACACTGCATCATAGTTACAAGGCCTATGAAGCTAAAATATTTTACTCTGAACCCGCAGGAGTAATATTGATGGAAGGTGGTACAGAGCATGATCTGCTATCTTTAACCAGTTCAGTGGCAGATCAGGAAGACAGAAAGGACGTTAAGGAGGAGATGGTGGCGGAGAATGTGGAGGAAAAAGCTGAAATAGAGGAGAGCAGTGAAAAGGAACCCCATGAAGAGAATTTACAGGAGTCTCCAAAAATAGGTAATTGGTGAGCGGGAGCGAGTTAACCTACAGGTCTGAACGGCATGATGTTTCTATTTACATCATGTATATGCGTCCATATTTCCTTCAACTGCGCATGCGTTTTGGATTACGTGCTTTTTTTATTGGAATGCATGTACTGCCCCTCTTCGATCTAGCCAGCGAGAGAACTCTCGTCCATTCTGTGGCATTCGCTGGCTCTTCGATCTTTGCAGTTCTAAGGAGCAGGTTGTAATAGGCTAGGATGTGTGTCCGATGTAGAGAGAGAAAGGGAGGGAGGAGGGGGGAGGGGGAGGGGGAGGGAGAGGGAGAGTGAGAGGTAATAAAACCGATGCCTTTCATACACGTATGAGCTAGCCTGTGTAACGAAACTAGCAACCAGTGGATGGGGCACTGAATTACACACTCAACCACCATGCCATCTTTTCTTGTCCCTCATTCTAGACAAGGCTCTTTTTATGGAAGTCACAGATGAACAGCGAAAATTGGCCCAGCAAGCTCGGATGTACGGTGAACAAATGCAGGCTCTTTCTGAATCTGCCGGGGGAAGAAAAGTATGCAAACTGTACTGTACCAATTCAAACATTTATAAAATTGCTATAATATTACTTTGATCATTCTAGGGCAATGTTGTGACCATGTTTTTTCAGCCGTAGTAAAGTATCTTGCTATGATACATAAGACACAGTTTATCCTTAATCATTCCCATGCACATTTTAAACCCTTTTTACTTTCAGTTTCAATCAGATCCAACTTCTGTCATGTAAGTGAAGTCTGATCCATACGCATTTACCTAAGAAACGGCTAAAATGGTCACTGAATTATTCAAGAAAGTCAGTGTTCAAAATTCTTCTTCTTGTTAATCCTCGGCGCGCATGCGCAGCGAGGGTTACTGTACTTGGTTCGTGAGTGTGTCTGTACTCTGTCTGTTACCACGTTTTCTGCAACTACGCGCTACAAGACAACGAACCAGCGATGCCAACAGGTTCATCGCTACACTTCATATTGAAAAAGGAGATTTTACAGTAGGTGCCCATGTGAGACTCTCCGCGAGCTACGTACTAGCAGGAGACCACGAGTAAACGCATACTAATAGCCCAGCCAATCAATTAGCGGTACCGCACATGCACAGTTCGCTGACGGTTTGCACTTTTAAAAAAAATAGCCCTAGGCAATACATTATTATATAGACATGCAGAGGTTTGAGGTTTGCCTTTGTGTTGTGGTGTGTTATAGATTCAGACCCCTACCACCTGAGTTGCCCTGGTAGTGCAGGAGCGCTCCCCTAGACTGCAAAGCGTCGTGGGTTCGAATCCTACCCAGGGCAGCTCTTCTTCTTTTCTTTGAAACGAAAGTGCTGACCTGGGTGTAGTTGGCTTGTTTGCCTTGCCTTGCCTTTCTTCCTCATTACGTAATTGTTGAGACATGCTATGGTAGATGGTAAATGCTAGTACCCAGAGTGATACACAATGCAACCCATCATTAGTCTCTACATAGATATTTTAACAACAACGAACAGTCTCAGGCAATATAAACTTGTAAGATGTGTTTGTGGTTTTAACTTGCTTATGGTGGGTCCTCTAACAATACAACCTGGTACAAAACGTGATAAGAGTTCTGCAAAACATAAATTACAAGTTTGTAATTATGGCAACTGCCTCAAAGCATTTTAATGGTGGTGTGCGTATTATGCTGGGTCATCTAACAATGAAACATGGCACACTGATGCACTATGATGAGAGTTCTTCAAAACAAGTTCGTAAACCCCAAAAAATAATGAAAAGCACTAAAGTGCAAACCCTCGGCGAACTGCATATGCGCGGTACCGCTAATGGGCTATTGGCGTTCACTCGCGGTCTCCCGCTAGTAGCTTGCGGAGAGTCTGACACTGGCTAGCAACAGTAGTAGATAGCATGCGGGAGTCGATACACACCCTTCGCTGTGGCTTCTTGTGCCTCCAAGGTACACAGAGCTAGCGGATCAGGCCGAGGTGAGCCAGCATACTGCACGCATGCGCACCGCTTATTGATGGGTTGGGCCATGCAACGCTGTCTGCGACTGTGTCAGTTTGTCGCTCTCGAACGCAGTCGTTTCAGCAAAATCGCCATTTTATTTTTCTAGCCCATGTACCGCTAAAGCTGTTGATATCGCTCATAAGCCGCCTCGTAGCCTGTAGTGCTAGAATAGTCGTAGACAGACACACAGACAGACACACAGAACGACTACAGTAACCCTCGCTGCGCATGCGCGCCGAGGGTTAATAACTTGTAAATTGTGTTCCTGTCTGTAACTTGCTCAGACAATAAACAATCCTAAATGGTGTTAGCGCCTATAACTGTCTATGGTGTGTCCTCTAACAAAGATTGTTACACTGATGTGCTATTGTTGCAGTTTATATGAGAACTTCAGGCATAATACATATGTAAGGCCACTAATGTTGTTTGGGCATCATAATACCCCCTGTGTGCATCCTGTCAGTTAGTTATCTTTCTGTTACCACTGAACATTAAGTGGGCAAGACTATAAAGAGGCAGAGCATTCCTTTACTGCTCTCATTGTCGTAGTGCACATGTTAGTGTATGTTTGAAGGTATACTCTATTGTTTTACAGAGAAAAAGACGTGAAAAGCAAAAGAGAGAGGGTGGAGATGATGATGAATACTCATATACTGGAGACAAAAGCGATGGTAGCTCAGAAGAGTCTGAAGCAGAAGCTATAGCTGATCAACCTCCTCCACCTGGTGCACTTTTTGTGTAGCATTATGTTGCATGTGGACTGTCAGTGTGTAGGCCTAAAGAACGCCTTTATTAACCCTCAGCGCACATTTGCAACAGTACTAGGTCTGTCTTTATTAACTGCCTTTGGCTATTCTTGAAATATGGGTTGCAAGACTGCCTATGAGCGATACGTACCAACAGCTGTAGCCTGAAAAGTAAAAGGCGATTTAAAAAAAAGATGACTGCGTTCAAGAGTTATACCATGAAAACAAACGAAAAAGTCAATATGCATTATCGCACTGGCTTAACCTTAACCTGATCCTCCTGCTGTGCATACCTTGGAGACACAAGATGTCGCTACAAAAGGCAGGTATCGACTGCTGCATGCTATTTACTAGTGTAGCTAGCCTGTGCCAAACTCTCTGCAAGCTATATAGTACTAGCGGGAGACCAATATGAAAATATTCATAGTAAATATGAATAAAATTTAGGGCAGCATCATTCTAAAGGTCAGCTAACAATACTTGACTACGGCATAATGGGTGCCCTGGTTTGAGAACTGCACCCACTCACCTAAGCCTTTCTCATGGTGATACTGCATAAGGAGCAATGCAAACACTAGCGGAGAGATTGAACGCACGTTGTGAAGTTGTGGCATATATATATATATATATATATTCCATATATCCTGTAATTCATAGTCCTTAGCTCCTAGAATTGTTATTTGATTGAGTGGGATATTCTCATTTGCAATCACCAACATTATTGGTACATAACAGTTACTTGTAGAATATTTTGATATCCCTCAAAAATGTTTACCATAATCTGTAGGTCTTGAACCTCCCACAGAAGCAAGTTCTGACGATGTTGTTGAAAATGGTAATTTATCATTTTAATGGACATAGTATTTGACAAGCTGTGTGTTAATGGCAGTAAATAATTTTATAGGGGTTCCTGGCAATTTTTTCGAAATGCACGATGAGGTTAATTTCATGTCATAGATGAACAAAACAGATTTTTAGGCTTAGTCTTAGTGCATCAATACCACTCCCGTGCATTCCTATTGGACTGGATTTAAAAATCAATTCGATCATTCACCTCAGTGTTTGCAAACTGGCACAGTTGCGTTTTCGCAAGGCCACATGCAATGCAATGCCCAATTAGACCCAGTGAAGTATTTTTACAGAATCATTGAGCGAGTTAAACATACAGATCCTACGTTCAGGTGAGTTGATCGAAGTGCACATATTGTCTGTCTGTGCAACAAAAAATCCCAGCACATCGTCTGAGGTAACCTGGTGAAGAAAGCTATCCGTGCCAGCACTTACACGCTTACATTACCCAACAAAATCCCAGAAAACCGTAGTTGTATTTCGTTTTGTTGCTGACATACGTTGTATTGTCGATCGCAAATTGACAATATGGCTGTAGGTGATAGGGAGTGACAGAAAGAAAAAAATTGTATTGTGAACTGAACTTCACCTGTAACTTCTCCTACGAGTGCTAAACGTAGAAAAAAACGGAACTCAATTGCATTCTTTCGCTGTGCCCCTATTGTTTTGTTCTATCTTTAGTAACATTTAGCCATTATATACTGCCATATTCCCTTTTAGAGGGTATACCGAGAATATACCTGAGGTGCTGCACGGGGCCGCACTGTTATAATATTGCTGACGCTGGCACAGTACACTGCGCACACTATTGTGTAAACTGTTCTGACTGGCTACTATGACTGGCAACTATGCCCCAGCTAAAATATGTATATAGGTTAGTTATAAGTTAGCCCGGCTAAAATATATAGGTTAGTTAGGTTTTCAGTACTGCCCTCGGGCTGCACTTTGCCAGGTAGTACTTCTAATATACTACAGGCGGAACCTTTCATTTTATGGCTTCCCGGGCTACAAGACTGTTGTTTAGTGTGTACATATTTACCTGACTGACACTGCACTCAATGTCACAAGTCTATTGGACAAAGTATGGCCTTTCTTGCATGCTGGGAGTTAAGGTTTTCTCACTGGTTGCTCAATGTACACATAGCATTTTTTCATACAGGAGAAGATAAATCCAAAGACACACTTGGAGCTGAGAATGCTAAGGTTCGTGCCCGAAATTATAATGGTAATCTCTTTATAGATAATGTCATTTCAGAAAGGTTAGGATGTTAACAATGTAGCAACAAGCCTTTGCCTCTTATATAAATCTTTCTCTTCTTTTCCAGAAAAATACTAGTAAGGAGACTAGATCACCACTCCCCTTACACATTACTCGGTCAGTGTATATTCGTCACCTTCCTGCAAAGATTTCAGCTGAAGATATAGTGGAGGTAAAATTATTCATCCAGAGCATTAACTCTCGTACCTTAATTAATTTCCATGCATTTGCACACACACACACACACCCACACACACTCACGCGCGCAATGTACATATGTGTATCTCTTCTTCATTTCCTACTATGTATATACTATGTGCAAATCTTTCCTTGTACTCACCCTGAGTAATGCAGGACCAAGCAACTAAAGCTCACACATCCTCCATTGTCATCATTCTCTCTAGCTAAACCTCCTTCAAAACTGTTAGCATCGTCAGTTTAGATTACCTTTCTGCTACTGCTGTGTATGTGGTAAAGAGTGTTTTGATAGAAGAAAACTAAGGAATATAACGCATTTTTGACCAGCGTAGCGAGCAGTTCAATTTTTCGTACAGTTCAATTAACATTGTGGTATGTTGCAGTGCCTGTATATCGTACATATGCGTACATACAGAAATATTCAGACGACTGGGAGGGCTCGCTTTGGTCGCCAATAAAGATTTGAATCATGGCAGCAAAATTATTAATCTATTGTATGCAGATATGCCGAACAATTCCTGGGTATCTGAGGATTGCTTTTGCCGACCCGGATCCTAACAGAGGGTAATGCTGTGCATATTTTGAATTTGAATATCAACTCCTTGTGTGTGTAATAGCATAATATACTGTTGGGTATAAGAGAGAGACCTACATGTTTTCTATTCTAGTGCAGTGGTAGCGAGATGTTAGTAACAGGGACATAAAATATATGCCACGAAAGTTAATACTGGTGATTAGTTTGTTTGGAGTATGGAAGTTACCAGAAAACAGAGAGCTAGAGTTTTGACAAACCATACATAGTTACAATATGTGGATTTCCCAAACACCATTCTGATATTATTGTTTGCGTGGCACACAGCATTACACAATTGTGTGTGCTATATATATGTTGTATGTTTCATGGCAATGGATATTATAGGTATGAACGTCGTGGATGGGTGACATACTCACACAACACTGACATTCGAGAAGTCACGGCAAGACTCACCACTAACAAGGCAAGGTTTAAGTTGAGTATAATACACTTTTGGACTCGGTAGATGCGCTCTCTAATGGCTCCCAAAGCCACACACTCTGCAATACATGTACATCTACCAATGAAGTGTTTTGGACCAGAATTTACATAGCTCCATGTACAGTCATAATTTCATCCCCAGACCGCCGCCCACAAGCATTTTATAAAAGGAACGTTTGATTATCTTGGCACTACCGAATATTTTAGGAGGGTCCAATGAGTTCTGTTTGTCCCACAACTGTCTGATGTGATGCTTGTTCAACAATCAGGGTTACTAGTGACCGTGAGTGCTACATATCTTTAGCATTCTTTTGAGCACTTCCCAAGAAATTTCTTTTTACCGTTGTTAATTCCAATTGTACTGTGAGGTTCTTTGGAAATTGTGAGCTCTGTCTTGAGAAACTTGCCAGGAATTTTGGTGAAATTTATTTTGCCATGTGATCGACTCCTAGCAGCTCTTCTTTAAAGGAATCCAACCACTGTGCTGGAGTAACGTGTGTAATACCAAGTTGGTTTGCTAATGGCATTGGGTATGCACAGTGTAGGTCATGAGATAGATAATATCACATGTGTCTTATTGTTTGCAGGTGAAAGACGTACAGCTTAACTGTATGGTTAACAGGGAGTTGACCAGAAGAGTAAAGTTTGGGCAGGAAGTATCCTGGGCTAGCCGAGCTGTGCACGCAGATCTCCATGTGACCTTGAATCTTGTGAAGACCATGGATGAAAAGGCTAAACTTTGGGAGCACTCTCTTGGATCAGATAATACAAAGGTTTCTCTATTGCATGTGATGTACATACGGTAGTGTAACACCAAGCATTTTTTTAGGACAAGTGCCACAATATATTTTAGCTGGTGCACAATATCGCGAAATCGCCTCTGGGGGCTCCATAAGTAACGTTTGCATTATTGTGCCACTCACACCCATGCATAGTTACGTGCAATATCCATTTAAAAGTTTTTGTGGAAGGGGGCCTGTCTGCAAATAAAAATTTAAAAAATGAAACTGTATATAATATTATGGTTCCCATTAACACAACCCGAAATGGAAATGCCATAGTAAGAGAATGCTTCTTGTAGTGTAGCATGATTAATTTCACAGTACCACAGAGCTCGTATCATGGCTCTTGTTCACATGAATGTCCTGCTATATAGCTTCACGGCTGTTGTCCTGTGTACTTTTGCATGTGTTAATTGTACTTATACTGTGACACAATGTTCTATCGTGATTTTTTCCAGCCTAATCCCGTGGTTTCTGTCCCCGACTCGCTGCTTTCAGAAGATTCACCCGCTGGGAATATAGCAGGGGAGGAGGAGGAAGGTGTTGTTAGTGATCCTGGTACTGAGATACTGCCTGAAACTGATGATAAAATGAAGGTAAACAATTTATCTGTAGGTATGATAGTGCGTATAGACGTACATATAATTATAATAAGCAGGTGCAGCAAGAAGGGGGTTTCTGCTTGCCTGGACAGCCCTTAGAGCACCTGATTGTAGGAATGATGAGCAGTGATCTTACAGCTAATTAGACCGTGCAAAGATGGAGACTGCTAACGCTTCTACAATGCACTGTTTGTTGAGCGAAAAATATCTTCCAGAATGATCTACCACTTTTGTATAAAGGCTCGGGATGCGTTGTAATGCACTTATAATTATGTCTTTGTGTGATGATTCGAGAATGGCTCAGACCACGCAGTGGTTGCAAGCTATTCAGAGTTGTTCGGTGTATGGGCAGTTTTCCTGCTCAAACAGCTAAATTTGGTAGCAATTACGTAATGACTTACACATTTTCGGGGGTGTGGCTTCATTTCATCTCCATATCAACAGTGTTGTTTGTAGCAAGCCTACTAGGCTCTCCCCATGGGTTTCCTATGCTAAGCTCAAGAGCTTCGCTCTTCCATTACTCAAGGATCAAGAGCTCTGCTCTTCCTTCTTAATGAGACCACTGAGTACCTAGTATCAGTGGTAGAGAGCACCGCTCTCCCAAATGGAGGATCTTCTGTTGGTTTGTAATAAAACCTCTGAAAAACAGACTCAGAACTCCAGTCCGCAGCCTTTAGTATATTATTAGTCGTATTCCCCAAGTTTGCAGCTGCTGAGGACGATGCCCCTCGTACTGAGTGGGCACTAAACACAGAGGTATAAATTCCTGCTCCTTCCAGCAGCCATGGTGCTAGATGTAACTCTACTGTATGGCTTAATGAGAGCAAGAAGGGGAGAAAGACTCTGTTATTGGTTTCCCTTGTTTAGATTGCATAGCCACACTGCTTGGTCTGAAAGCCACACCTTCTGGCTTATACTGCTTCCCATGTAAACCTAGCTGAGATAGATCAGCTGATCTAGAGGGGCGTGTCAACGCTAGTAGCATTGCTGTTTTTCCAACTCAACTGTTTCAATGACAGGGAGTCATTGTTACCCCATGATGATATATATGACAGTACTTTCTGTATATACATTCCATTACATGTGTACCTAGGCATGCACCGATGAGATGGCAGAGCGGTAGGAGTTGAGGGATCCATACTGATAATCCTCGTTATGTAGGTGTGCCAGGAAGTTTACAACTTCCTTTATAGGGCCTGAAAAGGGATCCGAACCCCTTGAACAATACCAGCAATGCCACTTGCCAAAGAATGAGCCGTAAGACTTGTTGGTCTTAGTCCTCCAGGACCCGAGCACAAGTGAGGTAGCTTCCTCCGAAAGCTCTTGGTCTCGGTATCTCTCCGATATGCCATGCGGCTAGCTGAGGGACAAGATACCCGGATCTCTGTTCAGTATTATCTGATCGTGATTGATCAGACGTGGTATTGCAATTAGCATTTGCAATAGTGGGGGATACCATGGTTGTGTCTTCCAGACCGGTGCCACCAGAGCAATGCCAGCCTTGTCCATTTGTACTTTGGACAGTACCCGACCTATCAGACTCCAAGGTGGGTTGGCATACCCCTTGATTTTGAGACCAGTCCTGCAGGAAGGCATGTGTTGCCATTGCATAGGGATCTGGCTGCCCACTGAAAAAGGCCATCTGTAAGTGGTGATTGAAGAGTGGCGCTAGTGGGATTACTTGTGATGTTGCATTCATCTTCCCCACCAGCTGAGCTAGGGCTCTTCCTGAGACCTCCTCTTACCCTCATCATGGCCTGTGACTCCACACGGATCTTCTTTATCTTGTCCACTGGGAGTTTCCACTCCATTTGGACTGTGTCTACTGTCAAGCCCGGGAATTCCATCACTTGGACTGGCTCTAGCACAGATTTTTTGGTTTATCTACATTGCAGGAGGTACACTACCGCCTCTGCATGTCTCTTTGCTTGTTCCTGGGACTCCGCCAGGACAAGGATATCGTCTATGTATGCTATCAATCGTACCCCCATCTCCCTAGCTCTGGCTTCAGTGTCTTGGTAAAGACCCAGGGAGCCGATGACAGGGAGACACTTGAACTGATAGTGTTTTCCCTGGTACATGAACTTCAAGTACTTGTGGTGGGATTTGTGGATTGGGATCGCATCCTTCAGATCCACTTTTGCCAACCAATCCTCCGGATTGACTAGGTCTCTCAAGGTATGGATTCCCTCCATCTTCAAATGCTCTGTGTGAATGAAACTGTTCAGAGCTTTCAGATTTATCACTGGTCTCTCCGTCTTTCTTTGGGACAAGGAACAGGTTTGAGCTGTGTGTGTACTTCTAATATGGCTCCTTTGCCTAGAAGTTACCAGGGTGTATCGGGATGATCAGGTCCACCCTCTGAGGGAGGAGGATTGGAAACTCCACCAGGGACTCCAACAACATCGGGTACCATGATTTGCTCTTCCATACTGGGGCAACCAGGACTAGCGTGAATCTTCTGCTGGCACACTCTGTTCAGGACTCTCCTCACCAGGTTCCACGGGGGGTTGGCCATTTCACACGATTTGGTGTGTTCTTTCTGGTGAGGTCCGTCAGTGGAGATGCAATCCGTGCGTAATCTGGAATGAACTTTCTGTAGTAGCCGGTAAAAGCCCTTACGCGTTTCTTGGTTGTGGGGGTTGGAAATTCGCTCACAGCTCGCAGCTTCATCTCCTTGGGACATACGTACCTCCCCACTTCCAACGATGGTCCCATACCAAACTGGGTCGGGTCGTGAACCCCGCTTTCTGGAACTGATGCAGCACGTTGTTTATGTGCCGAAAGTGGTCCTCCCCGGTGGTGCTATGGATAACGACGTCATCCAAGTACGCTGCAGCATAGTCGGTGCAACCAACCAGGAGTTGACCCATCATGCGCTGGAACGTAGCAAGGGCTCTCGGGGACCTGCCTGTAGAAGCTTCCAGTAATGTAGTCTGACAGGTGTCATTCTCCAACATGGGCGAGGTCCAGGGTCGTTACGCAGGGCATCGGTAGGCATCAGCGTCAGAAATAGCATACGCAGTGAGCCATCCTTCTTCTTGACGAAAACATTGGAAAAGCCCAAGTTCCATGATTCCTTCCCTTTCCATGTCTTCTAGCTCCTTTTTTACGATGTCGCAGTAGGCGCGCGGTAGTCGGTAGGGGGGAAGTCGGATGGGGGATTGAGATGCAGCATTCTGTGATCTGCATCCTGCCCGGGCAACTGGTTAGAATGTCAGCAAAATTTTGGAGTAACTGGCGTTGGACGGGTGATAAGTTTCTGCTGATTACTGGGCTGTTCTCCGTCCGCGGCTCCGGAGCCGTCCCATAGTACCACGTCTTCTGGGTCATCTGGTACTACTCCTAGGATTTCCTCTGCGAGGAATTAGGCGGCACTGGGAGAGTGCCGTTCTCGCAGCTTGTTGACGTGAAAGATGCGGTTCTTCTTTCGGCCATTGGTCAGTTTGACCTCGTAGTTCACGTCGCTGACTTTCCTGGCGACCGGATAAAGGCCCCGCCACTCTTCTTAGAGCTTGTTGTTGCTGGTGGGAAGCAGAATAAGCACTTGGTCCCGTGGATTGAACTCACGCTGAATGGAGTTGCGGTCGTACCACTATTTCTGGGTTTCTTGGGCATTTTGAGGTTTTCGTGAACGATGTCGCAGTGTTTCCAGTCGCTCCTGAATCATCAAAACATACGACACCACGCTCTCCGGGCTCCTTGCACTTGCTTCCAAGGATTCCTTTAATATGTCGAGGGGCCCTCGGACGTTTCGGCAATACACCAGCTCTAACGGGGAAAAGCCAGTTGAGGCCTGGGGCACTTCCCCGTACGCAAAGAGAAGGTAGGGTAGGAGCCTGTCCCAGTCCTTGCCTTCTTCAGCCGCTGTTTTCTTCAACATGGCCTTCAGTGTGCCGTTGAAGCGCTCCACTCGGCCATGGGTGGTGTAGCGTCGTCCTGATTGGCTTGATTTACAGGAGACCGTATACCTCCCTCAGAAGTTGGGACGTAAAGTTTGTACCTTGATCGGTCAGTATCTCTTCTGCCACTCCTACTCGGGCGAAGAATGCTAGCAACTCCTCTGCAACTGCGTTGGCATCTAGGGTACGTAGGGCAACGGCCTCTGGGTAGCGGGTTGCGTAGTCACAGATGACTATGATGTACCTCTTTCCCGAACTGCCGCAAGGTAGCAGGCCCACAATATCCATGGCAATCCTCCCCTGAATGGCTCGTCCATAATTGGTAATGTTACTAAGGGTGCATTCTTGACCCTATGTGCCGACGAATTTTGGCAGTGACCACAGGTTCTGCAGTGCTCCTGAATGTTCCGATACATCCCGGGCCAATAGAATCGATTGCGAATACAGTCGGCTGTCTTCTTGCCATGATGTCCAGCCATTGGTGTATCGTGGGCCAGTTTCAAGATTGCTGGTTGTAGTTGAGTGGGTAGGACGAGCTCCTCAATGTTGTGGGCATCACCATCTGTGCCCGGAGGACTGTATAAGAGATAGAGTAGCCCATCTTGGCGAAAGAAGTTTCCCCAGCGGCGGCGCTGGGTGCTACGATCAATCGTCTGCGGCCATAGCTCTCGTCGATGTCCTGGAGTTTGTGTAACTCCTTAGGAGAGACATCTAGAGCGCCTGCCTCTCGACAGCCAGGTTCCTCATTCGTGCGTAGGTATCGTCGGCAGTTTTCGCGCCCGGGTGGGTGTGGGCTTGGACGGACCTGCAGGGGTAAAGAGCAAGTCGTCAAAATAAAACACGGAATTAGTGTGTCCATGTTTTTTGGATAACAGGGAGAGTTCTACTTTGTTCGGGGAGGCTTCGACCTCCTGGTTTGAGGACTCTTGAACACAGGCCTCCTGCTGTTTACGTCGTAGTCGTGTCATAACTAACTGCCAGCATGTCCGCGCCGTTTTTTGACGTTCCGTCTGTCGGCGACGAAGTCCAGCTTCCGAGAAGAGCCGATGCGGGGAGGGTGCTAGGTACACCAGCTATCGTGATGATATCCTTTCCTGCAATGTTGTATTATTGCGGCGAGGGGGTAGGGTAGGACAAGGTGTCTCTGTGTGCACAACGGATAGTCACTTCCCCATCCAGGATGTCATCGTCGGTGACTAAGTCCTTACAGACCACGGTCTGGGTAGCGCCAGTGTTGACCAGTATGTTGGTGCAGTATATCCCGTTGATCGTTTCCTGACGCAAGGCAAGGGCAAGCACCAAGGCTCAAACCAAGACCAAAGCACCCTGTGAAAGTACATGTTTGGGCTGCAATAAGCAAGAGAGGAACAACAAAAGTGTGCATTTTTGAGGGAAAGAAGAATGCAGAGTTTTATATTGAAATTCTTACTCGATACCTTCTGCCTTTTAAAAAAAATTTCCTACCTCACATAAATATATGCAGGATAATGATCCCAAGCACACCTCTCGAAGAGCTAGGGAATTTTATGCTGCAAATGGCATTAACTGGTGGAAAACCCCTCCAGAATCTCCTGATCTGAACCCAATCGAAAACTTGTGGCATGAATTTTTGAGGCGTGAGGTGAAGCCAATGAATAAGCAACAGATTGTTGATGGCATTGGGCAACAGTAGATGTTTTTAAATGCTGCCGTTACATTAAACATTTAGACAAAGTGGGTCCAAAAGTGATAGAATGCTGTGGTAGTGCTACCGGGTATTAGGTGTTTTTCTCCAGTTTTTAAATACATTTCATCATACACATTGTGTATTTCACTTTGTAAAGTTTGCCTGATCAAGTTTCCATAACACAATGACATATACTTATTAGCTGCAAGCTATGTATGCAACAGCTACGACACCATGTCAGTGGCAAAATTTTCACGTCGCATTGTGCTTAGTTATGACTCAACCACATTTAACCTCCAATTAGCATGCAAACCTACACAGCATAACAAATAATAATCTTCAAAACATCAAATCAATGATACGTGTGGGGTGCACAATTACAAGAGGTGATTATGTAGTTCAGTAGAGGTTGTATGGATGGTTGAACAGCGACAAATACGTAATTTACTTCCTCAGTGACTGGCATTTTTGGCTATAGCCATACGTGCCTTCGCCCAAACATCAGTGTTTTTTTGGCTATAGCCATACGTGCCTTCGCCCAAACATCATCAGTGTTTCGAACCTTCGTTCGGTAGTAGTTTCTTATAATGTCTTCGATTTCAGCCATCGATTCTGAGTCTAGCACCTCCAGCCGCCCATGATCGCTGGTGAGCCCAGACTTCCTCAAGATGTCGTTACTGAAGTATACTTCGGTGGCTAATGCTACAGCCACTCTACCCTGCCTTGCTCACATCCTTATACTTCCTGTTACCAGTTATTCTCCTAATTTTTTCACCCTTTGAAGTTTGGGGTAAGAGATGTGGGGTGGAAGGACACTGAGTGAATTTGCCAACCTGTTGCTGAAGACCACTGAGGCTCAGACATTTCACTCAGAATACTAACAGCCTCGTCAACATTTGGGTCGATTTGAAGGCTAAAGTTTGTTGAGCCTGTGGTGTCTGTGTACTGGTGTTAAGATAAGAAGAGTGTGCTTGCTCAGTGGGAGATTGGTAACATTGCTGGGCATACTGTGATTCTGCCTGTTGCTGGAATGACTGCAGCTGTTGTGGTGGTAGAGCGCTTTGCAGCTGTTGTGTCTTGTACTGCTGGAGAGGCTGGCACTAGAGAGGCTGCGACTGGAGAGGCTGGCACTGGAGAGACTGCGACTGGAGAGGCTGCAACTGGAGAGGCTGGCACTGGAGAGGCTGCGACTGGAGAACAGTTGGCAATTGTTGTGTGTATGGCTGGAGAGGCTGTGGTTGCGGTAGATGGTTCAGGGAGTTTGGAGATAGATAGTGCGTTTTCTTTTTAGAATGGAGGTCAGAGTATCTAAAAAGGAAAGAAATGTGTAGTAAGCAAGACAAAATTGTGGAAAACAGCCTAAATTTGATATACTAGTGCATAGGTTTGGACCTGTATCGCAGTAGGCTTCTGTTTGGGATGAGGTGGTTGTTGACTCTGTTGGAAATGTCTGTACAGACTGATTCACCATCTTCAGGGAACATCCTGTTAAATGTAAGATAAATAAAGGTGTGCCACAAAGTAAGTGAGAAAAAAATACTTAGTGTTCAAACTGGGTGTGCTGTAGTACCTTCTGTTTGAGACGATGTGGATGTACACTTGGGTTGTAATGTCTGAACAACTGTTGACGTGCTAGGAATATCAGAAGAGTACCCTGTGAGTGAAAATATTTTATTAGAAGTGTCTGTATCACATTAAAAAACACTAATGCCACTTACCATCATCAATGAATTAGCATGTAGCAAGTTTTTTCCCCTCCTGTGGTGCTCTTGAATTGTGATCTGTATAAATGGTTTTTAATAAGTATACTATTAGTAGTCTTAGAAAAGCTTACCATCTTTTGTCTCAATGTCACGTTTTCGTTTTCGCTGCTTCTTTGGCTCTGCTATTACAGCACTCCAAAACCTTCGACACCAATCTTTGTCCCATTACACTTGCACTGGTGTTCCAACCTCCAACTTTGCTGGAGGATCAACCAGAGTTTCTTTGGGGATCTTGTGAGTCTTGTTATTGTATGAGGAGTTCTTGTTTCCCGCCCACGTCACCCATACGAACCCTTCTTCCTCACACATCTCAGGACTGCTCTAACTTTCTAACTAAGTCTGGCTTAGAAACTGGGACTCTTTTATACCCTGTAGCTATTGTCAAGCCTAGCTGGGCAGGTTGGTTAGAAACCAGAATGAACCACAAGGAACTACCCAGATACCACACTTCAGCAGCTGAAGTTCAACTGAAGTGTGCACCTGCATGGCTGGCTGGGTGTGGGTGAAATGATGTTTGTTTAAGTAGCCACAGTACCTCCAAACTTTTGACACAACTTCTGACAACGCAGTTACTTGAAGTACAGTGAAATAATCTTCTTACATTTAGCAGAAGTTCTGCAAGTGGTATTGCAGGGTAATAGCGGAATTGTTTTGAGCGGTACTTTACGTGTTGTGTCCAGCAGCGAAAAAAGTAGCCTTGACGTACCAGAACTCTCGCAAAATGACAGTTGATTATGAGTCAAAACCGCGCAGCTGGACTAAACTTGAAGTGCTATCGCAGCAGCCGTCTCGTTCCCAAGCGATTGCTAGCTCTCTCCACATTAACTAGGTGGTGTGTGTTAAAAAGAAAGCATTTTGAAAGCTTTTGCGGAATCTCATTGGTCATGTCATCATACAAGCACATTTTATGATGGCTTTGCTTGTGGTCTACTGGACACTCGTGGCTTCAGTTTTGATAGACCACTCGGGCTGCACCCTTGTGTCCTATTGAACTGGCCACTCATGTATAACCAGTAGACCACGCACCACCATCGTACACAAATACTTGTATCAGTGTGCTGGTGTAGTGTTTTATTTATCTTTAGGCTCTAGATCGCCTGATTTGGTATCTGAGACTAGTCCATTCCATTGACTTCTATAATGGAATTTTCATTTCCTGCTGAGGACTGCATGCCGCATCGTTGCGGAATATTCACAGTCCGTCCGAAGAAACCAACAGCCGTCACTCAGGAAGAAGGTATGTACATATATACAGAAGTGTGATTGTGTGCAGGGACATTTTTTTAAAATGTAACCATTACCACAACGTCCAAGTGAGCAGCAGTACGTAGTGTGTTCTGTGCAATTTAGTTCTGCATGTGATATTCATTTAAACAGTACAGTTGTATGGGGGGTAGTGCTTTTCAACAGTCTCGTTAGTGCATGAGTGATGCGTGTCTCATGCATGTTTTTACAAGCATTGATGTGGTGAGCATTTGGCTATTAGGCCGCACCAACTCTAATTTCCGAGCGCATTAGCGCGAGGCAACTACTCCCGGGTTGTATTCTCGCGATATGCGTACGTACGTGTCGTCAATTAGTCACGCTTAGGAATGTCAATTAGTCACCAAAAGAAAGTGTAACTTCCGTCATTCGTAGGAAGTCTAGCTTCCGCCGTGCGCGCAGATTCGTAGGAAGTCTGGCTTTGCGCGCAGTCAGGAGAGCGCACGCACGAGCGGCCTCAGTCGGACTGTTTACGCATTGGCTGGCAGGCGCGAGGCAAAATATGTGCGTGCGCATTCCTAGTAAGTCTGTGTTTGGCGTCATTTTATGTTTTCATAATTGGCGAGGGAAGTAGTGAGCCTACGTATGAATCCAGAAATTTTCCGTATGTATTATTGGCGAGCGGGAGCGAGCCAACCTAGTCGTCACAACGGGAGATATTTCTGTTTATTTATTTATATTTCTATCTGACGACGCTGCCACCGATACCGTAATGTTGTACGCGAATCTAAATAAACGGAACCTGGTAGCAATACAATATTACCACGTGCATAGTATGGGCTCGAGCTCAAAACCCCCCACTACGGAAAGCAGGGAGAGCCGCTTGGCTAGGTGCAGGAAGAGAGACAGACATCGTCGCGCTTCATAAACCGTGGAGGCCCGACAGCGGTGACCATGGAGGGGCCGTATTCGCTGAAGACAGCGTCTTGCTTCTGAGACTGGAGAGGGAGACACGCCTGTAACGTAGGGCGTGGGAGAGAGGAAGCACGAGCATCTGAGGAGAGGGACACAAGCCTGCAGCAGATTAGAACCGTTGACCGGCGGAGACGTAACCACTATTTGAGCATGCACACAACCGTTAGTTGGATCGCTCCCGCTCACCAAAAATGCACTGCATTCACCATATCTGTATTTTTTATTTGTATGTGATGACAGCACTGCACACACTATGATGTTGAATGTGATTCTAAATACACTCAAAAAGTTAAGCTGTTTGCCAAAATGCATGGCATTTGTGTATGTATGGTATTACCATGTTTTTATTTTGTTGCCCGTCTTGTGCAGTGAGTGTATACAATGACTCAACCAAATCACGGATCAAGCCTCTCCTTGAGGCTAAGAAGGAAATGACTGAAGATGACATAGAGAAGTTTGGCAAGAAAGACCCAGATGCATATCCTATCCATTGAGTGTTTTGAGTGTGTTTTCTGCCTTGTTTATAGTGACCGCTTTGTTAGTCAAATCCATTTCTCTCTATTTATACTTTCTTAACGTGTGATCACTGAGGTGGAGCGTTTCATTGAGGTCAATACCCAGAAATTGGCTGAGAACAAATACCTTTGTCCACTGAGTGGAAAGAAATTCAAAGGCCCTGACTTTGTCCGCAAGCATATCTTCAACAAACACAGTGACAAGGTTGAAGCTGTGCGGCAAGAGGTACAATACTATGAGTGTTTGTAATACGCAATAGTATGTGTGGTGTCTGGGGCCGAGGTTGTTTTAACTCCTTCATTAAGCATTGCCATCCTATGTCTTATGGGCAGTTAGGATTCCCAATGTTAATCTCTTTGAGGCCCGAATTACGCGTGTAATTCCATGCGTAATACGAGATATTACAATGAAAGGATTTGGCAACTGCAATGCAAAGTGTGACTAGCTCAGGCGGTGAGGTGATGGAGAGCTTCTAAGTTGGAATCTTACCACCGTGATATGTACGCATGTATATCTTAGTGGGTCTAATTTGGATGTGGAGGCAAACCAAAAGAGTCACAGAGCACGAATGCAGCTATCTACTCTTTACACCCAATTTTTAGCGCAATGCATGATTGCAGCGTAGCGGTTTTTTAAAATGGAATACAATGTGTCAGTCTGTTTCTTTCTGTAAACACATACATAAAGTGTGACTATGGAAGTTAAATACTAGTGTAGAAAGTAAAATAATGGTGGATATAGGGAAGATATAGAAGGAAAGACAGGTATTACGTAGTGCATGTGATGCAAAGTACAGTGTATGATATGGCAACTTTAAGGTGACATTGGTTGTTTGTGTAAATTTTCCTCCACTCAAGCCCTGTATTAGTAGCATGAGTGTTCCCCTTTGTGCAATGTGCAGCTATGACTCACACTCCCACACATTAGACAGCTAATGCGTGGTAGGTGTTGTTACCCTTGACGTGCATGCGCAGCGAGGGTACGGTAGTTGGGTATGTCTATGTGTGTGTCATCTGTCTGTCTGTCTGTTACTCCACATCTCACTCCTCGGGTGTTTGTTTGTCTCACAAAGGATACGACCTACGTACTTAACGGGCAATGAAGGTCAGAAACTTTGAACGGATTTCTCTGAAACTGCTCCGTTGCAAAGCTAGAGTGCGAAAAAGCCAGTATGCAAATACACAACAGACTGGATTGCTTACCACGGTCCGATCGATCCGTGTGCTCTGCGTACCTCGGAGGCACCAGAAGATGCAACGCAGGGCGTGTATCGCCTCTCGCATGCTATCTAGTAGTGTAGTTAGCCCGCGTCAGACTCTGCGCAAGCTGGCTAGAGACCACGAGTAACCGCTAAAACTAAACCCAGCCCATCAATTAGTGTTACGGCGCACGAGGGTTTACACTTCAGTGCTTTTCTTTTCTGGAGTTTGCCATTTGCAGAATCCATTCACCATTGTCCTCACACTTAAAAAGTATTGTTAGATTCGCCCTCATTGTGTGGGGATCGATATAATTATCTTTTTCAATAGCATGGGTAAAACGTAAATGAATTTTTTGGTACCTTTTCGGATTTTTTACTCGTTTTACAAGCTCATTAGCATATTCATATTCCTCCTCCATAATTCTCTATGCCAGCGAGAGCGAATGGTTCGTCTCCATTATGTGCAGTGACTTTCTTTGCCGCCAACAGTATGTGCAAGGCTATTCAAAAGAAGGGCGTTTAGCCCTTCTGCAATACCTATACTCGGAAGTAGCACACCCATTTTACAAACTGGGTCTAATACGCCTGCATATACTGCAGGAGACAGAAAAATGCCACTGCGCATATGGCGCTGAGCCGTTGAAAAGAGGTTGCGGTCGTGTTTGCTGGGTTTGAGGGGGGTGTGAAGTTGTTTTCTAGCTGTGGTTCGAGGTGGGGGCGGACTGGCTTGGCTACGGCCTGTTCTGGGTCTGCATCGTCGCCGGTGGGGCGGGGTGGGCTGTGCTGGTGCTTGTCCGGGTTCGGTGGTGGAGCGATGAGCGTGGGTTTGGAAGTGGGGGGTCCGGCGGGGCGCGGAGTGGAGGAGGTGTTGGGATGTGGGGGGGGTAGTTTGTGCGTGGCGCGTGGTTGTCTCGTGATAAGGCGAAGGAAGAGAGGCTTCGTAGAGGGGGAAAGCCGCCGCACGTGTGATCGGGTGTGGGGTGTGGCCATGGTGGGTTGAGACTAGAAGATATGGGGGGTCGACGCAGAACGACCGCGGGTGCGGGGGGCGCCTAAGGACAGGGATAGGCGTGGGTGGTGAGAGGTTGGTGTGGCTGGACTGGGAGAGTGGTGGTTATGGGCTTTAGTTATTAGATTCCGTGCCGGGTTTTTGCCTGGTGTCTAGAGCCGGGGATGTGTGCAGGGGTTGGACTCGGCGGTGCGTTGTATGATGGCGTGCTTACTGGGGGTGGCGGGTACAGGTTGTTTGGGTCGTCAGGAGGAAAGGTGGGATTTTAGGGGTGGTTGCTGCGGTGACGGGGGAGGAGTTGTGGGCTTCGTTAGTAGGGGGCTGAGGGGGGGAGATTGCGGTGGTATGGGGGTGGGAGGGCCCGTTCGCGCTTGTTGGCACCTTCGGGAGGGTGTGGGGAGAAGGAGGGGCGGGGGTCGGACGTTGCGGGTGGGAAGTTGTGTTGGTGAGGTGACCGGTGCGGGCGCCCGAAGTGGAGGCACGGGTGCGGGTGGGGGAGGGTTGTTGGGGGCGCTTTGCTTTTGATAGGTGGGGACTTTGTCGGTAGGGGGAAGGGTGGAGGTTTTGTGGAGGGTAGGTGGTCCGTTGGGGATGCCCAGGAAGCGGGGGGCGGGAAGTGGCGGGTGAGGGGGTGGGGAGAGGGAGGTAAGGGGTGGGAGTAACGCTAGGCGGAGCATGAAAGGGTAGGGGTGACAACGAAAGAGGGGTTCTGGGGCGGGATTGAGATCGTTGTATGGTTTCTGACGCTCTTAGTGCTTGGGCGGGGAATCAGAGCGAGCCGTGTTCGGGTTTGGTTGGGGTTATGGTCGCACAAAGAAAAGTGGTTGCTGGTTTGTGAGATGCGTGCAGGGTGCCTGTTTTCCGCTTGAGAGGTGGGGGGTGGTGGGGGCTTCCACTTTCTGACCTTGGGTCGTCCTGCAGCAGGAGGCGTAGGTTTGTTGGTTGCGGGACGGGTCCTCGAGATGGGACGCGGGGCGGGGAGTGGCGCCCTCTCTTAGGGGGTTTGAGCTGGCGCGTGCGCACGGAGGTGGGTTCTATGAGCAAGAGGGAGTGTTCTGGTAGCGTGCGGTTTCGCGTTGAGAGGAGGTCTTAGAGGGACGGGGGGGAGCCGGTGGGGGGTAGAGACGGTGTTATCGTACGGGGGAGGAAGGTAGTGAGGTTCCTGGGGGTAGCAGTAGGGCGGTTGGCTGCGTTGGGGGGGGGAGAGCGAGAAGTGGTGGCAGGAGGGGATAGGGGGGTGCCAGGTCGTGGGGGGTGGCGGGGGGGGTGTTTGGGGTGTAGGTTGTTCTAGGGGGCTGCGAGGTGGTAAGAGAGGTTTGGGGCCCTGCGAAGGCGACTTTTAGGGGCAATTAAAATGGGGGAGGGATGGTGGTTTGGGGGTTGGTGGGTTGGGGGCAACGGCTTTATGGTGTTCTTCTTCGTCTCTTTTCGTTTTACTCGCCTTTATCCCTGGTTGTTTGCTTTTTTCCTTCCTCGTTGCTCTGTTTTTTTCCTTCCCTGACATTTTTATCTTACTTCTCCTATTTTTGTCTTTTGTCTTGTTCTCTTGTGCCGTCCCATATCCGTCGTTTTCTCCCTGTTTTTGTTTTTTCTGTCTTTTTCCCTCTGTGGGATTAGGGTTATGGGGGGGGCGCAGCAGGGTCTTGGCGGGGGGTGCTGTGGGGTGGGTGGGGTGGGGGGGGCTGGTGAGGTTGGCTCGGCGAGTTGGTGGAGAATAGGTAGGTGGTGGACTGGGATGTTGTGATGCGAGGTTGTGGGTGAGAAGCGGGTAGGTTGTTGTGGCGGGGGGGCGGCGGAGGTATGCAGGGGTGGGGCTGGAATGGGTGTGCGAAACCGGGCCTGTGTTCGCGGGCAGCGTGTGGGAGATAGGTGGTGTTAGGAGGTGGAGGCGTGGGTGTGGGCTGTGGCTTATAGGGTGTCAGCGGGCGAGGTGCCGGGGGAAGGTGTTGTAAGGGGCTCTGGGTGGTCCGGTAGGTGGGGGGGAGCATGGCGGGATTAGCAGGAGGGTGCGGAGAGGGCGGGGGTGAGGGGCTGGGTGGCAGTTGTGCGAAAAGGTGCGGGGAGAGGGGGGGCGTGGGTTGGGGGGAAGGGGGTGTCGAAAAGGGTGGCTCGGTGCGGGTAGAGGGGGGGGGGGGAGTGTGGGTGGGGGTTGGGCGCCCCCCCCGCCCCCCTCCGTTAGAATTGGTTCTTTTAGTGGATTTTTTTTTTGTCTGTTCCCTTTTTTTCTAAAAGTTTTTTTTTCCCTCGCATGCCTTTTATTTTGTTGGGATTAGTGTTAGGTACGACCTCCTTTGAAAGGACTATCTCAGTGGCGCTAATTTACCTGAGGTATGTTACTGCATGCTAATATTGACAAGTAAATTTAAAATACTGCAAAAGAGGCATATAAGGATAGAAATGGAAACAAGATAGGGATGGGCTACATGAAGCATTGTTAATGAACAGATTTGAGCACGCTGACACCCCGACCCCATCACACAATTCCTATTGTTGCCTGGTGTACCATCACTCGTAAACTCCATTTGGATCTTGGTTACTCAGTAGCTTGACTTTTTTCAAGCTGTAAGTCCTGACTTTGTAATGCTGAATATTATTTAATACTTCACCTAGGCAACAATATAGGGATTGTGTGATGGGGTCGGGGGTGTCAGTGTGCTCAAATCTGTTCATTAACCATGCTTCATGTATCCCATCCCTATATTGTCTCCCTTTCTTTTTATACCATCCCTATATGTCTCTTCTTTTAATTCGCAGGATTTTTAATTTACTTGTCTCCACTTACTATAATATCTCTGTGCAAGCCCCCTATAAAAAATTAATAATAGAGAAAAATGCCTGTTGTCGTCGTGGAAATGATGTAATATGCATGCGTACCAACTTTCTTCTCCATGTGTGCTGCCATTAGTAAGTGTGAAGAGTGAAGAAGTAAAGGCCTGAAGTTGTTAAAACGATATGTGGGCGTCATGAAAACGATGTGTAATTCGCATGTGTAACAAGTTTCATCTCCATGCGTGCTGCCATTGGCAAGTTTGAGGAGTGAAGAAGTAATTTCAAGAAAAGTATATTTATTGTTGTTTAAAACATATAGTCGTCGTGGAAACATGTAATTGTCATGGAAATGATGCATGCATACCAAGTTTCATCTCAATCGTGCTACCATTAGAAGTGAAAAAGTCAAGTGTCTGAGGCTATTTGTTGTTGTTGTATTGTTGTGATTTTGATGTTGGTGATTGAATACATTATACGTATATACAAAGTTTCGTTCACATACCTCTTACCATTTGCAAGTTACACCGACACATGAACTGTGGTATTTATGCCACTTGCCTCAGAGCAATTTTCTGCTTATTGCATGCGTACTGGACATAAAATGTTGTAAGTCTTCGGCAAGCACCAAGCTGAAACAATTCTCTTTGTAGTTTTATGATAATAAGTTCATGAAACTATTCGTCATTAACCCTCAGTACACATGCACCAGAGAGGTCTTTACTTGGTTCGTGCAATTGCTGCAGGAACATGGTTTTGTGCCAAAAGTTTTCACTTTGATTTCTCATTTGTGCCAAATTTCCTACTGTGTTTACCAACTTTCTTTTTGCAGACCGAGTTTTTCAATAACTACCTTCGTGACCTTGACCGTCCTGGGCAGGAAAATTCCACCACAGCACCCTCACATTCTGCTTCACCTGGGGGTGCCATAGTACATTTGGATGAGAGAGCAGCTGTGTCACCTGGTGGCCCTTCTACCCCTGGTAGCTGGGGCCAGCCTCCACACATGATGTTTCCTAGAGGTTAGCTGTAGTTTTGGTGTTATATCCATGTGGTTAATTTTCTTGGCTTTTAAACTAGTACATGAATGTTTGGTGACTGGGACCAAGCAACTAGGCAGAAGAAAATTCATCAAACAACGGTGTACCTAGAGCACACAAACAGTTTTCTAGAAGTTGCAGCCTCACGACCTCAATGGAGGACACCCATTCTTTGTAGGAGACTATCCCGTTTAGTAGGCAGAAAGAGAAGGTACGGGCCAGGCGGGTGCGGGCCAGGCAGAGAGGGTTCAAAAAACGGATTATCGAGTGTTGAAGGTCCTGGTAACTTCTCAGTCAAGCCCAAGAACCAGTTGGCTGGGTTTTCCGATTCCAATGGGCCACAGAGTTTGCAGGATGCGTTGCTTCTCTGGCCTGCAGGGGTGCTGAAATGACATGATCAGTCCAACTGGAGGCCATGGTACGTAGTTCACCAACAGCCGGATCCTTAAGTTGTCAGACACATATTACATTACATTTAGGCTACACTTTTAAAAATGTGATAAGTATATATATACCTCCGCCTTTTGAGTTATTGCTCTGTAGGATTGGAGATGATTCAGTTTTCAATAGCATAAGGATTTGGATTCAACCAGTGGTGTAGGAGAAGTTGGAAGACCCATAATACTACGTAATGAATGCTTCACGACAAACAACTCTTGGATTACCATTAGCATGAATCTGGGAACAACCTTTTTTGTACCATTGCTCTGAGGCGGAGGAGAGTCACATAATTTGTGGGATGGATAGATCATCGCTGCACATGCTCACCAGTCATCACGCTATCACATAAAACTCACCACATACACAAACATTAGGTCAGAGTCGATATAATATATATTAGCTCGACGGCGGTGGCGAACCGACAACTAACATTTATAGTGGACGTTGGCTGTTTGCACTTGTACTTTCAATGTTTTTATACAGGTGGATTTACCCCAGCATTTCCTCCAGGGATGTTGGGAGGAAGAGGTGGATTTCGGTCAAGGTGAGTGAGTATAACTTTTGTGCCCCGAATTTTAAGCCAGTTGATTTTTGCAGGGGTGGTCGTAGAGGTCGTGGAAGAAAGGTCATCAATTATCATGACCTTGATGCACCAGACCAAGGAGAGATGTATTAGCTGACTGAACAATGAAATTTGCTTGCATTTGAGAGACTTTCTACACTGTTATCTTGCACATGCAGAGGTGGGGCTGGTGGTAATTGTGCGGGAGGGGCGAGCAGCATGCGTCCGTGCTGCTTTGTTGTATAGTGCTACACGCGCACTGAATCGACCGTGAGCGATGGCTGGCAGTTCCAGAGGTGGACGATTGGCAGTAGTGAATGTTTTGAAGATGGTAGCAAGTTCAAGGTATCACTTAGCTATACTTGGAATACTACAGTTCTGTTCTGGCACTATAATTATACCTAGGCTCACAGAGAATTAGGGTTATTTATTACGTCAGGGAAGGCAAATCTGGCGAATTCCCCCTCTTCCAGAGAATTGATAGTCAATCTTTTAGTTCATGCATGACTGCGGAGAAAATCACCCAAGAATCAGAGTGATAGTTCGTGACTCTGTGCTATTATGACAGTCTTGGGTTTTGTTTGTCGAGCAGTGCCCGATGCAGCATAAGGACTGTATTGCTTGAGAGCTGCTTGGGTCTTCGGTGCCAGTATAAATGTAGGAAGCGAGACTGAACACAATAAGGTTGCAGTGCTAGCTACTTTCAATTACATTCGAGTTAATGAGAACCTTCTAACGGGCGTGTATGACTTTCTTCACTTGTATTACCTTATGTGGATGAACGATATCTATCATTTCTGCATAGTTTATCAGCACTAGCAACATTGAACAGATATCTGCTTTGACGATAATATGTACCCAGGAGTCAAAATACCTGAAAGAAATGTAATCCATCCTAACAACACCCGGTGTATTCTCTTGCAATTGGGAGTTGCTGCATAGCAGCATTGAATTACATTTTGTTGAAATTCTACAGTTGTTCATGCCCTGCTCATTCATATGCATATGGCCACCTTCACCCAAAAGGTACTAACATAATTTGCATTCTTTTACCATGTTGAGAAACACGCTGCTGTTGATGTACAACCACAGGTGTACAGCTTCGCCCACAGTCCAGTTCTAATGAGAAGGAGTATGCATTTGAGATGGCCAGTTCCAGTATACGGTATGGAGATGGGGTGACAAAGGAGGTGGGATGGGATGTGATCAATCTTGGCATCAAGAATCTTGTTGTCGTCACTGATAACAATGTAGGTCACTGCTGGCAGCTATTATGCTTGTGGCCCTGTGTTGAAATTAGGGCTGAGAACCAGAGTGGTCTAACCCACAAAAAGGACCTTGACATGAAATTGCCATAAAAATGTGTTTTGAAAGGACACAAACTTTTGCAAAATCCCAAATATCTCAGTATACCCTAACCATTATTTCCCTCATTTTTGCACTCTTTATACTTAATTGGGATAGACCACTCTGGTTCTAGGCCCATCTATTATCAATTTCACTGATAGCATGAATATAGATAGTGCCTTTGTGACACAAATCTTTCGTGGCTAATAGCAACATGGATACACGTGGTTACTTGCCAATTTCCCTATTAACATAATATACAGCTTGCTGCACTACCTCCTGTCAAACTAGTTGTGGAATCGCTGGAGAAAGCAGGAGTTCCGTACACATTATTTGACAATGTGTCTATAGAGCCCACAAATGAAAGGTGTGCTTTTATATTATTTTACATCCATGGGTCTCTGTGTATGTATGAAATTTCAGTTTGGCAGAGGCCATCTCCTTCGTCCAAAAACAGCAATTTGATGGGTTTGTTGCTGTTGGTGGTGGGTCTGTGATAGACACCGCAAAGGCTGCAAACCTTTATCTCTGCCATCCTGAGAATGACTTCCTTGACTTTGTTAATGCTCCAATTGGTAAAGGTCTGCCTGTTCAAATGACCTAAAACCACTGATATGTGGTGAGTGTGGAGTTATTTGCTAGTTATAGAAACATTCAATGTGTATCATCAAGAGTACATAAGAGAGATCGAATATGATACGCACGTGATGAAACTCTGTAAAACAACCCGTAATCTACTAGTAAATTTAAACAATGATGTTTACTAGTAGATTACGGGTTGTCATCACGTGCATGTCACATTACTTTGTACACGGTGTTTGTATGCAGGTGTACGCAGTTCGATTCTCTCTCGTATGTACTCTTGCTATCATCTTTGCAGTACCAACAACAGCAGGAACAGGAAGCGAGACTACAGGAGTTTCAATCTTCGATTACAAGCCTCTTGGAGCAAAAACAGGTTAGTGAAGCTGCCAGAAATGTTGGTAGCTAGTACTCAATCCTTTATATACACAGGTATAGGGAGCCGTGCTCTAAGACCACTGCTAGGTATCATTGATCCGCGCCATGTTAGACACATGCCAAAGAATGTTGCAACCTACTCTGGCTTTGATGTACTTTGGTAAGTCTTGTTCCTTTTGTGCAATGCTGCAATTGTTTGGTCTGACCGTGTGACAACGCTACTTATACAGTCATGCTCTGGAGTCGTATACGGCCCTACCATACACAGAAAGGATTCCTTGCCCGTCAAATCCTAAATTACGTCCAGCTTATCAAGGGAGCAATCCTATCTCCGACATATGGGCCAGGCAGGCACTTCAGATCATCAGAAAGTACTTCAAAAGGTGCCCTCAAATATGGCACATTTATATGCTGGAGACATTGCAGGGTATGGTTTATTTATCAGGGCAGTGTATGATGCAGAGGACCATGAGGCTAGGTCAGCCATGCATATGGCCAGTTGCTTTGCTGGGATAGGGTTTGGCAATGCTGGTTGTCATCTTCCGTAAGTAAAAGTTTCTTTAGTACACCTACAACGTTGCATCTGCACCCTGCATTACATTTTGCACTTGGCAAACATGTTCCCTGGAAGAGTAAAAATAACATAAGGGTATATGGCTCTTCAAGATCCTGGCAAGTAGGCTCTGCGTGTAATGTAAATCGACTCTATTAACTGTTGTTTTTCTTAAAGCCATGGTATGTCATATCCAATCTCTGGGCTAGTGAAGTCATTTACAACATCAGGATATGATCCCAAAAAGCCGCTTATAGTAAGTATTGTAGAAGCACACGTGTTTGTGTGTAATCCTTCATTACCACCTTCATTTCCTATGCAGCCACATGGCCTCTCTGTTGTAGTAACTGCTCCTGCTGTATTTAAGTTTACCTCTCCCATGTGCCCTGAGAGACATTTAGAAGCAGCTGAATTACTAGGTGTGATTTATATAATGTGATAGACATTTTATTTCTGAAATCTATGATGTAGGTGCCAATGTAACTGGTGTTAAACTGGAGGATGCTGGGAATGCATTATCGGATACGCTAAGGCAGTACATGAGTGATATGGATGTGGAGGACGGTCTCCAAGCACTGGGATATAGCACTGAAGACATACCTGCACTAGTCAAAGGAACTCTTCCCCAGGTTTGTAGCTGGTAATTATGCTGTATAGAGAGATTAAAGTAGGTATCTGCTGTCTATATTATAAGTATAGGTTTGATGATGGCAAGTATGCTCTATGAGGGAATACTTGCCATCATCAAACCTACATGGTATAATGTTTCTCCAGCACAATGCCTGAATTCCCTATAAGGAAAGCAAAGTGGGTGGTGATTAGGAAGTATATAGCTCAGCCCTCTGCTTTTGGTGGTAGTACAGCTAAGTGGGTGCTACTACTGGCCAATAAATCATACCCTATAACGCGCCATTGCTGGGGTAACATATACCATTACTGAATGCTGACCACTGACTACCTTTCCTCATTTTATAGGATCGTGTTACAAAACTATCTCCACGGAAGTTCACTGAAGAACATTTATCGTATATCTTTGAGGACTCAATGACTGTATATTAACAAATTCTTGTTCAATGTGACTTTTTATGGTACACCTTAGATAGTACTTGCCATTTTGCAAACACCCTGTTGCTGCCTCACCACACTGTAATTTCTACTCCGAGTAGCAACAACACTAACTGACAAGATCAGGAATATCGGCCAGTCTGTTCCCTAACTTCTGTTCCTAGTTCACCAAGCAGTATCAGCTGACTTCAATGGTTGTGTCGATTAGCCTAGCATCAATCATTGCAGCAAAGACAAGAACCATTGTTTGGGTTCTCTAGGCCATCCATAAGATTAAAGCAATACTTTCGAGCTACCTAAATGAGTATGCAGAACATCAGAGGATGTTGGTGCCAATAAACACTAACAGCCATGGGCCATTAATACAGCTTCCATAAGATTATAGGTTGGTGCTAATAATACTTCACACATGATATTCTGCTCGTTTAGCTCACCGCCGTGGCCATGGCACTGCATTTAATAACAACATGATGTGTGTTCTTGTGGAAGGTCAATCACTGACCATCGTTTATCAATACCTTGCCACAATAGTTCTTCGATTGTTAATAAATTATTGGCGAGCGAAGCGCCCACCTATAGTCGTCTGAATGGGGGATTGTATATAGCTGTTATTTGTGATGGGCACTGCATATTATAATGTTTGATTTTAAACACACGTGCGAAAATGTGCACAAAAATACAAACTGCACGCTTTTCTTGCCAAATGTTTCATTCCTGTATAATTATTATACGCACGGACAGTCCATGAACTCCACAAAATATTTCACACAGGTGCAATAATTATACAGACACAGAATATCATGTTCGTGCCCTATTTTTGGCCAACCAACATCTAGGCATACTGAAATAAATAGATGAGCTAAAAACTAAAGTTCTATTCTGGCCCATTTTCTTCTTGCTCTCGAGCAAAGTTAATAAAAACCTGCAAAATATAATCTAACTAGGAGCAGCGTAACACATACTTACCTGCTCCAGAGTGGTCTGACTGACAGAGTAGTCAATGATACCAAGTCTGTCCTTGTTGGCCTCCAGTTGACGGAACACTGAGGACCATGTCAGACCAGCACTGGGCAACTGGTAGGTCACTGAGCCCTATGCGAATCATATGTTCAATGCCACAGCAAAAAAGATTGTTTGTGTGCATGCCTGGTGCTCTTCCAGCAGTATAGCTTCAGGAAAAGACTCCTTGATGAACATGTGCAGTGAACTTATGTCCTCACCATCATGACTCTCTTCAACAGCACTCCTGAATATATAACACAAATGTTTTCTGTACTCGCTCCATCCTAAATAGTTGAGTTAATGGATGATTGAATTTGTTCCTTCGCCTCCCAGAAAACCAGTTGTTACAGCTGGATGTGAAATTGTACTGTCTGTCAGCTGCCATATTATTTCACTGGCCATGCTTCCTATGTGCAAACTCACAGCTAAAAGGCAAATAAAGAGATCTCCTTGCAGATGGATCAACACAACAGTGTCAACATCATTACTAAGCCATTCATGGTACGTATGTACTGTGTGCATTAACCTCTTTAGTGTAGACTGATGATCAGGGTTTCCATCTTCAGTAGCAGGATTAGCTACAGAAAACACAGTCTCTTCCTGGTCAGTAGGATAGGTTTTTGGTGTAGGCATTTTCTGCCCCAGCTTTGCCTGGAGACTGTACCCAGAGCCGTATCTGAGAAAATAGTGTGGAATAAATCCCTTTGGAAACCATGGGTATCTCCTTAAATAAGCAGAAATTGATGTATAGCATAATAACGCATAGTATTATATATAGCCAAAATTCTTATGGACTTATGGAGGTTCTGGGCCTATATTATGCCCATGACTTGCTAAGAACATGCACACAAACTACTACATAGACTTACTTGTTCTTCAGGTGTTGTATGCTGCCGAGACATTTGAACTGGCCATTGACCATGATGGCAAGTCTGGTACACAGTGCCTCACACTCCTCCATGCTGTAAGGTGTGTTAATAAAAACTGATGTGTTGGGTTTAATTTGTAGCAAGAAGCATCAATATTGCTAAATTCGCAAGTATGTGGGCTGTTTGCAATTGAGCTGCTGAAAGGGCTCACGCAGCCCAAAGGTCTATGCATTATGCCGTTTACAGAGAAGATGCAACTTGGATCATAGGCAGGCAGGTATGCTCATGCTCAGTCAGGAGTGGTTAAGTATGTGCGATTACATATACATGTGATCCCAGGATTTTGTCCAATCATTAAGGTGTTTATGTGTCTTGCTGCATGCACGGGGGGAAAAAGAAACACACCTATGTGATGTGAGTATGATGCTCCTTCCCTCTCTAGTGACTCCAGTCAGAACATCCCACAGGTAGCGCCGTGTCCCTGGATCCATACCTGTAGTTGGCTCATCCTATGTAGATAGGTTACGTATGCAGCAATTCGTAACAGTGGATTGTGTATGACTTACCAGAAACACAATAGGGGGATTTCCAACAAGTGCAATAGCAGTACTTAATTTTCTTTTGTTTCCACCACTGCCAGGAGGGAATGGGTAGGCCTATTGTGGCACAGTATTAGCACATGAGCCATTGCATACCTGTACTTTCCACACTGTTTGCTGGCATGTTTGGAGAGGTCAAGTCGAGCCACCTCAGCCTCCACTGCCTGACTGATGAGAGACTCTGGAATACCTCTCAGTCTGGCAAACATGGTCAGCAGCTCTCTCCCTGTCATCCTCTCTATTAGAGCATCAAACTGAGGACAGTAGCCAATGCGCTGCTGGACCTGAAATAATCGGTCAGTACCAGGAGTTAGTATGCATCAATGTAGTAAAGTACCTTCCTCAAGTCAGTTCTAATGTCATATCCTGCTATGACAGCAGTCCCAGTTGTAGGAGCTATGTCTCCAGTTAAGATACTGAATGTAGTGGTCTTTCCAGCACCTAACATCATTTGAAAGTCAGTACATAGAAAGTTGAAGCAGGAGACCTACCATTTACCCCAAGAAGTCCAAAGCACTCGTTCTGGGGGACGATGAGACTTATTCCATTCACAGCTAGCTTTGCAGCCCTAACTGTGCAGCCATCTAGTGATCTGTGATACTCCTACAACATTGCAGAATGAAATACTTGCAACAAAAGGTTAGTACAAACCTTGACTAAATTTTTAATGATCACAGTGTCTTCCTTAGTCGTGGCTCCTAACACAACCTTCTTCCTCTCTGCTGCAACATCTTCATCCTACACATACATTTCAACTATTGATTGCGAGATCATGAAATATGAATGAGTGTAAATACCTCGCCATGAAGTAACAGAGGTTCATCTGCTGCTTCTGGGCGTGTTTTACGCCTTTGAATATATTTGACAAACATCCCACGGACTTCAGCAAAGAAAAACCCATTCTGTACACAACGAGAAACCACATAAACATACGTAAACGTATGTTATAGTGAACAGTTAGGAAACAAACCTCCAGGAGAAGAGTCAGAGCAAAGAAAAGCACTCCCTCTAATGTCATGTATATCAGGTTGACCCCAACACCAGGACGATCAATGGACAGTGGGTTATCCACATACCGTATTGTGTCACTCATCCTACATGCCCTGCAAGGAGACCAAGAGAGTATTTATTATAGGCAACATGATGTATATAACTGATTTGCAAAATGACTATCAACTTACGCTCGTGTAACGTTGTTCTGTGTGCAGGTGCCTCTGACAATGTTATTCAGGTACAAGTCATTAAGACCGATTGAGAGGCTGTAAAAGTGGTATAGGGTATAATAATGCATTATGACTATGGAAACAGATACATAAGCAAAATGGCAAACAAAAATGAAAGTTCCCTCGGTGCAAAACAAAAACATCATAATATGAAAAGCACTGAAGTGCAAACCCTCGGCGCATGATGTATGCGCGGTACCGCTAATTGATTGGCTGGGCTATGAGTATGCGTTTACTAGTGGTCTCCACGTTAGTCGGTCACGGAGAGTCTGACACGAGCGAGCTAGCATGCCGATGCGGGAGGGCCTTCATGGTGACTTATTGCGCCTCCACAAGGTACAAAGAGCAAGCGGATCGGTCGAGGTAAGCTGGTTCGATTATGCACATTGGCTTTTTCGCTTGCTTTCACAGCATTATCTCTCGAACACTGTCGTTTCTGCATTTTTTCAGGTTCGCGTAATTCTGAAGACGTTGGTATCACTCATAGGGCCGCCTCGTACCCTGTAGTGCGAGAATAGCTGCTGACAGACTGACGGGGGCACACACACACACAGACCAAGTACTGCAACCCTCACTGCGCATGCTTGCCGAGGGTTAAATATGGAGAATACTGCTTCACCACACAGTACATATTTAGAGTGTAAACACCTACATACACAGGTTGATGAATAACATCTGGCGCTGCAAGGATGCACAACTTGTGTACTATTTCATACATACCTTATGCCTCACAAATGGTGACAAGTCAGGAAAGAACAGTGAAACCTGTATTAAGCGACAAGATACGGGCCAAGCAAACGTGCTAATAAAATCAGGGGTCTTTGAGTAAAGATTGTACAAAACGATTCAATACTTCATGCACATGCGTCTGTGTGTACAATTCCATGCACCGTAAGTCTGACATACATGAATCGCTGCGAAAATAGTCCAGACAAGCTTAAAGGCTAATATGACTCTGAATGTATGCTATGCGAGGCCGCCGAGGCATTTCCATGCTTTGTGAAATGAAGGGAGGTGTTCTATGCTGCGCTATATACTTGGGACGCATTCTACCGGCCCATTAGACATTCAGGAACTAGAGTAGTGGTCTTGTTAAGGGGGTACCCGTTAGACGCAAGTGGTCGTCAGGACAGGTTGCACTGTACAACAAATGGCAGCATCTGGTGAAAAACCTGTAAACCCTTTTCTGGAGGACATGCTGTCATCACAAAAGGGAGCCCAAAGGAATGGGATAGTGTTGCAGTCCCAACATTTCTGTAAGCACAACTCACGCATAAGAAGGATCAAAGAGTGTCAAATAGTGCAGAGCATCTTTGGTTGATTGGTCAGTCACGAAGAATTGTATCAGGAGGAACACCTTAAAAAGTATATTCATAACCACATTTACAATCAGAACCACTGCTGCATAACTGGAAAAAGGTAGCCTGTTTGATGATCATGCTTGGAATTGGTAATGCTATGAATTGTATGCAAGCCAGTTTTATGATTTATGTAGCTGGAGTCCAAGTGCGCAAGGAATGACAATACTAACCTGTGATGTAATGAAGAGAAAGAAGAATATGACAGCAAATGCCACCAGAGAGTTTGAGAATAGGAAGGACACCGCATAGACCATTGGAATAGTACACCAACATGTTAGCAGCTGCGTGGAAGGAGAGAGGAGAGTATGCTAAAGACTGAGCCACGCAATTAAATTCCCGCTTTTCTGTAATGTACAATGTACTATAACAGTGTGCAATGGCACCCACCCTTAAATCTGTGGGCATGGCATGGGTGTATATATGTTGGGGACCGATTAAAAACCAGAGGCCCGTTTTAAAGCCGTCCAGACGGTTTTAAAACGGGCCAGCCGGTTTTAAAGCCGTCCAGACCAGTTTAAAGCCGTCTAGAGGCCGTCCAGACGGCTTTAAAACTGTCCAGCTCGATTGAAGGCCGTCAGGAAGAAGCAACCTATCTACCAGTCGCTACTGTCCAGCCCTGATTTTGCGATCTACCTCAGCAGTCGGCCGCGAACTCGTCCCGCCCAGGGCTAGCTGTCAGCTGTCACGGCCATGCGCGCAAGATCGATCGCGCACGCGGCGGTACGTGACTCAGCTCCCGCGATCACCTGCCCACGCCCAGCCCGTCCTCTTTTCTCTGCCGCCGCTGGGCGCAGTAGACGACAGCGCTTGCAAGGCCGCTGGCTGGAACAACAGCTGCTGGCACGGTAGAACATTGCTGCCGGCCCAGTTTTATTCATGCACGGACCCGTGCTCGCAAGGCCGGTGGCTGGAACAGCTTCTGGCGCGGTAGGACACTGCTGCCGGCCCCGCATGCACGGACCGTGCTCGCCGTTGGCTGGGAACAGCCGTTGCGCGGTAATGAACGACATGGTCATCCTGAGCGTCTGCTTAATAAAAACCGTCTGGCTTACCGCTTGAAAACCGTCGGGCCGGAATTAAAGCAGTCTGGCCCGTTTTAAAGCGGTCCGGCCCGTTTTAAAGCCGTCGGACGGCTTTAAAACGGGCCGGGTTTTTAATTGGTCCCCAACATATACATGTGTTTCTGAGATACGTAGAGTAACAGTCTCCAAACAAAATAAGTTCCAAGTGAGGGTGCATATTACAAACTATGGCATCCCTTTGGTCCGAAAGTGGCGGAAATATTCCGTATTCTCACTAAAAATGCCGGAAATATTAAAGTGCCCATTGCGATATTTCTCAAATCTTCCTGCATATGTAGGAAAATCAGAGGGTGGTGGAGGAAAGCTTCCTACAAAACGTTTCCTACACGAACTTTCCTGCAAATTGCACAAAGTGACCCTGATTTGACAATATTTCCTGCACTTGGCTTATGCATTATAATAGGACTTCTTATTTTGTTTGGAACATGTTTAGTGTGAATTGATAGCCTTCAAAAGTTGTTTGTACTTTCTCTAGTTAGCTAAACAGAATTGGTGTGTTTTGGTTATGATGACATGTCACTGCAAGCAAGCATTATGTATCATTATAAAAGAGCCATGGTATGTGTACTATAATCCTACTAGGAATGCGCACGCACATATTTTGCCTCGCGCCTGCCAGCCAATGCGTAAACAGTCCGACTGAGGCCGCTCGTGCGCGCGCTCTACTGACTGCGCGCGAACCGCGAAGCGAGACTTCCTACGAATCTGCGCGCACGGCGGAAGCTAGACTTCCTACGAATGACAGAAGTTACACTTCCTTTTGGTGACTAATTGACATTCCTAAGTGTGACTAATTGACCACGTATGTACGTGTACGTACGTACGCATATCGCGAGAATACAACCAGGAGTAGTTGCCTCACGCTAACGCGCTCGGCAATTATGGTACCTACCAAGGTTTCTTTCTTGCATGAGTTTCCCCACAAAAGATGAAAGTTAGGGGGCAAACATTTTTTAAGTGCATCATACCTAATTAAGTATTAGCTTTACCAACAAGAGGAACACTCCAGCAAGACCGTCTCCAGTATAGCCTTCCACTTGAAAGGCAGCGAAAAGGATAACAGAGAGTACGACAGGCACCAAGGCGTTTAAGAGATCCCAGGCGTATGTGGAGATCCAGAAGCTGGTCACATCAACTCCACTCACAAACTGGAGATGCTTTGCCTGTGCCATAGAGTTACAATATTATTATAAATCACATACTCAGTGTCACACAAACACCAACAAATGTACGATGTTGTGCAGTATGTGGTACACGGTTGGGCCCATCCTGAACCCATGTAAATTGGAGTGCTTGGCATGGTAGCCTATCTGTTGTGCATTTCCATCCCATTGCGTGCGTAAGTATAACTGGTCAGCAAGCTACGTAAGTGAACCTATTTACTCCATGGAACTTCGTGTATTGTTTAATACACCATAATGCCTAAATTAACAAGTGTGAAATTGCTAAAATCTTTGCACTCGCTAACAATGCTTTGCATTTGTGCCTGGCTATGTTGCTTCAATTTTATCCTAAAATTCATTGTTACAACACCTTTATTTCCTTTTCATTGATTGGGAACAAGACGAATGTAGAAATGAGAAAACTGAATCCAAACACCACCATTGTGCCAATCGCAAACCCATTAAAATTCTGTTGAGTAGCATCAACCTGGGAAGAGAAAAGTTTCATTATGAGAGCTGAAGAAATAGATGTAGTTGACTTGTTTGCCTTGCCTTTCTACCTTGCTACCAAGTTGTTGAGACATGCATAACATGTCAAAAGAACTAAATTTACCTCAGCATCTACAGTGCGAGGTAGAGGATGGTTGTTGATGGTGAGTCTGAGGTTGGAGTTGTTGGTGGCCTGTCTCAGCCACACATTGTGGAAGGCATTCAGAGCTGCTGCCGACATGTGCCATGGCTACAGAACGATCGGTAGTCTAACAGCCATACTATGTCCCAATTATAATAATACACATACATTGTTGTTGTAGTAGACTGTTACTGCAATTTGAGGTAGTTCCTTGGGATAGAACTCTGCTGTAGGACGGACTGTACTATTTTCTCCGTCACAACTACTATTTTCAGCACAGGCCATTAGCTGTAGTAGGTTGGCACTCAACCCATCCACAGCATAGTCCATACTAAACGGAGCCACACCACTGCCACTACCACTGCCACTACCACTACCACCTTCATCACAGTCTCTTGAAAGCCAGTCAAAAAACTGAGTTCTCTGCCTCAGTGCATACACTTGGGCACCATCTGAACGGGTGCACTCAGAGAGGCTATTGACGTAATTCTGAGAAAAGGAGTCTGCATCATTGCAGCCACAGGCAGCATAAGGTGGATCTCGGTAGCTGATCACAAATCCAGCCTGAATCCTTCGGATGTACACGTCTGGAGACATATCATTGCCTTTTCTGAGAAGAGTCTCATCGACAAACACAGTCTCACTCTCCAGTCTACCTGTAGCGTTGCTCTCAGCATCATCAACTGATACCTGTGGTGGTTGAGGACATAAGTCCTCTTGGTCTGGACTCCTGGTCTGAGTTAGAGGATTTGTACACGATGGTACCACCGCTTTGTTGGCTTTACAGCACCTGCAGAATAGAAATATAGGTAAGTTAGAGTGCTCATGCAAATAATCATTAGGGGTCTGTATGAAATGAATACCGGAGATACAGTATCACTTCACTGGCCAAAACTACTTTTAATAAAAGAATTCACACCCATTTACTACTAGACTGTGAGCTTGGGTTCTTTGACACACTACACAAACAAATGCATGGCATTATTAGCAAGTGGGAATGAGCACAAAAAGCACCAACAATGTTTTCTATTAAAATTTTAAAAAATCCCACCGCCTGGACGACTAGGTTAGCTCGCTTCTGCTCGCCAATTACACATAAGCTCACTCAAGGCAATTTTGTCCACGGCGATAACCAAACTTGTTTTTGAAACGAGTCTGTTGACAGTTTAATTGTTTCTGAAAAGGAAAAAGATACCAAAGAAACATACGTAATATGCACTACGTACAATCAGTGTAGATCCCTCACCAGAGGTTGTCTAGCACAAAATTTGTCCAGTATCTGGTAGGAGTAGTTGCAACACCGAGATGGAGTCTCCACGTTCTGCACATAGCTGTACATATCCAAAGTATCTCGTGTGTAATCCAGTAGCTCAGTTGCACCAATGCTATCAGCAGTGACTGACTAGAATAAGTACATTGTATATACGTACTAGCGTTGTCATATGCACCTTTTATGCACTTACACAAAAATCTAGAGTGTCGGATGACACATCACCAAGAGTGGCGAAGAACACCAGTCGGCTATCTGGGACCAGAGCTGAATTGCTTATTCTCAGAGGTCGCGGGGGATCGTTTTCGTTTGCATTTGGGAGTGTTACAGCCAGTATCATAGCAATTAGTACAAATAGCAGGGGGAGTACTAGCTGGGTGATGATGGCTTGCCAGAACCTCAGAGAGTTGTAGAACCTCTTCAGAAACATGGCATAGAACTGCTGACACCACAAAACTGCACCTGAATTTGGGACTGAACAACATAACCCAAAGTTATGTTATGCACACACATAAGTTTAATTTTTACACACAATTAATAGTGTAGTGCAACAGATTGTGAAAAAATTAAAATATACTCCCGATCGCGTGTGCTCTCACGTGCAGTAAGTTTAACTGTCAAAATTGCAAATATGGTTTCATCTTAAACACAGTAACCTTGAGGTGTACGTGGGTTTTTCAGACTTTGCTCAGAACGTAAACAATAATTATGTGTCCAGATATTTTACCAAAATTTGTTGGTGGTTTCGGAGGGACCTCGGAATTCACTGAAGACTTTCCTTTTATGACCACTTCAGGCACCTGCTCTGTGGTGTCAACTCCATCCTGGTGCACTTCCTGTGCTAGGGTCTCTGAGAGCAATAAGAGATTATTGAGATTCAGCTTATTAAGACATTGATGAATACCATTTTGAACAGGTGAGGCTGGCCGGATAGAGTGAGTAATAGACCGTGATGGAGACTGGGACCGAGACACAGGAATATCAGTAGTTGTTCCTGTTCGCTTAATCCTACAATGATATAACAACATGGCATTTTGCAGATGTACGAATAGGGACTAACGAGCGGGAGCAACAGGATGTCTGAATGGCATTTTATGCAAAATGATAAACTTAGTAGAAAAAACCAATCCGCTAGTTTTTCTCTTCGATGCCCTATTGAGGCTTGAGCTGCATTTTGTTGATGCTAACTTACCCTCATGTCCAAGGTACATATGATCAGTTAACTTGGATGTGAATGAGCGAGCAATCATTCCTTTAGCATTCAGTTTGTAAACAATTTGTAACCTGAAGGCATGCAGGTAAAGATCCAGTTTTTCGCTTCATCACACTCGCCAAAATGGTCTTTATTTCGCCAACTAGCAAGAGGTTCTCTTCACACAAAATGGTCAGGTTAAATGTCAACAATGACATTTGTATTATAAAGACACTGTTTGTGTAAATATACAACACTCTATTTCATAAAACTGTGTAAACTGCATGGCACCTTTCATCCAGAGTTTCATCAGTTCCCTCTCCTACTTTGATAAAGACCTCCTCCATGGTAGTGACCGAGATGCCAAACCCAGCAATGCCCAATTGTTCCTTTTGAGCTGCAGTCCGTACACCACAGGGATCAGAGTTACTACTGCATTTCCCACATGTATACTAACTAAGTGATGCTCGTGCTTCCTTCCCTTTTAATCTGGTAGGTGTAATTAACATAAATGCACCGAACCTTCTAAAGTATCGAAGAGGTGTGGAAAGCTTTGTGACGACTTCAAGGGAAGCACATAGGAGACCTCTGCTCCAACATCAGTCACGTTCTTGCCTCCTTGTACCAGAGAAGTAACAATATCGGTCACTTTGGATGAGACACAAGATGGCTCCTTCACTATCACCATACGGTAACCTACTCCGTATCTATGGAGTTAAAAATATAGAAAGGATACGAAGGGAGTATAAACAGCAGCACCCAACCTGCTCTTGAGGAAGAGGGAGGAGCCAGAGCAACGGAGTTTCCCCTCAGCCATGATGGCAATCCTGTCTCCCAGTAGGTCAGCCTCATCCCTGCAATCATTCCCATACCCTAGTCCAAATCAACTGTTTTAAGGAACTTACATTGAATGCGTGGTAAGTAGAATGGTTCTCCCCTCCTTATATCGTATAAGCAGGTCCCAGATGGCTCGTCTTGCATAGGGGTCAATCCCGGATGTGGGCTCATCAAGAACCACAAACTTTGATCCTCCAATCAAAGCAATTCCAGCACTGCCAATCAGAGTGTTTCAGGCGATACAGATGGGTAAAAATGAACTAACCTCAATTTCCGTTTCATTCCTCCGGACAGTTTCAGGGATGGGGTATTTTTCTTGTCCTGAAGCTGCAGGTCCTCAATCATGCACTCTGCCTCTTTAACCACATCCTTTCCTCTCACACCCTGCACATTGACAGTGTGTCATATGTACTGTATGTATATACGTAGGTTTCCAGAGTATCCACAAACAGGGGGGGGGGACATGGGACAAGCAGTGACATAAAACATTGAGGGGTGCATAGCTGATCCAACAACTGATTAATATTGTAGTAGAAGAAGAGGCTTGACTAAGACCACCATCACGATGCGCCGCCAGGGACTCACCTGACAAAGACAGAGAGGTTGAAACTAACCTAGTCTACCGTGGATTGTCTCCTTTGCTACCTCCCTAGAAAGCACCCATCATTCAAACCAAACCCACTAATAACAAACTTCAATTGCACAAAGTTTCACCTTGATTCTTGCGAAGAACTTGAGGTGCTCCAGGACAGTGAGTCTGTCAAAGAGGACATTGTGCTGGGGACAGATGCCGAGACTGTGTCTGATCTGGTCCATGTTGCTCCGTATGTCATATCCATTGATGACTGCTGTACCTCCCGTCGGTGTGTATAGACCTGGCAACAGAAGGGAAAGGTGGAGAAAGGGAGAGGGGGGATGGGTTTTACAGGTACATTGGATTGGGGAAATCTAAAGGGATTTCCATTCCAGCCCGTCGGTGTGTACAGACCTGGCAAAAACAACCACTTTGAATCCAGCCATTGAAGTGCAGCCTTGATGGCAATCCTAACCCATAATCCAAGCGAGTGTATGGATCTTATTATTATCCACACACTTGTATTATTATACATGTTTGAACACATTAACATTATAATTATTATAAGTAAGATCATTAAAAATATAATTAACCTGAAAGATGTTACTGATTTCTTTTTTCCAAAAGCCCATTATGCATCAAACCTACTCACCGGTAAGTATGGAGATGGTGGTGGTCTTTCCAGCTCCATTGTGGCCCAGGAGAGCAGTGATCTGACCCTCATACATGTTGAGGCTGAGTTTATTCACTGCAATCTTCTGCTTACTGTCACTCGCCCAATAGTTTCGTAAAACACCCTTTAAAAATAAAACAATCTAACAGCTACGTATGTACACAGCTGTACAACCTTACCCCATCATAAATCTTTGTAAGGTATTGCACACTGATCCCAACTGACAGGCCATGTGGCTCTTGTTCATGAGCTGAGGGGTCAAGCTCAGTTAGATGAGGGGCGTCAACACCTTCAAGCTAAGGAGACACATGAAAAAACATGTTTATAGCATACTAGCTAAAAGAGAGGAAAAGAAAAACCTCCCCCACCCAAGCACACAAAACACAGACAATAACATACCCAAGCATACAAAAACACAGACAATAACATATAAACATAACGAAAGAGGCAGGACCCTGGGTGCCCAGCCTTGAGAACCGGGGATATGGTTAAAGAGTCTTTTATGGGCCCAACTCTCCCTACACACCCAGTGTCCCAACCTCCCTTACACGAAAATAAATAGATAGAAATCATGTAAAAAAAACGACAGCTACAGGATAAAAACAACAGCCGGTAGAAAAATAGAAAGCCTCAAAGGACCAATAAACTCATAGAAAAATATAAAAACTCTGAAACTCACGCAGCACGACGACACGACGGAGAAATAAAAACGTGCGATTACTCTAAATAACGTACAGCATATACAAGTGTAGAAAAAATAGAAAAAATAGAACTTCTAAAATAAGTTAAAATAGTTCTGTCGATTACTTTAAATAACGCACAGCATATATATACACGTGTAAGAAAAATATAAATAATAGTAGAAATAGAAATGTTAAAAATAGATTATCCAAAATAAATATGTGACTATAAATAGCTATACATTCTATCTATGCGAGACATGGCGACTGAGGAACCTATCCATTGCTGGCAGACATATACCATCCTCCACATGTTTGCGTATGCCGCAGCTATATTTAATCATAATTTGTGCGTGCTTTTTAGCAAACTTATAAAAGGACCTGCACAAATCAGAGTATCTGTATCCTTGCTGAATCAGTCGCTCCGTTAGTTTGAAATGTCTTAACGTAAAATCTGAGTAATCACTACAAATTCTACCTATACGTACTATTTGGGAAATATAGACTCCGTATGCTGGTCCAGATGGAATAGTGGAACTTAGATATGGAAAATGTACAATTTTGAAGTTAAAATCATCCCATTTATCATATACTGCTGTGGAATATTTCCCATTTGTTATAGTTATATGTATATCTAAGTATGACAGTGTTGTTGGTGATTCAGATGTTCTTTTTAGTTTAAGCTCCTCTGGGTATATGTCATCAATGACTGAATTAAACGATGTGTTATTCAATGTCAGCAAATCATCAATATACCTCATTGTGTTACTAAATCTTTTTGCCAGCATCAAATTAGTTTTTATCATATTCTTCATATATCTATATTCATAGTAAAACAGAAACAAATTTGCCACCAACGGCGCACAATCCGTTCCCATTGGAATCCCTATACACTGTCTATATATTCTATTACCTATACTAACATAAATATTATCTATCAAGTATTCCACATATGTGACTAGCATCTCTTCAGTAATATTCTGTTTCGATGAGGAGTTCATGTACATATCAAGCACCACTAAAGGAAATGGCACAGTAGCTCATAACATGGTATGGTCCAACCGTCTCGAACATTGAATACCTTGGTCAGTGAAATCATTATGAATTGCGCAATCATATTTGTCAGTTTGCTGACACACCCATAACTTTTTGCCCGGTACGCATGTGTGAGTGTATGTTCTATGCTCAAGAGTGGATCTACAGACTACGGAGTTAGCTGACTAGTACAGTCCTTCTGCAATATGCTTAAACACAATCTACTCTCTACAATAAAATACCCATTACACCTCCTTGTTCTGGGACCACGGTCAATCAATGCACAATCACTCAGGTCAAAGTCCAGTACATAATTATAGAGAATATGGACATTCGTATAGGGATATAACGTGCATGCATGTATACGACCATTGCCTGGTACAAGGGAACATTTATGTAGCTGCAGCAAAAAATATGAAAGCTTTGTTAAAACTTACAACATTCGTCAGCCCTTGATTGGAAGTCATGGGTCGTCCCAGCCAGTACGATGGAAGAAATGGGAAGTAAAATGGCTTTGGCACTCCATATTGGCCGGGCTTTACTCCATTCACATACCTACAGTCATTGTACATTAATGTGTACGTATGTAGGTGAAGCGGAATTACATGCATTGCAAACGAATACTCGAAAAGTTTTGTTCCCAACTCTTTAGACATGGACATACTGGACACTGGACCCACAGGTACAATATGCATTGTTCATATTATAGTATCTAACCATCCAGCTCGTGTGGAACAAAATAACATACCAGGCAATGAGCATGTAGATGATGGAGTCAATGATGAGCATGAGGAACACATAGCCAAGGTTAAAATCATCATCTAGTGAAATTTCCTTGTAGAAGTTGCTCCAAAGAACTCCCTCTTCACGGATCTCCAATAGGGATATGGTGTTTATACCAAGGCCCATACAGGTGTTTGAAAGAATGCAGAATCCCAACTTTGCACCTCTGATCAAAACAGGGAAAATTCTTTCATTGATATGCTACCTGCCATACTGTTATTAATACGTAATGCATGATAGGAATAATGATGAACAGTTAGTGGCTGGTACTAGTATAAATTTCCAGGAGTTATCTTTTTTTGGACATTTTTTCAATTTGTGGTTACCCATGCTTTTCTGTGGAGCATGATTGAAACTTATGTGCATAATATGTACCTAGGAATGTACATATTATTCTACTTACAGAGAAAGAGTCTGATATCTCCCTGGCACAAATATGTACGGAAGGTAGTTCACAAACCATCCCAAGAAGCCAATAAGCAGGCCAATTCTTGCAGAATTAAACCATACACTGGAGGTAGAAACATACATGATTCGGTAAAAACACAACTGGGCGCACTCCAATTTTCGAAAGTGTGCAATTTCTATTGGCTAAGTGTATGTAGCCTACAATAAACTTCTTTTAAAATATGTAATGTCATTTTGTCTATGCGCGCAATTGTGCAAAGTCCAATTATCACAGGTTTATAAATCACAAAAAAATATTCAGTAACCTTAGAAAGAAGCAGAAGGTAATAGCAGAGATGTTGAACACAATAAGAAATGAAAACAAAAGAAAGAAGTCACTTGCTGGGAACACTCCCCCCACCTGTGAACAACGGAGCAAAGGCATAGTTGCATGCATGAAAATGATACCTAAGTACTACTGTATTAACATGTTTTTAAAGTGCAACAACATAAACTGTCCACGTCTATAATATGCAGTGACCTTAAGAAGTAGTGCCACAAAGAATGCTGAAATGCAGAGGAAGATGAATTGTTTGATGAACCAGGTGGTCCACAGCACCCACTGCTTCAGTCCCATCATCAACATTGACTCTCTGATACGAGTCTCCTTCTCCAGAACCAGCTCCTGCAATGAACAAATCCTAACTTGTTGGCTGAACTGTAACAGTAAACACACACCTTTGTAAAAGTACCAGCAGAGTAGATGAATGCCAGCACAATCAGAAATGGGAGAATACTGACAGCAGTGATGAGAAAGAAATCGACTGTGTACTGAGGATAAGGTAGCTGTCTCATGGCCACTGAAATATTGTGTTCGAGGCCACCATCACAGTCTGTCATGTTGGGGTTAGCCATCAGTCGAATGACGGCCTCTCCTACAATGTTCTCGAGGTGGATGAACCCCTCACTCAAGTAGAAACTGAAGAAAAGACAAAAACTGGCAATAGATTCATTAAGTCTAATGGACATCAAACCTTGCCAGATTTTTAAGGATGCCGACAATTCTTAATAATAATGAAAAGCACTAAAGTCCAAACCCTGGGCGCTAGGAATGTGCGAGCGAGTGTTGATGTGTACGCATGCGCATAAATAACTGATGGCGGGCCACACCACATGGTGTAACGAGCTAGTTTCTCGTTTAACACAGACTATGTAGCTGGATCAGTGGGGAGCATTGAGAGAAACGCTTGACTACACATCACCCGAGTACGTTCATCCCTTAATTCATCCCTGAACTGAATGGGTGAGTCCCGGTTGAAGTAAACCAGTGCTGATTATGCATATTGCTTTTTTCACTAGTGTTGCATGTCATAACTCTCGAACGCAGCAGTTCAAGAGAAAATCCTACACATTTTCAACCTTTATCTGACACTGAATACGTGATATTGTTCGTGGAGTGATTGGTGACTCAAGAAGTGAGATGTCGCGGAACCGACAGACGGACAACCACACACACACATGAAAACTACAGTAACCCTTGCTGTGCATGCACGCCAAGGGTTAACAATGTACCCTGGCTACCTCTGACAAATCTGTCGCTCATGCTTTTACAGTGCATATAGTGTACTGACTTGTCCGTAATTCTTGGGCCAGGTGCCTGGAAGTTTGGAGCAGCATCTCTGGTCTCCCATGACTTATCTTCCCCCACCTCATGTCTCAGACGAAGGGTGTACTCTAAACTGTCACTCTCCAAGTTGTTGAAATAAATACCTGAAGGTGTACAATAGCACAAGTCACAATATCCAACAGAAAAATGGATTATTATGTACCCGCTCCTCGTATAAAGCATCCAAGAGGAGTGTTGGTGGGTAGTTTGAGGCTGTCACATTCTGAACTGTCATATTCTGAACCACTGAGAACAATTGGAGGAGCAACACTGCTCAGGGCAGACACAATGTCTTGGTCACTGTTAACTCCAGTCACTCTGGCATATGGTAACTTCTTTTCAATACAGTCTGCTATTTTCCCTATAAATACAAACGTGTAAGTTTCAGGTACTGAGTGTCCTTATTCTATAGATAATAATAAAAGTTTTCGATGCCCAAATTTTCTTGGTATCTTGTACACCAATTGGTTAAAAAATTTACAAGAACATAATGGCTGTCATACGAGTGTTGGTAGTATTGGGGGCATAGTAGATCTGGTAGGTGTTGTTAGGCAGAGGCACCGTCAGATGGTCAGAAGGAAACGTCACAAAGATTCGATTCTCGATATCAAAAAGACCAAACCTGCAACACAGAAGAAAGGGAAGGCATTGAAAATGTATTGAGTATTAACTGCGACATGCACTATTATTGTAAGTAGCTGATGTATGCAAACCTTTTCTAGTAACACAGGTCATAGGGAATACACAGAGTGAAATATAAAACTGAGGCCTAGTTAATTAGCTGGGAATAATCCAAGATAAAAGCTGTTCTTCCATCTACTGTCAGTACAATTTGGCAAGCAGCTACGTATTTCTGTGTCATCCAAAAGACCAACTGACCACGAAAAATGTTTTGTTATTTAGCCCGAAACTAGGTTCAAAGTTGTGACATTATTTAATCTGCCACAGTATGAACATCCGTAGTGATGCCATTAGCCATAAAAGATACTTGGATAGTACAGTGAAATATAATACACACATCAGCCCTTTGTGCCGCCACACGTAAATCATCAGAACTGAACATTACTTTAGAAGTTGTATGACCTTCACTTTACAACAATTAGTGTTACAAAACAATGCCAAACAGTATTCAAAAACATGTTTCACTGAAGTTTGTATTGAGATAAGTACACAAGCAACTAGTGGTATGGCAACAGCACAATGGCTTTTGGATAACAGCAAAGCACAACTGTACACACGCATGAACCACTAATGGGTCCTTGACTGTGCATTTGTACTCCTGCGACAGGTACTGGCTGATAGTTCACGGTATGCGTAGGAGTTCTCAAGTCGATCGGGAAGCAACCCTTCCCTGCTTTCATCCAATCCAAGAACAGACATCCTCACCAACTTAATGCATCCAATTTTGTTCAGTACAATAAACAGGACCCACAGAAACATCAAAAGATGAGGAATACAACAGAAACACAGCAACACCACAGGATAAGATGATCCAACACCTCCAACATCCAGGATATAATGAGATGCCAACAACGACATGCCAGACAATAACAGGAGGTGGAAAGACACTGAAACGTTTGTTATAAAACACTTGAAAGGACGGATGAATGCAGTTAAAAACGACGCAACCATCAACACTCCTATATAGATAGACACCCCAATATACAAATTTACCGTGTCACCAAATGCACCAATAAAAACAACAAGCATCACAGAGGTTGTAAAAACTGCAGGCATAACCCTGAATTTATCTCTGAACATTCCTTGAAAGTTGTCTACAAACGTAAACAGGATGATTTGAGCTCTGTGAGGACAGCAGTCGTTAAATCTCCTCCTCATTGGCCTTATAGACTGAACACACAGTAAAACAGTGGGAATCACTCCCAACACCAGCATCAGTAACAGAATGATTAACAAATAGAGGATAAACTGACGCTTGTGAAAATTAATAGATGGTTGGTAGAGGAGAACAGTTTCAAGGCTACGATTAATGGTAAACACATTTGTGCTTTTCAAAGCCATATAAGCATCGAAGTTTAAGCTACTAAATGACAAACAAAACAGCATAGCATATGCATAAATAATTGAACCCTTGACATCCCAATCTTTTCTAAACTTAAGGAGACACATACGAAATGGTTTCCACAGAAGTACTAAAAGTCTGAAGTTATGATCGTGAAGTTCAATAGACACATAACTGAATACAACAAGCAGCAGAGGGTAAAAAGCAGATACGAAGTTGAGGAGAAGAACGTCAATATTGTTGAGGGAGGGACTGATGCAAGTGGTGCCAAAAAGAGGAGCATAGTTCATGTCCCAGAAAGCAGACACAAACAGCAAAATATTGAACAGGTTCCTCTTTTCCCCTAAGTCATTAAGGACAAGATTATGAAAAGGCATTAGAAGTCGAACAGCCATTGTTAGGCCCTGACAGAATATAATGTATCCAAAAATTGGTCCATGGGTGACATTGATTCGAAATAGTACAAGTAAAACAAACATGACTGTGATTGGCACAAGCTTAAGAGCCATGAAACCAGCAACTCGTGCTACAAGGGAATGCTCTGAGCAGTTCATGCATGCTGAATAATAAGCCGTTGGACCAAACCCATCAATACACTCCTCACAGAGAAACCCTGTCCTGTTGTTTGGAGCACATATCCTCTGATTCAGATGTTGACTGTCATGTGGCAGGGGAGTGTACACTCGGTCCACTATTGCTGAGTAGTTGTCAAAGCCATACACATTGGGAGCTGCCACAGTCTCATTGGTGCTGGGATCAAGAGTCATTGTGTAATCAACCCTCATATACACTTCTCCCTTAGAGCACATGATACCTCCTCCCAGAGTCTGTCCACATTCACAATGGTTTGATCCTGGTGACCGATACGACCACACAGTGGGACATTCACTCCCACTATCTTCATCCGTGTTCATAATCCATCCCTGGCTTACTGCTAATGCTAATACAACTACAACAATGAGAGTCTTCATTATTACTCTGCTGCTCAGATACTCTGCTTTGTAATGAATGCTTCACCTCTCCCGAAACTTTCACTTTGTAGCGATACCAAATCACATGAACTATACACATCCACTTGAGGCAATTCACCCCTTGTTAGCTGATAATAGAACAGTACAGTAATGATGGAGGAATATGCCAGGTGGGATTATTGTCTTAAAGTTTGACAGATTATGGTAATTGATGTACGTACTACAAACACAAAAATGTCAGCATCAACTGGGATAATCCCAGTCTGATGTACCTATGTACCCACCATTGTATCACACAATACTATAACAGTGTCTTAAAGTCTTCCTCGCGTTATCCTCCCTGCTGTGGTCTCGTCAAGTTGGTTGTTGGAAGTGGAATCTTAAAAACCCTCTGGGGCAAGCGGGCGTTGATGTGCGCAATCGTTCGCGTGAGCATAAAGCACCACTCATCAATGAGCCATGTGGTCTTCAACGGAGCTCAGTAGAACACAGAGTGAGACTAAAAGGTATGCAGGTAGCAGGACCATTGTTACAGTTCCCTATGACATTACTGTAGTTGCGATCAGTTCAACTGTTTGTGTGCATGTATAAAAATTACGCTAAGCGGAGTGTGGCAGTGCAGGTCATACAGTGTATATAAAGAAAAATCCTGCACAGCTAGGTGGGCTCACTTCACTTGCCAAAAACTATGATGGCCTCGGCCAATAACTATGATAGCCTGGACTGCAACCCTTTGGAAGTGCATGCCTTACAGCAGCACTGATAACAGTGCCATACTACAAGTGTGTTCAGCCAGGTATGTGTGTAGAGGCTTCATAATACCCCTCTCCCTTACATCCTTGCATCATAGTATCATGTGAGAGTGAGTGAGTGGGAAGAAGTCAGAATTCCAGACTATGAAAGTTGTGCTGGCACATAATATGCATAGTGTTTTTCACACTAAAGGCAGTTGTAACTCATCCACGCAATCCTTTTCTCTAAATAGACTTCAGATTAGCAGCAATGAAATGAGGGAGATAGCGCCCCTTGGAGCCTCTGCACCCACCACCATGATATCCGTGCTAAGAAACCAGCACCCATGCAGCTTGGATAGGAGGTCCTTTGTAATTGGGTGAGCGAAAAATAGTTCACGGCAAGTCCAAGTGATTTTGTTATCAACAATTCCAGGTGCTAAAGGCCATAGCATCTCTAGAATTCCCTTTGCCCTGCTCAATCACGATATGTATGGTGCAAATGGATCTTCTTATTATACAACTGAATAGTCCTTGCGTTGTTTGTATGAGAAGGACAAAAAGGTGCTTTAATTACAATGCCAAGCACTACACTTGCCGAAGTTGTACATACTCTGTGAGCAAAGCAAGCCTATGTACCTGTAGTCTGAATGCGCGAGACATTGCATAAAGTGCAATGTACAACGGGCACTACACACACTGTAATGTTCTCCGTGATTCTAAAACTAAGTAATAAACTCAGGTTAAACAGGGGTAAATGCGGGGGTACACTTAGCTATAACTCTCTGGTTACTCTGTGATGTGTAGTGTTGGTGGTCAAACGGGATTACATTCAACAGTTAATAATCCATTCACGGGGCTAGATATATATGAATGCAGATACATATACAAGATGAAGAGGATTAGGAATTTTGGCAGATCATGGGTGGAGGGATTCGTTAGGTTCGGATGAATTCTGGGATGTAACAGTTGGGTATACTTTGGAGTGTAGTGCTCAGCCTGTGAAATGTTTTGTGCTGAGTTGAACAGCACCTGATAACGGATAACCTAGCACTGAAAGGTAGCATTAAAAAATCCTAAGTTTGTGCTTAGCACATGCTGGTTAAAATTATTGTCCTGCTCCCGAATCACCAGTTTGCATGATGGACCCACAGGTAATGTATGGCCACATGCCTCGAGCTACCAGACAAAAAGTGAGAGATACCAGATATCCCTCTGCAGTACAGTTTCTTCCTTAATGTTTCTCATTCCTTCATACAAAACTGAATATATATATCTGTCTTCCCTCTTCTTTACACACGTTTTGTGACACTTGTTCTCACCATGGAATGCACTACTACACACGTACAGGTCAAACGCAATGCACAATGTCATGTTTGTGGCAACTGTGCATCATTGTTGAATGTCCTATCCATCTACTAAACGCCTGAATAGGCTTTACAGGGGTACAAATAAGAGAAGATCAAACGGGTTTTAAACTGGTGAACCATACGTGTTGTTAAAGTTTACACAATTAATAACATTTGACCAATTATTCAAATAAAACGTGAAGTGAGAATACCATTAAATACATGGCAACACACATCATTGCTTTATCTTTACTTGCAAAACTTGGTTTATAGATCAACACACGTTGTACCACAAAGGCTAATGCTTTGTAAAATACCTTTGCAGCTGAAAGAGTTTCTCCACTCCACACGCTACGCTAATGTTGGAGTCACAAGCATTTGTACAGAGCAGTACGTGCTTGCAATATTTACACAACAAAAACATTCTGAATTACTTTCCAAAGTGCAAAACCCTCGGCGAACTGCGCATGTCCGGTACCGCTAATTGATGAGCTGGGCTATGAGTACCTATGCGTTCACTCGTGGTCTCCCGCTAGTAGTCCGCGGAGAGTCTGACATGGGCTAGCTACAGCAGTAGATAGCACGCGGTAGTCGACACACGGCCTTCGTTGTTATTACTTGTGCCTCCAAGGTACACAGAGCGAGCGAATCAGGTCGAGGTAAGCCAGCGCAGTTATGCATATTGTCGTTTGTTTTCACAGCATTCCTCTCGAACGCAGTAGTTTCAGGAAAATGGCAGTTTTATTTTACAGGTAGGCGTAGTTCTGAAGCCATTGGTATCACGCATACATAGGTCGCCTCGTAGTCTGTAGTGCCAGAATAAGCGTCGACACACACAGACATAAAGACCAACAGACAGGCAAACTGTAACCCTCGCTGTGCATGCGTGCCGAGGGTTAATCTAAGCAGAAGATTGTCCACGTGTCCTACCTCTCAGAACCAGGCGCTGCCACGTGTTAGACATTCAATGGATGTCTGTGAATGGAAGCTTCTGGCTGAGTTTTTGGATGTTCATGTTGAAAAGGCGTATAAAGCATAGTGATAGTTGGTTCCTCAATGTACAAAATATTAGTATAATTTGGAACTGATACAATACACATGTACACTTACGTACGTACTTCAAACCAACGAGAACAACTACTGCAAGTGGAGGTATCACCAACTCTACCAAAGTACCGACTGGACGACGAACCTAGACAGGAAGGGAGGTTTTCATTAGTTAGAATAAGCATGCAGCTGGAGTTGTACTTTAGTTTATAATACAGGGCTCTCCCTCCCCTCTCTTGTTCCTACTCAAACCTAGTCTCGGTACTGGGCTGGTATCAAGACTATCAAGTTCCCTCAATCTCAGTATATACAGTCTAGCTCAGGGGGCGGGAACCCGAGGTCGACCTGCTGGAGTATAAAAGCCTGCGAAACCCTATTGCCGTAAACAGGATGTGTACGTACACGCTACGCAAGTCACCTGAAGGAGGAAGTTCTTCCAGAGCACTAGCAGGAACTGCGTGGCTCCAGACATGGCCACAGCCAGGACGCCCACTGTATCAGCGTTACCTACGACCTCTCGCAGCTAGCGGGTGCGTCGCGACGGGATGTCTCGTCGGCCAGGGACTCTCGCGCGGGAAGTCTCATCCAGCAACTACATAGACTAGCCAAAGCACGACTGTGGGTATCAAACGTTACATAATGTTGAATCCTCGCGTGAGTATGCAAAGTTACGCTAATTATGTAATACAGGCTGGCCTGCCGTAAGTGTGCGCTCGTTAAAGCGTGGCTTGCCCCGCTCCGGCCACAGGTCGGTGAGGGGCAAAGACCAAAGGGAAACTCGCCACCGCCAACCACCCCCGGCGCGGCGGCGGGGGTTGTGTGTGATGGTCATGCATGGTACGTACCATGCATGACCATCCGTACATGGTGTGTGTGTGGTTGTTGGTGGTTTGTGCGCATGCGCGAGAGCGGAGACGCGCGCGCATGCGTTAACAACAATGAAGAGTGAGTTACATCTCCACATGAAGCTGTGGGTGATGCAGTCGAAACATTGGTCAAGGTAGAGCATAGATATAACTTATCATTGAATTACATCCTCTCACAACTGGCAGTTGGGAAGGATGGGCAGGTATTCACCTGGCATGGATCAATCATAGGGAGGTAGCCATCTGGATAACCTGCCACACTGGCTGGGTAGTAATTCTGCAGCATAAAAGAATTGCTGCTAATGTATTTCAGTGCATCGAACCACAGTCTCAAAAACTGCACCTGCATTGAAACCTAGGTATTCATAGCTCGGTCCAGGTGTGTTGACAATAATCAATAAATTATAAGAGCAACGATATAGCGGAAAACGGACAATCATATCCGGACATGCAAAACCCAGCATCTATTTTGACACTGATGGTACCTGCAGACAATTGAGGATCCATCGGGCATTACATCATCCACAGTAGTCAGCTACACATGTGGCACCAGCCACAGCAGAACAACAGGCAAACTTAAACAAACAGTTAACTTGAGTAGAACCATCTGGACACGAGCCTGTGTTATTGTCATAGAGGAAGAAAAATGCATTTCAATATGTCCACCTTAACACTCTAGAAGGAGCTACAAGGAGTAAGTGAGGCAAGGCAGAACTTCCCTATGCAGTTAGCCCCAAGATTCACGTTGGTCATAGGAAGAAGTGACTTTTACAACATTATTTTTTGTACACCAACTAACCACCCTAGTTTTACATGTCCTCCATTTCATTATTATTTCCTGTGTTGCATCAATAGCAGTCTAGGACATTTGAAATACAGGATGCAGGAATCCTCATTTCCTGTTATGGACAGGATGGTAAAGCTATTCACACCAGAATATGATTGTGGAAATACTGTTCTGTGCTTAGCGTGGGTCATTGGTACAAGTAACGTCATTCTGGTAGCAAGAAATGGGCACATGTGAACTTGAAGTACCGTGTATCCTGAATGCCATAAATTAGTCAGCTTTAAGCAACGAGAGTGTAGTCACCGCTTTCACACCATTTCTTTAATTTAATAGTTGAGAGAGACAGGAAGAAGGCATAAAGAATTATTGGTCCTATTATAGTGGTAGCTAGCTAGTCGACAGACATAAATTGAGTTATTGTGGTATTGTGTATTGTGTGTGGATCAAATACTACAGTGCTGCTCGCTGCTGTTAATGGATCTTGCAAGAGAGTATAGTAGCTTGACCTACGTAGCTACTTGTTGGGAGCATCTGGGAATTCTTCCTGCTATTTGTGGTGAGCAGGATGGGTGTGTCATCATGTTTGCAAGCACAGACCAGCGTTAATTTCTGCGTAACCAGGATATAAAGCTGAGAGTAACAGGAAATGAGCATGTTGTGAATGATGAAATAGAGGATGTGGAAAATGAGCCAGTGGGGTATAAAAATGAACCTGGTTTACAAGAAGTCATGTTTATTCCTTGAGTCATAAGTAACTTCTTCCTAAGACCAAAATTGATTATTGCATAATGAAGAGCTCTTTTGCCTTGCTTCTTCTGGCTATTCACTGCACCATTGGAGCCCCTCCTAGTGACAGCCAGGCTGAAGGTAGCTATCTTTACTGTACTGTTGAATTGTGTGCCACCACGTAACATTCTTTCTCTGTCTTTATCCCAGGTGCCTGTCCGGACGGTTCTACTCCAGTGAACTGTTTGGTTAACCCATGCCAGTTTGCCAGTTGTCCTGCCGTGGCTGGTGCCACATGTGTAGCTGACTACTGTGGAGGATGTAATGCCCGATGGATCCTCAATGGTCTGGAGGTCACCCATCAGTGTCAAGGTATAGTTATAGCTAAACCATTTCAGCAAGGGAAAGTGTTATACACTTTATCATTAAAAGGATGTTCAGATGGCTCTCAGCCTGTCAATTGTCTAGTGGACCCCTGCCAAACTGCAACATGTCCTTCAGTCAATGGCGCTACCTGTGTAGCTAACTACTGTGGAGGATGCAATGCCCAGTGGTTCCTTAATGGCCACGATGTCACTGAGCAGTGTCAAGGTTAGTTATTCATATCCTAGGTCCAATACAGTATGTACTTAATCTTTCAAAATGTCCACGCAGGCTGCAGTGATGGTTCGGTGCCAGTCAACTGTCTAGTGAACCCCTGTGACACTGCTACTTGCCCTGCTATCAACAAAGCAACATGTGCCGCTGATTATTGTGGAGGCTGCAATGCCAGATGGCTACTGAATGGTGATGATGTCACCAACCAATGTCAAGGTCAGTTCGCTAGGCAAGGTTATAGACATGTAAAAGATGGTTACAAAACTCACAGGATGTCAGGATGGTTCCTGGCCTGTCAGATGTAAGGTGAACCCATGCCAAACGTCCAGTTGTCCTGCTGTGGCTGATGCCACATGTGTAGCTGACTACTGTGGAGGATGTAACGCTCATTGGGTTCTCAATGGTCAGGAAGTAACTGACAGATGTCGAGGTTCGATTCTTCATTTGTTTGATGTAGTTCAAGACGTAAGCTCTTCATGAATCCATGCAGGTGCCTGTCCAGATGGTTCTAGTCCAGTGAACTGTTTGGTTAACCCATGCCAGTTTGCCAGTTGTCCTGCTGTGGCTGGTGCCACATGTGTAGCTGACTACTGTGGAGGATGTAATGCCCGATGGATCCTCAATGGTCTGGAGGTCACCAATCAGTGTCAAGGTACAACATAGTGTCAATTGCCAGCTAGTAAATTGAGAGTTCGACTAATACTGAAACTGTTTCATACATATGTGCATCACAGCGTTGTCAATCACTGCAGGTTGTCCAGATGGCTCCCTCCCTGTAAATTGTCTGATTGATCCATGCCAGGTGAATACCTGCCCATCCCTCCCAACTGCCAGTTGTGTGGCTGATTACTGTGGAGGATGTAATGCAAGGTTCTTTATCAATGATGTGGAGGTCACCCATGCATGCTGTAAGTCCTTTTCGTTCTCCACCTTTAACGTGTCCTAAAATATAACTGCATCTTTCATAGCTTTGTGTGGGAACAAGACTCAGTGAACAGTTGCATTACAAGAGAGTTTACAAGGATTTTATACTAATTTTCAGTCATAAAGTGTTGAATGTACTATAATTATAATTATGAGGATTCTGCAATTAATAAAGGACACAATACGAATATATAGCACTAAAGTGCAAACCCTCGGCGCACTGCGCATGCGCGATACGGTCATGGGCGGGCCGGACGCGCGCGGAGAGGTAAATGGGGGCGCGTAACACCAGCCTCGAAATTCGCTGCGCAAAAACTGTTAGCGCTTTGGTAGATAAAGATACGCATATAAAATTATTACATGCGAATATTTCTCTTGTTTATGAATAGTGAGTTATGTTCTTTTATTACCCAGTGTCCGATGTTGCTCCCGTTAACCTTTCCGCTAATTGATGGGCTGTGGGCGGTCTCCGGCCGCTAGTAGCTCGCGGAGTCTGATACTGGCTATCTACACTAAGTAGTAGATACATGCGGGAGTCGACACACGCCCTTCGTTGTGACTTCTTGTGTCTCCAAGTAAGCGGATCAGGTCGAGGTAAGCCAGCGCGATTATGCATAGATATCTCTCGAACGCAGTTGTTTCAGGAAAATCGCCGATTTGATTTTCAGGTTCGCGTAGTTCAGAAGCCATTAGTGTCGCTTATAGGCCGCCTCGTGGCCTGTAGTGCCAGAATAAGCGTCGACACACGGACAGAGACGCCGACAAACCGTAACCCTCGCTGCGCATGCGCGCCGATGGTTAATTAATAAAGGACACACTTTGGAATCCCACACGTTCATAATTTTCATAATGCGAACAACCACCCTAATATCTGGTCCAAACTTGTCAATTCTTAAACCTGTGGTACACATGTGCACATTTGCAGTGCTTTTTATTAGGGAAGCAGGACGATAGGTCACTCACTCTTGCTTAGCAGCACATGATGAGCAAACACGTTCAGAACAAGAGCACGGTTAACCTCCCTCCAAAGATGAAGCCTCCCTGCGAACCTTCCTACACAGGACAAAAATGGTCCATTTGCCAAAGTGTTGTCTATGGCGAAAATCATTATCAATGGCAGTTTTCGCTCCCCTGGTTTTGAGCGAGTGCCGTACGCACAGAGGTGTTACGCCCAAAATATGTTTGTGAAGTTATGCGCCAACCTTGCCCTTCAACCTAGTAACCACTTGTGTTATGGTTTGCAAATACTATAGCTGACATGTACAGAATCAAAGGTAGCTATGTGCAGTGTCATTGGTGTCATTTTCCAGCCTAGTTTACAGAAAAGCTCAAGAGAGAAAGGATGAGCTAGTTTAATGGAGATTTTTTGACATGCATTTGTTTGTATCATGCTCACAAAGCCTCTATTCACTGGACACCAAATCTGCTCGCATTTTCTTGAAGTAGCTACCAACATCATACTACGATTGTATGTAAGAAATTCTAGGGAAAGTTTGGAAGATGGCTATAGTTGCTCAATACTCAATTCTTCCATTGCTCC